AGTCGGACCGGATCAACTCGGACCGCCAGTCCGGGTCGGATCAACTCGGATCGACTCGGACCAACTCGGATAGAATAAAAAAATAAAAATAAAATAAAATTGGACTCGGATCAACTCGGATCATAAAAAAAACAACTCGGATTATAAAAAGAAAAATAAAATCAGTCGGTATCACTTAACTTTCACCCGCCATTTTGTTTTTTTCTCACGAACTCGTGGTTGCGTAAATAAATTTTATTTTTATTTATGTTAATGATACACTAGTGAGCAGCACAGACAATATGACTTCTAGTGGACATTTTCAACTTGGAAGGATGGGAGGAGAAATCATGCTCGCCCGGGACAACGAAAATTTTCGTACCCCGGGCGAGAATTGAACTCACCACCCTCCGAATATACTACATGCTTATCGGACGTCCCAACCACTGAACCAGAGGGTCGCGAGTTCAATTCTTGCCCGGGGCATGGAAATTTCCTTTGTCCCGGGCGAGCATGGTTCCTGTTTGTTTTTTTTTTTTCTGCAGGACTTCTGAAACTTAACCCATTCGCCCCTGAACCGCCCGTAACCGCCCGTGCGGATCCAGGTCCTTTCTACCCTTTGTGACGTCATCAGTTTTAACGGTCAAGGACAACTTTCTTCGCTAACTTGTGCAGAGTGAAGAGATCTTTCAAACCATACCAGAATGAGCACAATTCAGTCAAGGACACCGAAGAAAGAAGCAAAAAACCACGTGACATTGACCTGAAAATCTCCATGAAAATCTTGTTACATTGCTCACCTACCTTTCCTTTCACCTAATCCTAAGATCCTAAAAGCTTTCCTAAAAACTCTTCCCACCAAAATGAAGCCTACTAAATGTCTAGCAAGAGAAAAACAAATGAGGCAAGAAAAGCGAAAAAAGAAGGGAGGAGAGAAAGCGAAAAGTAAAAGTCAAGACTGCTGTGTCACTTTTAAACCCCAAAATTTTGCTTTCTGCGCATGCCCGAACTTCGCAAGCTGATATTTTGCATCTGGATCAGAAGGCCGCGAAGTGTAAGACCTGTAAACCGGTTTGTGGTAAGTTTTAGCTCTTTATAGCACAGCAGTGACCAGAAAACCACTCGACTAGCTTCAAAACGCGTTTTTCGGCAAAATCTCCAGGAGCGAATGGGTTAATTTTAATGATACACTAGTGAGCAGCACACATACATTTCCAGTGAACATTTTCAACTTGGAAGGAGGAGAAACCATGCTTGCCCGGGACAAAGGAAATTTCCATGCCCCAGGCAAGAATTGAACTCACGACCCTCTGGTTCAGTGGTTGGAACGTCCGATAAACATGTAGTATATTCGGAGGGTCCTGAGTTCAATTCTCGCCAGGGGTACGAAAATTTTCGTTGTCCCGGGCGAGCATGATTTCTCCTCCTTCCAAGTTGAAAATGTCCACTAGAAGTCATATTGTCTGTGCTGCTCACTAGTGTATCATTAACATAAATAAAAATAAAATTTATTTACGCAACCACGAGTTCGTGAGAAAAAAACAAAATGGCGGGTGAAAGTTAAGTGATACCGACTGATTTTATTTTTCTTTTTATAATCCGAGTTGTTTTTTTTATGATCCGAGTTGATCCGAGTCCAATTTTATTTTATTTTTATTTTTTTATTCTATCCGAGTTGGTCCGAGTCGATCCGAGTTGATCCGACCCGGACTGGCGGTCCGAGTTGATCCGGTCCGACTTTTGTACCTGCCTGAAACAAATTTTTATTGCTGCGTTTTTATCCATCAATATTCACCTGTCAAAAGTTTGACCAATCTTGGTCAAGGTTGTCATTTGTAGACAAGAACAGGGAACGGTGACAAGCGGTGACACGTAAAAGAGAAAAAGTAAGTCAAATTTTTAGCATGTATATTATTAACAAGTAATCACATGATTTTCTCGTGCTATTTGGGATAAATCGGCACTCGTAAATTTTTCAAAGACCACAAATTGCACGATCACGAGCACGTATTGGTTATTAGTCTTTGAAAAATTTACTTGTGCTTTATCCCAAATTGCACTCGAAACAGGGGCACCCAACGAGAATATAGTTCAAAACCACTTAAACATAGCTGTTAAACGTATTTTAGTATTTAAACGGTAGATATAGGCATATTATCATCCCCTAAAAATTTTTCATCTGTTCGGATTTCCTAGCTGAAAGTCTAGTGATCCGAAAATCATAGGGATCAAAACTTACCTTTTCGAAAATTTCAGCCAGAGAAAAGGCTCCCGAAAATTCTAGGTGACCTTTTTAAGATAAAAATCCGTTAAAAATGGGCAATTATACCATTTTTAGAAGTTCGAAAATCCTAGGAGAGGCAGGCAAGCAAGAAATTTTACAACAAATGTTCCGAAAATTCTAGATCTCAAATCGTCTTCCGAACAGATATTTTCCGAAAATTGACGTTGGGTGCCCCTGTCGAAATCATGTGATTACCTATACAACGTAACGTACTTGTTTGTACGCGAAATGAGGTTTTGGTAACGAATTGTTTGCGGCAATTTAAATGTTAAAATTTATCTTTCTGGCATACTTGTTTTGCTCCTGTTTGGTGTAGGGAATTGTCCTGGCTATACAACTTCTAAATAGACAACTCCATGTCCAATGTTATCAGGTCTTATCAGAGTTGTGGGTAATCAAATAATCACAACGGAAGTAAACTCAGATTTTTGGGTCTTTTCCCATTTAATATGAGATTAAAGTATTAGGTCGCTGGACAATGTTTGGATAATAATTGAATTTTGCTACAAGTGCTATACATCAAATCCGATTTTTTTAGCTTTCATACTTTTTGAAATCTGAGCGTTTGTTTTATAGCAAATTTTTCAGAAGTTATTAGATTTGTTCGAATGAAATTCAGATCATAACGGAATTCAATGATGCTTACCCTGCGAACAAAGTCTCCTTCGATCTTCACTGGATCTTCCTAGATAAGTCGGGAAGAGGAGGGAACCTCTGCCGAGTCGCTTCCTCTGTCCCGACTTATCTAGGAAAGATCGAAGCGATTCTGCTAGCAGGGTATTGATGCTTCTCCCGTTATGAAATTCAAGAAGTTTGTTAGATGAAGTTTTGACAATAATAGTTCTCTACACGGAATACCTTCAGTTGGATTCTGTTATGTTTTCTTAACATTGTTTTTTAAGCCTTAGGATCTCTTAGCAAAATTGTTTTGTACATAATATTAGATTTTTTATTAATTTATGTGAGAAAACAGACAATTTAACAAATCAAAGGCTTGTGTGTGAAACGTTTTATTTGATTTTTTTAGTATCTGTTGAGGTATATACTGTTATTTTAGGAAGGGCCTCCACGCTAAGACTAAATGGCATAGGGGCCTTTTACCCTCCATAATTCTACCAATTTTTTCTTGGGATAGAAAATAAGGAAATAGAAATTTGGGACCATATCTGTTAACTTATTTCCTTTATTTTCCTCGTTGCTGGATATTCTGGATATTTACCATGAACGTTTCGTTCAAAAAAAATAGAGAGCACTGTTGGTTGTTCTTTACGCTAATAATTTTTAAAAGTTGTAAAAATAGTTTTTTGTACGTGAACGATTATACCCTCAGTTACCAATAATTTCTTAAGGGTTTCTTTGTTATGGGTAAAGAATACAGACTTGTCAAGGTATCTTTAGAAAGAAAAAACATATTTTACAAAGTTTTTAAGCATTTGTTGTTCTTATTCCTCGACAAAAGTGTTTCAACGACTCTTTTGGTTTGCATGTGACATAAATAAACTTTTAAACTAAGAATCAGTCGATCATTCGGAGACTTATTAGTTTCATGTTAGAGCATCTGAACACTACTTATCTTTTAACAAGTTTCTTCGCTTTAATCAAACAGGTTGTTTTGTGAATGAGGTACTTTTGAATGTTAAAGCTGTGTGTGACACTGCACTAAAATGGGGGGCCTAGAAAGCAATCTGAGCACTCCATGTCTCGGAATAAATAACTATTGTGTTTCTCTCAGTTTATGAACTCTTGAACGTTGACTCCTGGCATTCCTGCAATGACACGCCTTGCTTGATCCTCGAATGGACACCAACTTGACCTCTCCGTTTGGGTGACTATCTAGCGCATAAAAAAGTCACACAGACCTTAATCCTAAACTGTCGAATGCAGTCTGTTATCATTTGGGAAGACTACCACATTCAATCCACGCCGTAAAGGGCAACTCAGTCAAAGTTTAACTATCGAACTCGAATCCAAACTCGAACATGCCTTACTTCTTATGATAAGTAATGAAAAAAAAAATCAAGCATTTCCGGAATCCTAAGCGATAATATTAATTAGAAACCGAATGTAGGCGATAAGTAAAATCACGAAATCCGTGACGGCTTAGGCTGAGTCTAAGCTGTACCGGATAGCTCTTGCGCCGACACGAAACCATGTCGGGTTGGGCTTTTTTTAGCTTCTTTTCACAAATAAAAACGCTGAATTCGAAGCGGTTTCTTTAAGTCAACTGCACGTATAGCACGTTGTGGTGGTTAATTGTCGTGGCTATCTTTAGAATTACGCATGTCACACTTAACGTGCGATCTATCCTTGGTCCGGATCAGTCATCTCTTATACAGTGCTAAAAAGACCCTTGGACGCATAAACTCGACCAGGATCAGCCACTTACTTTTTGCAAAAGTGTGGCGTACGAAAGTTACCTACATAGATTTGCCAATAAACAATAGCCTGTAAGCAGAGGTCTAAATCACAAAAGAGACGTCAACATAAGCTCGTTACCAGGGCTTTTTCTAATTTTTGGAGAAAAGCCCTGGGAACAAGGTTGACGTCCACACAGTGGCTAATTAGCTAATTCTTGCAAATTTTAGAACTTTTAACATCTTAACACATCATTTACAAGTTAAAGAACAGTGTTAAGATATTGGATTTGGTATATCATCATGTTTTTGTTTGACTGGGTTTTTTTCTTTTTCAGTGGTTTTCAAGACTGCAGGGCTTGGGTGCGAACGCCACAACAGACATGGTTTTGCCAACGTATTTCTTAGTTTTTGCAATCATAACGGCCATTATGTGTGCGACAAGTGTGCTGTTGAATAGTCTTGTTTGTGTTGTGTTCTATAGAAAGAGACAGCTTCTAAATGCTCCTGATATCTTCATCGCTAGCGTGGCGCTTTGCGATTTGTTTAACTCGATTACTACTTTGCCATTGATTTTCGTTACAAATACCCAAGGACGATGGATTTATGGGGACAGCGGATGCAAAATAATCGGGTTCATTGCTACATGGAACGGTTTGACTTCATTGATGAATCTGTCAGCCGCCTCATACGAAAGATATCATGCACTAGTTTTCCTCCACAAGAAGAACCCAACTTTCTCAAGGAGAAAAGCAGTTTGTTTTTCATCTGCTATGTGGATGTACGCTTTGTTCTGGAGTCTAATGCCTTTGTTTGGCTGGTCAGGGTTTGAAAAAGAAGGAATCGGGACAAGTTGTTCAGTTAGATGGAAGTCACAAACTAAGCTAGATGTCTCATATAACATTTGTTTGATATTGGCTTGCTTTGTGTTCCCAGTAAGCGTCATAGTCGTCTGTTATTACAAAACCTGTCGCGAGATAAACAGAACGGCAAGGCGAGCGAAAACGACGTGGGGAATAACATCACCCTTTACAAGAAAAACATTCGAAATAGAGAGAAAGATGGTCATTTTGTTTGGCTTAATGACCGTGGCTTTTCTCGTGGCCTGGACACCATATGCTGTTGTATCTATTATTTCCATGATCTGTGGACCTGACGTCATCAGTGACATCACAGCATCTATACCAGCATACTTTGCCAAATCATCAAACTGTTACAATCCTGTTCTTTACTTTTTTCTGTACAAAAGAACGCGACGACAGGTTCGTTTTATGGCATGTGTTCGTAAGGAACAGAATAAATATCTAGCCACGATCAGTAATTCTGGCGGCACTCTGAGCTGACCTGATCATGACTTGTGAACAATGGTCGCAGTCTTCACCAAAACTTACAATCAAGGCAGGTAAAGCGTACTCCCAAGATTCTATTAATGAATTGATTATTTGAAAAATGAATCCGTTAGTCGTTCCCGTTACAAGTGTCAAATTCAAATCGATAATCCGCCTGCAAGCGTAATGAGCAGTGAATATTTTGCGAGAACTTCTCTGCATCTGGTCAGATTGAAAATCTTTGAATGGTTAAAATTGCTTGAAAGACATTTACATCAAGATCTGGGAAATTGAGCTGGTAGATATTTAATTAACTGCCTCGCGTGTGAATTCAAGGCTCACTACGCACGCAAAATGCAGATATGAATCTGAAATCTTCTACTACCAACGGATTCATCGAATAATAAATTCATTGATGAAATCTTCGGGGGTACGCTTGACCTTTCTTGACTGTAGAAGCTAGGAGATGAAGAATGTTAACTATGAAGGTTTTGGTGACTCTTGCAGGGTAGAGGGCTCAATGACAGTTAATAATGAATAAGAAGGTGACAAGATGACGTCTGTTAGAGGCGATACAATCACAGCACAATGAGATTGTTGAAAGCAAAAAACTCTTAGAGTGGTTATGTTTGTTTTCGCGAGAAGATACGGTTTAAGGTGTCAGAATGAGAGAGATAGAAAATGTTCCATTTTGTGGACCTGCTTTTATTCGATGTTTTGATGTATCTGTTGTGGTTCAGTTTCATCCTCGGTTTAAAGTTTCTTTACTTTTGTTTTTGGATATGGTAATGTATGATAATGAGTTTGGAACAGAAAGAAAATTTAAACCAAGGATAAAATTGAACCACAACATATCCAACATCGTTGTCAAGAATAAAAAAAAGTGTCAAAGATGTTAAAAGCGTTCAGATGTGAATTCATTACAAAGCGTTAGATAACATTCATCGTGGGTGCTTTTTATGCAAATGTGCAAATAGGAAAGCTTCTCGCTAATTGAGCCTAATTGCAAGTTTAACAACTGTTTGAGCTCTTGTAAAACAAAATCTGGTACATAAGCCACTCAAATTTATTCTGGCACAGGATAAATAAATCGAATAGAATAAATAAATTTAGGTGGCTTGTTTACGAAATGTTGTTTACACAGGAGCTCAAACCATCTCTAAGGGCTGTTTACATGGAGGTAGGGGACCCCAGTTAGGTGAGGTAACCGGCTTTGGTGGGGTAACCGGCCTTTCCATATAACTTCATTTTAATTTGATCAAGTTTACATGATAGGTAGAGTGACCCGCCACATGTTACCTCACCTATCTGGGGTTCCCCACCTCCATGTAAACAGGTCCTAAGCGTGTAATCAGACGTTTTTCTCATGAAACGCTGCTCGACTATAACAAAGGGTATCATCTCCTTTCAACGGGTCTCTTGTGATCTTTTCCTGCTCTAAAACTGTGGTATTTGCTGGTTATAGAAGAAAATTTAGCTAGTAGGCACAGCGAAGATCAAGGCTATGTTCACATTATATCGGATAGCTCTTGCGTCGGCACCAAAACCATACCGGATAAGGCTTATGTTCACACATGTAAAGAACGGTAATTTAGGTAAGATTTCTGTAACGGAGCGAAGCTGCACCGCTCCGGTCTTCAAAGTGGAGAGTCACATGTTGGATAAGTGTTCATACTATACCGGAGGGCTTTTCGTGTCATCAGCAAAAGCTATCCAGTGTGAACATAGCCTTAAAGACGCTGCTGGCATCCGAAACGTTATTCCAAGTCATTCATCAATGAGTCCTTCATCATTATTGCGAAACTAGAAACGAAAGTATGCTTCCACGAACAGCCTTGATGAACGAACCGGGCAAATATGGCAAAACAACAGCTGTCTTGTACGAACATACGTACGACAATGACTCAGTGATAGTGTTCGCTGATTGGGCATAATACTACAAAGGGTTTTTGCGCCCAATCAAGAGCCGGCATTTACCGAGCAGTTTGGAAATGGTCTGGTGACACTCGCCCGTGCTTGTGCTTAAAAACTTTCCTAGTCCCTTTTTTCTCCTGACCTAGCTCACCGTTCCTAGGTCTCCGCGAGAATGGTTTTGTTTTTGCGAGGAGAAAGTGGTAAATTGCCCTTGAAGTTAAGACAAAGAGAATGTGTACCTTCAATATCAATCTTTGTGGGCCCGAAATTATTGTCTTATTGTCCCCAAGGGGAAATTGTTCTAAGATAGATCTACAACTGAGATGCATTTTAACAAACCTTTTTTTAGCAGGCCATGTAATTTAGGATGAGTTTCAGTTTGCCGGCATGCTAGACGCCACAAATCGAACAACTGATAACACGCCGCAAGTGACAGTTTGAACCATATGGCTGACTGACCGACTTATTTAGGCCTGTGTATGGCAGGGCGCCCCAACCTTGGCATTTTCACCCCTCCGTGGTGGTGTGACTTTGAGTGTCTCAGAGGTCCCATAGATCTCAACCGTTATGCCGACTGAGGTGCCAGTCCATAGTGGGTCTGGAACTAGAACTCGGTGGGTTGTGAGCTCGAATCTCATCTGGAAATCGGAAATTTTTCTGAGCTTTAGGATGTTAGGATTCTCTTTGTTCTAATTAAATTATTATTACTGTTATTGGAGAAATTTAGAGTCACGTTTACGGAAAACGGCAAACGTAAAATGCAAGCCAAGAATTTGTCAAATTGGAAAATGAACAGATAAAAACGGTGCAGTGTGAAATGCAGACTGCGGACTGACTGCGGACTATTGTTTTTAGGGTTAGAAAGCAATGGGACTACTGTTGTCACGTACTCATGTGGATGGTGAAAACAATACCCCGCAGTCTGCGTTTTACACTGACCGGATAAAAACTGGCCAAAATAAACCTCGTATATGAACGTAACGAGAAAGAACTTATTCCCGTGTAGAATTAATTATTAGCAAAAGACAAGTAAACGGGACTTGTACATGTCCACGTGGTACAATTTCACGTTTGCCGTAAACGTAATCTAAACCTCGCTAGATTGGTCACGGAGGAGAGACCTCACTGACAAAGGATTCCCCCAACTTGCATAAGAATAATCACCGATCCCGTAAAACCGCTGAAACTACTGAGCTAGGGAAAAATTCATGGTCATCAAGGCCATTCATTACGTTCACATATAGCATGTCTATTTAACAATTATTCCACTAGGGCGCGTTGGATATGAGATGGCTATATTAAATCATCTCATATCCAACAATAATTGTTTTATTAAAAACGCCCACAAAATATGGAGAATTCTTCCCGACTTTATTTGTAAAACAACTACTTTTCAGCTTGTTTTAATTTTGAGCAGACACGTACAGTTACCATATTTGGAGAGCATGGTATAATGCTCATATATCATGATGGCTAAGCCAATCAGAGCTCTAGAATTGCATTACCCAATGATTCAGTTGTTAATAATACATATTATTCTGGGATCCACAAGGTGTCAACGCTGCATCCTACATAGTATAAAATTTCAGATAAGATCCCTTTGACCTTCAGAAAGCTCATTTCCATTTCAAAATTACATTCCCAAGAAGTCCTTTCTTTTCATCGACTACCCGCCTGGCAAGTCCCTTGATTTACTCCGTGTAACTCTTCTTGCCTTTCGTAACAAGGAATAAATTTGCCGTCGCAACCTTTTGTACAGAAAGACATAGATAATTGGGCTGAGACAAGCTGACGTTTTGGCAAGGAATGCGGGGGTTGATGCTGCGACGTCACTTATGACATGAGGTCCACCAATCATAGCTATAAAAGACACGACTGCATATGGTGTCCATGCCCCAAGAAATGCCAAAGTCATGACACCAAACAATCTAGCCATCCTTCTCTCAGTTTCAAATGTCTTTCTTGTAAAGCTGGATGACCTTCCCCACAATTCTTTTGCACATTTCGCTCCAGTCTTAATTTCTCTACAACATTTCACATAAGAGAAACACATGACGCTTACGGGCAACACATAACAAGCCAGTAACAAGCAAATGTTATAGGACAAATCCAACATGCGTCGTGATTTCCATCTCACTGAACAACTTGTGCCGATTCCTTCTTGTTCAAAGCCTGACCAGCCACACAAAGGCATTAGACTCCAGAACAAAGCGTACAGCCACATAGCCAACGAAATCCGAGCAGCGTATCTAACCGTAAATTTTTGACTGTTTAGAGGATGCACTAAAGCAACATATCTCTCGTAGGATGCTGCAGCTAAATGCATTAACGACGCTAAACCCGACAAACAAGCGACAAATGCGATCAATGTGCACCCAGCATCTCCATAAATCCATCTCCCGTAGGCGTTTGCTACAACGTAAAAAGGAAGCGTAGAAACAGAACAAAACAAATCGCTGGCGGCAACACTTATCAAGAAGACGTTCGGTGGATTGCAAAGGTGCTTGTTTCTGTAGAACACTAGCAAAACAAGGGAGTTTAGTGGGACACTCACTAAAAAGATGAGAGCTGAAACTAGAGAAAAACCAACGAAAATATCAGTGACCATATTCGCATTGAGAGTGAGATTACGTGCAAACTATGTCGACATCGCCCCTGGAAATATCCGGCGAAAACCATCCAATTGACAATTACGATCCTTTAATGTGAAGACCTATAAAAGAGAAATGGAACGAATACAATTGAATGAAAAAAAAGGCATAAAAAAAACACCAAAAAAATAAAAACTGCATTTATCACATTACAAACGAAAACCAAACTCAAGTCTTCAAGTGTAGTCCACGTTATGAAATATTAGGTTCAGATAAGCTTAAAGCCGAAATGAAATCATAAAGAAAAGAAATGACAAACTACCTTTTTGGAACATTTTTAATTACTCTTGGAAAACAATTCTGGAATCATACATTCATCCTAATTGCCACAATTTCGGCAATTTAGGTGAACCCCTCGATGAAGGGACAGGTGGTTTCTTTTTAAGTTATTTTGTATAGTTATAATTTTCCGCGTTTTAGTATTAGTCACAAGAAATCAGTAGAAACCGAGCAATCTAAATTTAAAGTAATAGGAATTTCAAATTATGAAAACACACCTCACGTCGTGAAACTTTGGCAACTGATGGCTAGCGTATTCAATTTTAATGGCTAGTTTTTATAGTATTTGCCTTCGGCCAAACTTGTAAAAAATCACGGAAAATCACTTGTCTATTCTAGGGCGTTTGTGATGAAAATGAGTTTGTTGGCAAGCGAACACGCATAAAAGGAAAGATGGCAAGCTCTGCTAAAAATAGGCCTAATCAACATGATCAAAAGCCCTAGTGGAATAACATAGATCAATAGATTTTTTGGGGGTAAAAAAGTACCGTTCAATTTATTTCAAGCGCTTCAGGTACCTTTTAAAACCCAGCATTTCACTACCAGAGTAAATGATCACGTCAAATAATCTACGTCTAAATCTCGAGTCCGTGGATGTAATCCACATTGTGTGACCATTCATTGTACCATTTAATTCTGAGCATTTTAAATTTGGAATATTATGGAATATGACACTTGCCAAGTCTAGGGGTGAAAGGGTTTAAGACGGAATCCATAAGGAAATTGAGTAATTTGAACTTTCAGTGAACAAAAACCTTGCACCAGAATAATTTAAACAATACCGCATTCTTTTTTACATTTTTCATTTTTCAAGGGCTATAGATATAATTTATTTGTAATAACACCAAAGACTATTTCTCATGTAAAATTCTGAAAATTTCATGTGTAAGATGTCATTTTGTGAAATTTGACATTATTTTTCTCGCGCGCTCCCATAAGAAATTTTCTTTGGTGTTATTACAGATAACTATTTACATCTATAGCCCTTAAAAAAATGTAAAAAAGAATGCGATATTGTTTAAATTATACTGGTACAAAGTTTTTGTCCACTGAAAATTAAAAATACTCAATTTCCTGATGGATTCCGCCTTAAGGCCTTTCGTATTCCACATCTTCTCGCAAGGTACTAAAACACCGATCGGCATCATTTATCTCAAAATAATGATTAACATGTAACAGCTGGTTTTCATGTGGCTTTGTTCTTTACTCTAACCACGTGGACTACTTGTCCACACCGCATGGTAGTCACGAGCCAGTCAACGCAATGTCCGAGTTTTCTAGTTTAAAATATACCTAAATCTGGTCAGAAGATCACTATTCCTCGCAAAATGGAGCTTACTGTAAGTGAGACGTCAATTATTGATTCAGTAAGACTTCTTGCTGGCAGGACTAGATTCGGAAGCAAAACCCAAAGGAGAGAGAACTAACGTTACGTTGGTCCTCTGAAGTCTGTACTTCTGTGACGGTCAGAGACAAGGCGAAGAAGTGCAGATGTGTTGAGCAAGCACCAAATAGTCCTAAAATACTTCCCAGGGCACAATAATATGGGACTGGATTGTTCAGAGTGCAGGAACTGGAATGGAGTCTCCAGGGGAACGTAGAAGAGGCCTAAGTATGTCTAGAAGAAAAAATGCAGGTAATACTTGGTAAAGGACCGTCAAAGGTATATTTGAAGATAATTTCTCCCATACACTCCAAATAACCTCCAAAGTGACTGGGTGGTAACTGGCACCCTACTCCTGGAGACGATGCTTGAGAAATGCCGCTGATTTATTTCATGAGTTCCTTTGAATATCCTGGCAGCGGCTCCGCCGCCGAAATTTTTCCTGAATTCGCAAAAGCGAGCCTGCTCGCAGGCAAAATGTCGTCAAGCTGTTCAACAATACCAAATGGAATGCTGTAGTTAAGACAAAGGTCAACGATACAAAATACCAGTTCTTCTCAGTGTTATAAGTGCTCTACGTGATATTCTAACCACATTTCTTTTGTATCGAGTAACGGGGACAAAACGCTAGTCTCCGGTTATATGAGGACGAGATACCATGCAAGGACGGTTGGCAGGTAACTCAAGCAATTGTGCCAACTTCTACCAGTACGTCCTTTGGAAACAGTGCAGTTGACTTCACATAGAGGGCAATGAGCTCCCGACCAAAACTATGGTAAACCTTCCAAAGTGTAAGTAAGTTGTCTTAAGGCCTGGTTTTTAGAATAATCAGGCTTACCAGGAATACCCTGCTTCACCAGGCTTTTTGCACATATGGTAAAGCCTGGTAAGCCTGGTTTGACAACTTGAAAAGCCTGGCTGGTTAAACCAGGCAAGCACCCTGGTTTACTATACTTTAACCAGGCTTTTGGTACTCGGGTAAGCGGTTATGTACGGGGCAACGAAACCGCACAATACAGGGACTCTTCCCGCTATCAAATCGACACCAAACCTGCCTTGACAATAAATGTCGAAAACGTTTGTAACACGACCTGCGTTAAAATGAGACATGACATCATCAGATCCATAGAATAGAACCCCTTAGAGCAGAGCACCGTTAAATTTCCTGCCATAATTAATGCCAAATTCCGCATTCTGAAATATCAGAACAACATAGCATCCCCAGAATACATGTTTTCCTGGAATGGATGAATTACACAACTTACTGATTTTTACAGATTTGATATATCACCCTTTCTTTGAGATCAGTTCCCCCTTTCTTTTCAAATTCGGTAAAAACCCCCCTCTTCACATAACTTCTCCTATTTCGCCCCATCGCAAACGTGTGCACAAAATATAACGTTTTCACGATTTATTTGAACAAAATATAAAGTAAAACTGTAGCCAAAAAATATGTACAGTGCTTAATATAACCACTCTTCTTTGTAAGCATTCATTTTTCTATACACAAAAAATATCTGTTTCTTAGAAATAAGTTATCTTGACCCGGATTAGCACGATTCAAACGCACCTTTCTCATAGATACTATAATACTGGATACTATACTACTGTTCATTTCAACAAATAGAAAGCACGAATTTATTTTAGATCCCAAAACAAACATAAGCAGATGCAACACGATGCTTAACCTAAAATGAAACCTAAAGAATGTACGGATAAATCACATGTAACTATAAGTATAACCAAGACAGAATAAGAGGGGAGGGAAACTTTAGGTTTGGCCCTTGGGATATGTGAATTTAACGAAAGTTATTTCTAGACAGATTAAATGCTTGAAAGCATGAATAGGAAGATTGTTTCCGGAGAGGTCCGTAAACTTTTTTACAATAACTGAGCGAATCCTCGCGCGCTGCTTAATCGAGAGCTATGGTCTATGAGAGTATAGGCCATAGAAATAACGCAACATGTCACGTAGCGCCGGTTGTTTTGTTTTTGGTTTTTCGTAAAAAAAATAAATGTTATTGTAAAAACAAATCGACCACAATTTTCCATGGTCTACACTCTTATAAACCATAGAAATGACGCCATAAAATGTTCAAAACTTTGCAGTGAAACCACTCGTCTGCGGCTCGTGGATCCAATTGAGTTTTGAACATTTTATGACGTCATTTCTATGGTCTATAAGAGTGTAAACCATGGAAAATTGTGGTCGATTTGTTAATTAGTGTTGCCAGGAGATTATTCAACAGTCATCATTACATATAGCTAATTATAACCTCTAAATTACTTAAGTGAAATTTACATATCCTGCCCAACGTCCTAAGATTCTCTCTTTATCCCTTTATTCTCTCGTTATAAAATGCCATGTTCCTACCAAGACATGTCGCATCAATTTGTGATCATGTAGCTTTACAGCAGATAGACCTTTCTTAACACTGTCATATTTTTGAACTACAGGTTACGCTTGATATTCAGAGGGTAGGTACTAGTTGACAAACGAAACTCAAAACACGCAGTAGGTCTACTCATTCAACCAGCAAACTAGAACTGTCAGTGGTCACCCAAAAAAATTCACAAACCAAAACACAGTCGAAGCTCCCTTATGCGGACACTCTCGGGAAGCAATATGTGTCCCCAGCTGAAGCTGTTAGTTGACAAAAAAGGTTTTTGTAAGCGGGCAGTTTGTATTTTATTTCCTTCATTCAAAAGCATGCTGTTGATGTAGGAGATAATACGTAAAGTAATACAAAGGCCTCAAGAAAGAAACATCGAAGAAAAAGCACAAAAGGCAAAATACTAATGGAGAAGGGCACATAGTTAAACCTCTTATGCCCCTTTAACGATGTTGACTTTCCTCCGATATAGTGAAGCTCAATGCCTGTGATAAAAAGTCTATTGATACACAAACAAACACACGCGAACAAGGCAGCAAACAGCAGAAAGCTGCGGAGAACAAGAGGCAGCAATCACCATCGCTGACCGCTCAAGCGGATAGTCCAGATTGGAACTGTCCGCTTACAAGAGTGTTGGAAAAGAGAGCTTCGACTGTACTATGAAATTCCCCTGTACCTCACACCCAACAGAAGTGTATCGGCACAGCCTACTTAAAGATTACTGTTACTCTTACACGCCAAGAAGCTTGCCTCTGTTTATGTCATCATATATGTGTTCTTGAAATCATGCTGTCTGACTTACAATACATTTACAAGACGAACAATGACAGGACAACAAGGTAGGGTTGGGCACAAGATATGCGTGCCGACTGGGCACTCTTCAAAGTGAACAGTTTAGCGCAGAAAAGCCTGTAAAAACTTCTCGTCAACCTCCAACGATCACCTTTTGTTCCAACTTTTGTGGCACCTCAGATTTTCGCCCCACTTTGCCTTCTGCTTATTTAGGCTTCTCCGTGAATGATCCTTCCCATCCTTCTTCTGTTGCCCTTGTGCCGCCACGATTCCCTTTTGTCTCAGCCTCTCAACCTCTTCACCACTTACGGCATGAGCGCCTCTGCTGCCTCTACGGCCAAATAGGGCCGAGGCTGGTGGGATGATCTGAGGTCCCGCATTAGGAGGATGCCGCTCTCTTACAAGGTTGGCTGCTCGTTCGGCTCCTGGATCCAGTCCACTACTCCTGCGACCAAGTGAATGAGTGCTCATTGGACGATCACTGCCATTTGAGAGGCTAGAAGTGGATGGTTCTCTGGTAATTCTAGTAGAACCAGCCTCGTGAATTCCAGGTGATGGTGGTGACACTGAGGGCCTTGACACCTCCGACCGGTTCCAAGACATGCTATCGGATGCTACTGCGGAAGGTGCCTTCCTTGTTTGAGTAGTTGATGTAGATGACGTTGGGCGAACGGCTGGAGAATAGGTTGTATGTTTACCATTAAATGATCGTCCGTATTGCTGTGGGAATTCGTGTGACGGTAGTTGGTTTTGATTTCGACGTGATACTGATGGCCAAGATCTCGAAAACTGTTGCGCAGATGTGGACTGTGTAACTGTAGAATGCCCAGCAGAGGTTTCAGACGGTGATCTTGGGAAGACAGTAGGAGAACTTGATATTGCGGAGGGTGACTTTAGGTAATCTTCGTACTCAAATGAACGAAGAAATGTTGAATTGCTTTCTTTAATAGTGTCCCGTTGCAAAGCCGAGTCCTTTGCGGCTGTCAGCCGAGCATCTTTATGTAAGTGGTCTTCATAGGGACCCAAATAAAGGTTACTAGGGCCAGTTGCTTTAGAGTGCTTAGTGCTTCCTGTAGGAGAAACCACTCGTTTGCTAACGTGACTGTTGTCAGTCCTCTCTTTATCAGAACTATTATTCAAGGAATATGCTGTTGCTGAATGATGTGTGGCATTTAGAGTTAGAGATCTAATTCCATCACCGTTAAGCTTCTGTCTCTTGTTACTTTGCTCAGTCAAGGCTGGCCTCTCTTGGCGCATGTTGTCTTTAGCATAATCGTGTTTGGCATGGCTTTTCTTCTCATGTTCTTTCCTGTAAGAAGGGTGATGTCTTTGGTGTTCTTTTCGTTCCGAAAAATGTGGCTTCTTCGATACATGCTGATGTCGATGGTGATGATTATTAGCATGACTTTCAGGTTGCTTTTGAGGATCGCGTCTTTCCGAGTTCTTTTCACGTGCTTCCATTTCGGCGCTGTTTTGATGATGTCTCTGCCGTGAATTATTCTCCCTTGCATTATGGCGATCCATTTCCTTTGTACTCACGGAATTCGTGGAAGAAATATGCAGAGCATTCGTTGCACTGTTCACAGCATGGTGGTTCATCACGTTATTATCAAAGGATGACAGTTTGCCACTGGAGTCCCTTGAAAGGGCTTTCTCTTGCTGGAACGTTCCATTAGCCGTCTTTTTGGATCTTTGGTTCTCCACTGTCAGTGTAGGAGTTACTTTGGTGTTCTCAAGTCGTGTTGCTGACCCGGTCTGATGGTTCTGCCGAGGATCTTTAGCAGGAGACCTCTCATCGTTCCTAACACCAAGGGAGAGAACTGACTGAACATCCCCTGCAGATGCTACACGAAACAAACATTGCCTTACTTGTGCATCTTCAATTAAAGCTCCCCAATCTTTGGAATCACCCTGTCAAGCAAAGACAAGAACAGCATTGAGCTTTATAAATAATTGCCGACTTATCCATTAGGCTTGGAGAAGGCGCCGTGATCAAATGGTTCAATGAGAACTGTGCGGGCTCATCATGTTGTGTTCTTGGGCAAGACCCCTTTGTCTCACGGTGCCTCATTCCACCCAGATGTATAAATGAGAACTGGCGAATTAAATCCAGGGGGGTAACCCGACAGTGGACTAGCATCCCGTCCACGGAGGCACTTCATGTTGCGTAAAAAGGGAACAAACTCTTCCCTGATGGGTCGTTGGGCTCGTCCACACGCGTAAACTAAATTTGTTACCAATAAATTGCGTAACTGTGTTTGAAACCTTTGTAATATTAGTAATATGCACTTTGCTAAATTACTTTATTAAATGCTGTAGATGAGGTACAAACTTGGCCATGAATCTTTATATCAATCATTGTGGCACTATTGACTCGCAAAGGACAAGGGACCCAGAGCCGAAATGCGTCCCGCAATTGCTTCTGGAATCGTTACTGGGGTCGTGCCGTCAGCTACTGGCCAATTTTATCTCTGCCCCGATTAACAGTCCCAGAAGTTTTAGAGGAAGTAACTCGGCCTAGGTTCCCCCTCGTTTCTACAGTGGCGAATCTCAATTTCAATATCTTTTATCAGCAACATCAATTGTTTTGTTTGCTGCTAACGTTTAAAAAACTACAGACTACCTTCAGAGTATCCATGTGACCAAAGACATACAAAGCATGTCTAGCTCTTGTTAGGGAAACATTCATTCGTTGTCTGTCGCTTACAAACCTAAACAAACAGATAGAAAAGGAACATAAGGACGATGCAAGATTTCATAGAAAGGCAAACAGTATGCTCTTCCAATTATCTCTGTCTGAAAACAAAGATCAAAATTAAACGCAAAATTACGTTGCCCATGTATGGATATACTTTTATTACAGTACTGAAAAAGAATCATATCACGTACAAAACATAGGTTTCATCTTACCCTATAGAGCCTCGAACATTCTTTGCACGAACACAGCTCAAAATAATCACATCTTTTTCTCTTCCCTGGAAATAAAGTAATGCATTGGTTTCACGTTTCATAAAGCCTTTGTCTGGCTACCACAATAATAACTGTAAAGTACCTGAAAGCCATCTACTGTGTTCACTTCAATAATGGCACCATCTCTAGATAAGCCCCTAAAAAGACACAGAAACACAAATTATTCTCAAGATGATGACAACAAGACTGGAGTTTTCTTAAAAAAAAAAAAAACTACTGTTATACCATACACCTCCTATCTGATTAGCCTAGAGGACAAAAGACTTAAGTATTTTGTTTAAATGGACTTTGAAATGATGAAAAAAAAATTAAAATCGCGTTTTAGTTTTTATTAGTTATTGAGGGGGTATCGCAAATGAGGCACCTTCATCTTACAATGGGGAACCAGTCTTCCGGTGCAGCGGTGGGTACTGTCTGAGTACAACAGCTTTGATCACTTCTCAAAAGCAACAGATTTTTATCTTACAACACCATATAAAATGAAATATTAAGACTAGGGAATGCTATCAATAGCTATAAATCAACCACTGACCCACATGAACAGTGTGCGTCTGTGTCTGGCAACAGGCACTTTGTAAGATCCAACGACGCGACGGCAACGAGAACGTCGGTTAAAAAGTGAATTTGCCTTCATTCAGTCTTTATCGCGATTATTCCTACCAACCTGAATTGTCAAATGTAGGCGAACCCTCCTGAAGTTGAATATCCAAAGTCAAAGAGAGAAATAACACAAATTCACTTTTTAAGCAACGTTCTCGTTGCCGCGCGTCGTTGGATGTCTAAGTCCCTATTTACAGAAAACCGTCGTACGGTTCATTATTACTGACAGAGGTCTCTTGGCAAGGGAAAGCAAAATCAATATTCACCTCTCGTGGAGTTTCCTTTGAAGCTCCGTTTTTTGTTTCCTGTACGGCGTAATAATGCCAACACTTTCTGGCTTCAATATCATTGTAAGTTTACTGCACAAATCAGCGATTATCTCCACCTCAGCTGGATTCCACAATGCGCTTTTTAAGAAAGAATTTAAGAATTAACGTTAATGCCCATTCCCTCAACTACCAATAACAAAGAAGCAAGTTACAAGTCACTGTGCTAATTGGTAGGAGCGGGTAACGCCCTCTTTCAGGGAGAATTCTTATCTTTTTTATCAGCATCGGAGCAATTTGCAAGTTGCATTCAAGGTCGGCAATTCTACAATGACCGCAAAAACATCATCATTATAATTGAGCTTCTAAGCACCACTATTCTACTCGTGTAGGTTCCACTGTATCAAGACGGATGATTGTAATGACTGGTTTGTAGCACTTAAATAAAGCACTTTTAGGATTAAAGAAAACACAAGTTTTTAAGCTTTCTTAGTCATTTAGAGGGGAACAATTGCTGTCAATTTAGATAGCAAAAATTGGCCAAACATCCTTATAATTCTACTGTGTGTTTCGTTTTATATAAATGTAAAGTTATAGGAACGATTCCTCTTCTGTGTTAGTGAAAGACATGCACTTAGCTGATACGTACCCTCGCTCTTGACTTATCTCTTGTCCGCAAATAACATCAAAAAGCGCGTAGTGCTTATCCAACCAAAATCGCCTCTTCGCTAAAGAGCTGCAACGCAAATGGAGGTGTAGGATTACTTAATCACCATCAAAAGGTGACAAGGGCCGCAAGGTGAACTTATTTATGTGACGCACGCTAATTTCAAGAAACACTTGTCTAAAACGGGTGCTTTTATCAACAATTTCATTCATTTATTACTTCATTTTTATTTAATCGCCGTAAATCCCCCGACCCCCGAATCAATGTCGTTTGTAGTAAACGAAAGACTACAATATTGATTTTGGGGGGAGGGGATGAGGGTACACAGGGGGGAGGGATAGCTATGTCCACTATGCAAAAAGGGGTCATTTTATAGAAGTGTCGCAATACTTTTGTCCTTTATTATTGTTCAGTCACAAAACTCTGGGGATTGTTTGCTAAACAACCAACGCTGCAAAACTACTTTAAGGGATCTAACCTGTGACTCTTCAGGCGAGAGCTGTAGACATGTTGAGACGGAAAAGAAGCAATTTCTGGATGCATACGGTACTGTTCTTCTAACATCAGTACTGGCTTGCCAATGTCTAAAGAAAATAAAATATCAAATTTGATCTCCACTAAAACATTAAACAAAGTATACAGACACAACACTACAAAGCCGAATATTTGAAGCTGCAATTCAAAGAAAAAATGGCCAGCGTACATATGAGACGGGTCAGTGAATTAAACATGTTTGACAGTTGGCGATTGACCTTGGCATAGAAGGCGTATATCACTCTTAATGAATGACACCATGACCTTTTCATTTCAACATTATCGTTTGTGCGGGTAAGTATGCTATGTCATATTGGTTTCCCTGCGGTGCGTATAAACCGCCGCCTGGTTAGCTCAGTTGGGAGAGCGCCGATCTGCTGAGCGGGAGGTCGCGGGTTCAAACCCAAGCCGCACCAACACTCAGGGTCTTTAAATAACTGAGAAGAAAGTGCTCCCTTTGTAATGACATCTGCAAATGGTCAGACTTTCTAGTCTTCTGGGATAAGGACGAGAAACCGTAGGTCCCGTCTCACAGCACTTTCACTGATTTGTTCTTGTGGGACGTAAAAGAACTCACATCACTATTCGAAAAGAGTAAGGGTCGTAGACCCCGGTGGTGTGGCCAACCTTTGCGGGTTGTGGGATTGGGTAGGGATGGCACCTCGCATGGGACCTGAGTCCCGTTCGTACACATTCCCTCTGGGCAGGCCTGTGTCCCAAAAAGCTGGTAAATAAAGGTGTGCACGGATGAACGGTCGAGCGACAATCAAAAAGTTGCAGATGGATAGTTTACAGATTATATTCATGGTGCTGCGCTGTTTTGTAGCACGTGCAAAGCCGCATCAAGTGTCAGTAGCACAATTTCGTTTAACCAGGCGTCTTTTCTATAAATTGGTAGCCTTCAATTAAGTTCACAAAAGCAAGTTGCAATTGCTAAACACCGCAAACTTGTGAAATATGCCAGTAAAGGATGTCACGTTTGGTAACACTGAAAAACCACCCCTTATAAGGACCTTGTAATTCTCTAATCTTGACAAGAAAGCGAAGCCATTAGGCTTTCGTATCCATGTTCTACATAAGCCGTTGTACGTTGATTAATGATAGCCGAAAAACAAAACGAAAGCCAGAACACCACAAAGAGAGCTTGATAGTCAAAAATTATACATGTATTCGCATTTTGGAATAAATTAAACAATTAAAAATAGGAAATTCGTTCAGAAAGCATCGCATAACTTAAGAGGAGTATGTTAAAGAATAGACGACCAAGTTTATACAGGAATTAATATTTTGGAATATATTAAGTGATGAGGCATTTGTCTCATTAAAGAACAGAGAGGTGGGAGAGAGGTGTCGCAGGAGTTGCGACGTCACACGTAAAATGCAAAGCAAAAATTATTACAGGTATCGGCACTTTGCAACAAATTAAACAGTCATGAATCTTGCTTTAAGAAAGCCTCTAGGTAAAGCCTGGTTTTCACTAGCGCATAAGCATAACATAAGAACATACGCACGCGCAGAATGGCATATTTGACTCAACTCTTGATACCAGCTCTCCACAACCCGATGGTAAACAAGATGGCGGACGAAGCGTCCGCCATATTGCTTTCGATATGTTCGCATGAGGTCTGGGTCAAAGTGACCTATGATTGGTCCACGGCCTTGTGCTTATGCTTGTGCTTATGTCGACCCCGTTTTCACTAGTCAAAGCTACTACATAAGCATAAGCAAAAGCACAAGAAGAACGAACTTGTCCGTTTTTCTTGTGCACGTGTTTAAGCTTTTGTCGACCCAGTTTTCACTTGCTTACACATGTCCTTGTGCTTATCCTTATGCGCTAGTGAAAACCAGGCTTAAGATGAAACATTGCACGTCATGCAACGATCCTCTCCAACTTATGTTTGAGGACACGAATAGCCTTATATAGGGCACTCCCAAATCGTGGAAGTAAATTGAAAATTTTATCCTTGTTAGAGCGGACAGCAGAAACAAAATAGATGATAACTCACGAGGTCTTTCGGTTGACATTCGGCGATGTGTGTGAAAAATCGAAGATCGTCTATTTGAGAAGTTTGTAACATAATAATAATAACAATGAAACACTAACATTAATGATGATGATAATAATAATAATGAAACCTTAGATAGCAATGAAAGAGCTGAAACAGTGGCAGATGAACCCAATGAAGCTGCCACTTAAGAGTTGAGCCAGCGATCAGTTGAAAACTAGTAACTTGTCAGCGGATAACTTCAAAAAACATGTAACCTCGATGCGTCGATACGGTCTGTCATACTGGTCAGCGGTTAACCCTGTTTTTACAACTATCAATTGACCACAATATAGATTTTAAGCTCCACACTTGCTGGCAAGACTGAGATTTCAAATTGGTTGCCCTGTGGCGCGGACGGACGAACGTACAGTCACGTGATGGATATAGAACCAAATTTTCTCAGTTATGGAGCTCCACTACCATCTCAGTGGAGGACATTTCAAATGAAAAAAACAAAATGGCAGTTGGAAGGGGTACTGGTTTAAGAAACGGACAGAGATACAATAGATTGCAAGAAAAGCTAGAAGGCGTTTGCCCAGTTAATGTTCCAGAAAACAGATGAAATGAAACAGAGATGAACCCACTGAAGCTGCCACTTAAAGTTGAACCAGCGATCAATTGAAAACTAGTAACTTATCAGCGGATAACTTCAAAAATCATGTAACCTCGGTGGGCCGAAACGGTCATGTGATAATGGTCAGCGGATACTCTGTTTTGACAGCTAACAATTGACCACAACATTGATTTTAGGCTCCACAAATGCAATTTTGTCCTCCACTCTTGCAGGAAAGTCTGAGATTTCATATTGGTTGCCCTCTGGCGCGGACGGACGGAGGTACAGGCACGTGATGGATACATAACAAAATTTTCTCAGCTATGGAGCTCCACTATCATCTCTGTGGAGGACATTACAATTGTAAAAAAACAAGATAGCAAATTGAAAGGGGTACTGGTTTAAGAGACGCACAGAGGTACAACAGATTGCAAGAAAAGCTACAAGGCGTTTGCAAAGGTAATGTTCCAGAATGGATGGGCACAGGAATAAAATTTCGATAAAGAAGGATCCAGCGAAGGGGAACAAGGCCAGCAACTATCTTCTTATTGCCTGCCTATCCATGACAGGAATCATGGGAGAGAAGTTAAACCTACAGCTGGAGAGGAATGGTTTGCTAGTAGATTAATAAAAGCTGTATAATAGGAAACCTGAGAAAAAGATCAATTGCTTGAAGATTGAACTGTGCAGAGGAACTGCCGAAGAAGGCTGAAAAACTTATCAATGGCTTGTACAGATTATAAGAAGGCCTTTGATATGGTGCCTTATTCGTGAATCTTGAGATGGTTGGGGTAAACAAGAATAAAATCTCTGTAATCAGTAACAGCGTGCAGTGGAGCTTGGGCAGGTTGACGTCAGGAGACACATTGTTCGCCTTGCTATTTTTTTTTCACTGACTCTAGTTTTAAGACAGGTGAAAGCTGAATACAGACTAGCAGAGGACATGAGGCACATCGACCATCTATTGTTCATCGCATCAAAAAGGGGTAAGGATGTTATTAGAATACATCAAAATGTCTTTTGGGCTAGACAAGTAAGCTGTCTTGGAAATGAGAAGAGGAAGGAAACTTGAGAGCAGTGAAATCGACCTACCAGATGACCAACACAGTGAAGTTGTAGATGAGGGCTACAGATAGTATGGAAATTTCAACAGGACCAGACTATCAATACCAAAATGAAAGGCAAGAAAAAAGCGGGATATATCAGAAGAGTTACGAAGCTGTGTAGTTCCAAATTGAATGGCGGAAGTCATATTAGTGGCATAAAAGCCTGGGCTGTAGATGTAGTACGCTGCAGTGCAGGTACCATGGATTGCGGAGTGGAAGAGAGAGCCAGCAGGGATAGAAAAACTAGGAAGATATTGGCAATGAAATGCTGTTTACACTCCAGAAGTAATGTTGCCAGACTGTATCTACCGAGGAAGAAAGGTTGGGGGGGGGGGGTGCGGTGATTGGTTTTACGAGTGGTGAAGAGGGAGACCAAATCCTGGCATGGCTCCCTGAGAGACAGCACAGAGTAGGTGCTGCAAATGGCTTGGAAGGAGAACGTGCTTTATAAAAGGATAATCTTCAGGGCTACTAGAGGACGAGGAAAGAGGAGAAAGTCAGTAGTTGGAAGTAAACGCCCTCTTCTCCGGATGTGGAGGGGAGTCCTTGCAATGGATCAGGAATGGTTTTTAAAATAGGAAACAGAAGGCTGATCCTCAAGAACAAGCTTTAAGAACAAATTCGGTCAAGCACAGAATAGAGAAGACCTCTGAGACACCACTACGCAGATTTTATCTTTATTGAAACAGCATGTCATACTGTCAGTAGATGTAGGAAGCTTGCCCAGAGAGAATATAGGACGTGGCACTACGGGGCTCTAAGGGTGTACCGGGAGCTTGGCAGAAGGTATGGTTAGAATGTACCGACAAGTGTTTAGACCATCAAGCCATCCCAAATGCAGAGTAGAGAAAGGAGGATAATTTGGGACAGGAGACAAGCTGCTGATGCACAATTGGCCAGATATTACTGTAGTACACAAAGCTACACAGAAGTGGCACACATTGACATAGCTGGGCCAGGTGGACCAAAATATCCTTACTACTGAGGGGGAGAAGGTGGAAAGGTATCAAGACTCAAAAGTAAAAGAATCCATAGTCACGAAAGTGACAGTACTACCCATCGTGATTGGTACACTATCTCCAAGAATGAAAAAAGCTTGGTATGGGAGGTTAAGTCTGCCTGACAGTTTTGGACGAGCACAGTTGTTAGCCATCCTTGGTACTGCTCACATCTTGCGGTAAGCTGCTGAATCATGGCTGAGAAGACCCAGAAAAAGACGAGAACTAAAGAGAATAATAATAATAATAATAATAATAATAATAATAATAACGGTAATAATGTTAAGACACTGGGCAGTGTCACTTGCCAGATATGTGGATAGAGGAGAAGGGGGAGGGGGTATTGAATTGAGAAAACACGAAAGTCAGCATTTAGACCATAGGACAAAAGAGTTCGTTCGACGGGCTTGTGTGGCACGACATCAAGTGCCAAGGAAGGTCGGAGGAATGGCCCCTGTATCCATAGACGACTCTGTCAATCAAGCCAGGCAATCGCTAGAAAGTTATGTCCAATCCAGTCATGAGGAACTGTTGAAAACAGTTAGGAGGGAAAGAGTTGAAAAACAAAAAAAGCCCTCCGGCTTTAGAGCAAGGAGAACTGAATTCAGAATGGCAAGAAAACCGTGAAGGCCATGTAAATGAGGAAACGTCGTCTTGGTTGAAGGAAAGAAAGGGAGAAACAAGCTCTCATCAATGCAGTTAAGAATCCAGCTTACGTACTAATTACATGAAAGCAAAGATTGACAAGTGGCAGAGCAGAAGCTGATACCGTCAGCCATATTCTATGTTCATGCCCGAAACTGGCACAAGAATCAAAGACGAGAAATGACAAAGTGGCTGGGGCAATCCATTGGGTCCTGGCTGAAAAGTGCAAATTTAAGCGGAATGACCACGTTTTGGAAGGAATTCAGTGTTCGAACATGTAATGAATTACGGCCAGGGGACCGAATTGGGGGATCAATAGACAGAGGTGCTGTCAAATTATAGATTTGCCAATAACAAAGGATTGACTGGGGAGGAAAAAGGAAGCTGTGAAAGTTGAAAAATATCAAGATCTTGCGAGAGAAGTTCCAAAACTGCGGGGTGAAAGGACAAAGGTGGTTCCGGTGGTGGTGGAGGCATAAGGATCGGAACCCTTTCATCGGAGGGTTATTGGCGCGGAGGTGTCGACAAAAGTGATCCAGAAATGTGAACTGTTGGGCCAGCAAGAATTTCAAGAAACACGCTCGAGGTGTAGAGAAGATGAAAGCAAACAGCTTGGCCTTCCCAGGCAACTCGCCGTTATCCAGGCCCAGAGAGGATATCAACATCATCAGCTGTGCGAAATTTAAATAACGACGACGAAGACGATCATGATGACGATGCGAAATAATGACTGATTTATTTGCCCTTGGCAGTGCTTATAGCACAAAAGTTAGCATGGCCAAGAAAATGACTAAAACAAATCATCTACATCAAACGTAAGTTAGGGGTTAAAAATCCAAACTGGCCGGCGGCCAATCCCGTCGGCTATTCAAGAGAGTGGTCGAGGATCTGAACTCGGGACTACCGTGAAACAAATCCAGCTAGCGGTCCGGGCGGGACTTCAACTCGGGGCCACCGAATTGCAAGTCCAACGCACTAACCACTCGACCACGTTACCTCCAAATAACCGTAAGCTTTTTCTGATAGGGACGATATAAATAAATCGACTGCCGTGAAGATTTTCAAGGATCGCTTTTGCTAAGGAGCCGAAAAAAGAAAAGAAACGTGTTTTTCCCAATCGAAGGTAAAAAACAGCGAATCAACAATTTCGTTGGTAACTTTGTTTTAACCCCATGGGTTGCACAAAAGGATCGAACTGTTTGCGCCCTTTTCAAAAGGAAGTCTGGGATTTCTCGTTTTTTAACGTTAAGAAGAGGACAACCTGTAATCAATACCATCCGAAAACGGTAACTTAAGAGTATTTCTAGTTCCGTTTTCTTATCACGCATGAGTGAATTCCGAAGTCAGCGTGCCATCTTCCATAGAGTAAGAGATCGTGCTCTATATTGGCAAAGAAATCAAGGTAAAAACTGAACTTCTCATTTGTTTGAAAGTTCACCGTTACTTTTTTTCAATAAGCGACAATTGCGTATGATGCAAGCAGAATAGATGAAACTTCCAGAGTGTGTTTTTTCATGTCGTGGATTTAACAGAAAGGGTCAAATTGTGATTGCCAAATGACCACTTGGAAAAGTAGAAAAGACTAAGTACACGCGGTGTATTCTCGAGGTCCACACTAATCTTTCGGGGTTCGCGTTTAAGGTTTAATAGGTAAAACAACAACTTTGGAAGTGCAACACACTTTCTTGAAGATTTCTTCAACGTCATTGCACAGTCACCGTCACGACTGTTCCATGAAAATGCCTAATTTCAACTCATTATGGAGGAGGTAGACAAGCTATGACGAAGCCGTCCTTTCTCTTGGATATGGTCCTTCGGAATTTAACTCCAGGATGGTTTTCCTATATTTGATAATTTAAGTGAGCTGGAATAATCATGATTACATCTGAAAGAACACAAGTATACATTTCAAGCCAGCTTAACTTTCCTAATAACGCCTATAGTGCAGGCTACCCGAGTTGGCGTCGCCTTTGCCGTATCCGAGTTATCGGCACATTGCATCGAGATGGCAAAAATACACCTGTCCGCTTATCTTAATAGTTTTCGAGAATATACATTTCACTACTGTGCATGAATAACACAGTGTTTCGTAGTTATCAGAGCACTTCGATCGTACACGTTAATTTCGATGTTGTTGAACGTATGCAAATCCTTTCATCACTTGCTAAAACACGGGAATCGGTTACTGCGATATACCTACGATTTTCGTAAACTAAGGGAGACAGGATTTGCTGCTTTTTTAACAGAACTTCCTCGAAGGGAGTGAAGCACAAGCAAGCAGAACGTCTGCGTAGGAGGCTATTTTGTCAAATTTGCCTGTGCAATGGCAGCATTCTTGCCTACATGCATTCAAGTTAAATGGTCAGATGTAAACAGACATCACCAGGACTAGCTGAAGACAGCTAGATTGTACCAAGGCAGGGTGACGAAGAGGCCGAACTCGGGACTGCCGAGAAACAACCTCACCTAGTGGTCAGTGCTACACTTGAACCTGCGACCTCTGGATCACAGAATCAGTGCCTCAACCACTCGTCAACACTGCCTCCTGATGGGATTTTGTTTCTGTTTCTGGGTGTCTGTGTGTACAGATTGCTGTACGCCTGTCAGCTTCTAGGTCGCAAACGACCACACTAACGAATTTCGTCGCACATAAAGCAGTATCTTTCGCTGCTTTGAAGCACTTCCAGAAACCACTACCAACATTTTTTGTCGATCTTTTAAAAACTCCAATGCTCAGAGTATGGAATGTGTTCTTTTTTCTTTTTCGAAATGTTACCTGTGGAGTTGGTATTTTTATCCCAAATAATAAAGACACAAAGACGAGGGGTTTTGAATAACAGAAAAAAATCTCTTTTCTACTACTTTCGGCGACTTTGCTATCATGATTCCTCTCAATCTGACATAGGCTAGATTGCTTTAAAGTCGATTAAAAATTATGCACAACGTTAAAAAACTCGAAAGTAAAATGAGAACGCACGAGATGGGGATGGCTACAATTTTTAGAATTCGGGGTGATAGCCTGATATTTAAAATCTGCTCACGGGTGCCTCTTGGCCTTTCCGCGTCTCCTCGTATGTCCTCTAAAAACGACTGGTGCAACTTTCTTATTAGTGTGTGATGAATAAACGGCATCACAAAAATAAAAACAGTTGCAATTTTGAAAACTTAGGATACGTTTCTTTACTAAAATCCAAGATCAGATCAAAAATCAGGATCGTAAGGATTTTTCGTTGAGAAAAGAAGCGATGTTTCCAAAATTTCAAATAAGTGAAGTGATTGATAGCTGGGAGGAAATTTACGATTAAATAAGCCCCCTGCTCCTCCAACAACAAGCGAGTTGCTGACCTCTTTGTTCACAATTTGCATATTAGCATGCGAGTTAGGAAGAAAGCGTCATCAAACTGAGTTAAAACGATGGATGAGCGGATTAACTTGAGCAATGTTCAGCTTTTTGAAAGCAATACCTAACGAAATAGCTGGGTAGCAAAAACGATCATGAAACATTTCGTCTGCTTTGTAAATTTTCAGTTTATAAAGGAGAATTTATCCGAAACTATTCGGTTAATCGGGCTCAAATTTCAAATATTACTGACATTGCCATTCTCTTTCAATATCTAGAAATACTTTTCACCAGCTTGATCAGAGAATAAGCGTGCATTAATGAGGCAAAAAAATGTAAACAAAGATTCGCCTATATTTGGACAGTCTCATCAGTACTAAACTGATCTAACAAAGTTTCCCCGACATTTAATTATTTACTGCTGCTACCACTACCTACCCGGAGACACTTCTTTATAACTGAAGGATGATTGACCTCAATGGCTACGACCACCCTCATTATTTTTAAAGTTAAGACCCCATGTCATCCTTTACACCTCTTAAAACCATAACCTTCACTCAAAAGCCCGATTGTAAAAACATCAACTCGTTGGAGTTTTAATTCCATTACTGTCTACAGAAATAGTCCAGCTAGATTGGAGAACTAGCACACAAGCAACTAACTTACCTGCAAACTTTCAGTATGTATCGGAATTTTATATAGCATTCCCTCGATTGTTCCACTCCGCCCTACCAAAACTTTTTTAACTCTTATTTTATGGAACCTCTTCCTGTTATCGAGGAAATTGCTTACACGTCTTTGGCAAACTGAAGTCCCTTTTCTTTAATGATTCTAAAAACCGGTTCAATACGCCTCACATCAGAAAACACAATCGCTTCATATTGCCTCTGCTGACGGTACACTTAAACTTGTCGTATCGCTTATCTCTTACAATATTTTTTGACCTCTTGTAAAAACAGTTTAATTTAAAATGTTGACTTATTTTACCATCCACCTGAAGGCCTCTCGGCTGCTGATTATTTACCAACAATATGGTCAGCTACCAACCAATGAACGCCACTTTCCATCGACATCACCTTTTCATGTCCCTTTGGACTGTGCAGACAGATTTCTCCTTTCTTTGCAAAGTTGAACGCGTTGATACGAGCTTTGCAATCCAACAGGAGGTCTTATAGAGTTAAGAAATTACCCCCCGTACAATTCCATTTCCCATCGAAAAATCCAGACAAAATGCCTTCCTTTCTCACTTGCCGCTTTGTTTCCATTTCATTTCCGTTCTTATACAAGTAGCCTTGCCAACCAAATGTATACTTTATGAAGTTGATTAAATACCAATAAAAATATCAATTACCAACAAAACATCTGAACCCCACGCTTTTTCATATCTGGAAGCCTTCATAATCATTCCATGAGAGGAAATTTGAGCACCATTGCTCTTCAGTGGCCAAAGACATTTCCTTTCAACCAAACTTTTGCGCATGAGCTGTCTTACTTTCGTATTTTAAAGATGCATTGACAACAAGCCACTTATTTCCTTACCACAAAGTCGCCCATTTCGATTTTCCGCAATCTTCATTTCTTTCTAGACCTTCGATAACAATTACCGACCTGTAGATTAAGCCAGTGTCTTTCATCGATTGCCATATGAAGCAAGATATTTGCCCGGCATCCGCAAAATTTAAAGAGGCAACAATGTGGAACACTTAGAGTTATAACCGTGAAGCATCAACACCAGATTTGAAGTATTCCTCCAGTTTTCCCCTCTATTCGATGCTCCTGTTTTCCGCAACTATCAGCCCCTCCGCCGACGCTTGGGCCCTGTTCGCAGTACGGGAATTTTTGTTTTTTTATAGCAAGCAAATCTGTCAACAGGAAGCCATATCTAGTGCGAAAGATTTTTTTTACACCTACCAAGATATTATCAACTGTCACTAAACGTCAAAGATGCCGTCGAGAATAATTAGAGGCCTACAATTTTTTGCTAGGCGACAAATTCCTTTGATCCTTGACAGCTATCCTTCAAAAGGTCATCTTAATTCGCAAATATGACCAATTAAAGTTGCTTTAACGTTTCTGATTATACGGACAATTTCGCGTGTCTCAGGGGCGAACAAGGTTGCAAAAACAAAAAAATTGATTTCAAAATTTTCAAATTTTTTGTCAACGCCAAACTCTGTTTTTCGTTGCAATGCGAACAGGGCCTTACTCCACTGTTCCTTGATGACCTTAATCTAATCGAAAAACTATGTTGCCAGACGCGAGAAAACCACCATCCGAGTAGAAAGTAAACAACCCACACTACTTGGAAGACATTTGCCGGAAGGATCTCTAACAATCATGTGTTTTGTAAGGAAAACAGACAAATTCCAAAATATAAAAGACGAAAAAAAGCGTGTTCCATAATAACCAAATTTCACATTTTTTCGAAGTACGTAAGTTTCACCTTGAGTTTCTTTAAAACAAGCGACAGTTGCGTATATGACGCCAGAATAGATGGAATTACCAGAGTGTGTTGTTTACTGTCGTGAATTTGACAGCGAGGTTCAAAAAGACCGTCCCTGATTGCCAGATGACCAGTTGGAAAAGGTACAGTAGACTGCTTACAAGCGTTTTCTCGAGCTCCACGCTAGTTTTTCGGGGTTCGCGTTCGAGGTTCAATAAGCAAAACAACAACTTTAGGCGTGCAGCACACTTTGGAAAATGCCTAATTTGACACATTATGGACAAAGTAACCAAGCGGTGAAATGGAATTCAACTTTAGGAGAGTTTTCCAACATTTGACAATGTGAGTTGGAATAATCGCGATGAAGATCGAAAGAATCAGAAAACTTTTGATGTTACATGTTAATTCAGAGGGAATTGTTTTGATGTCGTTTGTTGTATGCAAATTTTTCCATCACTTGCCAAAACACGGGGATCGTTTTATGACTTTGCCGACTTATTGCGATATAACTAGAATTTTTTAACACTAAGGGAGGCCAATTTGCTGCTTTTTATCAGACTTTCTTTGAGAGAAGTGAAAGACAAAAAGCCTGCAGCAAGTCTGCCTAAGACGCTTTCTTCTAGTACTTGGCTGTACAATGAATGGCAGTAGTCTAGCCTACTTCATCTTGTTTGTAGGTATTCAAGTTGAATGGTCGGATGCAAATAGACATACAATCATCAGACCTGGCTGAAGTCAGCCCAGTTGGTGGTATCACGGAGGCAGCGTGGCAAAGAGGCGGAACTTGGGACTGCCAGGAAACAACCTCACCAAGTGGTCAGTGCTACACTTGAACCTGCGACCTCCAGATCACAGAACCAGCGCCTCAACCACACGTCAACGCCGCCTCCTGATGAGAACGTGTTCCTCTTTGTGAGTATGTCTGTGTGTGTACATTGCTGTACGCCTTTCTGCTTCTAGATCGGAAACGACCACGCACACGAATTCATCGCGCACCAAGCTTTTTTTTACTGCTTTTTAGCACTTCCAGAAACCAATGTCAACATATTTTGTCGATCTTTTTAAACTTTGGATGCACAGAGTATGGACCGCAGGGTTTTTTTCCTTATACAAGGTTATCCAGGGAGTTCGTACTTTTATCCCGCACACGTTTTTCCAAGAACAAGACTTGATCGCGCAAAATCCATTTATTACTTTTTTTCGACATTTTTGTTTTCACGATCATAGTAATTTCAGCTTTAGGGCTTTAGATTGATCACGATTTAACATGGGTTAAGTTGCATTAAAGCAATTTAAAAACTCGGAAGTAAAAGAAGAACGCTCACGAAGCGCGAGGGCTGACCACGATTTTAGAGATCAGGTCAGATGAAATCTACCCGCAAATTAATGCTCTGACAAATTAAAATAAAGAACAGAGGAAAAGAAACGAAAACAGGAACATAATACCTGTAAAACATGAACACATAAATGGCACGCTAGCAAGAAGAAAACTGACCGTGATGTCTGAAGAACCTGTACAGCCTTTCAAACATGGAACGTCCAAAAAATTTCTCCTTTGCCTTCTAAAAATGGACCAAAGAGAACGTCAAATATATTACTGAACAAAAAAGAGGATTCATAAATCCTAAAAACTGTTTCAGCCTCAATATATTTCCCACCTCCTTCCCCTTTATGGTAGTTTCTTGGTGTTACGGGTGGGTGCAATCACCAACACCGACCCTGTGATATTACTTACCATGGACAGAACAGTGGGTGGAAGCTGTTCAGGGTCTCCAACAAGCACCAACTTGGACGCCATATGTTCAAGCGCTATGAGGACATCTAGTTCAGTACACTGACATGCCTACAGAAGATAATACCCATTGCTGTGAAGCCTTAATTACACATTTTTTTTGTTTTATTCTATCCCAGACCGGACCACAACTATAGCATTTCTTATGAGGTAACTTGTCAAACATAAACAGATTCATTAGCTGGAATTTTGAAAGTGACCCTTTTGTCAAGACTCCGAAAAAAGACCAGCTCTCAAAACATAGGGAAATTACGGTTGCCCATTTCACCTTATTAGTTGCCCAACTTACCCCTATACCTCTTTATAATAACTTCCAACCGTGAGCTTGCCGTCTTTAACAATTGGCATCACCTCAGCTGATCATGTCACTGATTGGTCCCATAAATCTATTAGCCTTATCCCGTTCATCTTTCCTTATCAGGTCGTAGGGTAGATAAAGAACCTTGACGGTTTTTAAGCAGGGGGTCTCCTTCCACAGTTGGGAAATGAAAATCAAATCCGCTTAGACAACCTGATTCCTTGCATCTTGGGAAAGTTTGGTTGTTAAAACTTTAATAAAAAAAGAAGTAACCTAGACCTACCTCGTCGACGATAACGCAGGTAAACGGGCAAATAGGCCTACAAATAGTAAACAGAGAATATTAGCACAAAACCGAACGGATAGAAGAAGGCAGCGCAACCAAGGTATACCTTCCAGCTTGTTGCAAGTCACGTTTTAAGCTTCTACTGCCCGCTCCACTGAGGGTGGTACAAACGATATCTGCAGAGTCTAGAATATCTCGTCTTATTCGTGCTTCCTGGCGCCGGCTATCAGCGTCCTTAGCTTTCTCTGCACGATACTTCATGCGAAGTTCATTTTTGGTGGTGTTAAGCTTCTCTTTCTCCCTTATCTTGTCACTCAGCTGTTGAAAAACAAATAACGCGTAGAATACAGAGATAAACTTCACTAAAAGTGGAATAAGGTAGATACCCTATATGCCATATATATATCATATCCGAGGTAAAAAGGGCTAATTAACAGAAATGTAAAAGAAAAGTAACTTGTCGACATTTTGGAATTAGCTGTATCCCGTAGTGTTTACTGCAATCGCTCAATCTCTCACAGTGGGAATTTGTATTGTATTACTTAATAAACTTCCAGATGATTCCCATGAAAGGCTAACGGGGTTTCTGAACGAAAGGACTTGCTTATGGATGTTTACTTGCTTCGATTTATTAAAAGCTTATATTCAGAGCTGTGAGAGAATTAGAAACAGAAGACTAAATAGTATGAAAAGCATCTTGGGAAAACTGCTTTTAATTGGCCCTAGAACGAATAGCATCCAGGAAAAGCATGGAGTGGCCTGAGAAGAACCCAAATTGGGTGAAATATAAATAGGAATACAATCGCCAGGTGACCTCATGGAAGGAAATATGACCTTGATAATGTTACGAGTAAACACCAAAAAAGAACGAAAAGATACCTTGGTATTATTATCGGGGAAAGGAGAATTCTTTAATTCTAGAATCTCTATGTCCAACTCCTTTTCTCTGTGCTCATAAATCTTAAGTTTTTCTCTGATGGAGTTGAGATCTCCTACGGCAGAAACAACGGTCTGTCTTTCCTTCACTTCCTTTGTTAAGCTGTCCAAAGAAAACTTCATCACAGAGGGATGTATGTGTGACTTGCGACCCACCCGGACTAAAGACAAATCACCACAATTTCTGGAGAAAACTAGAAAGAAAAATTTTAATAAAATGTTTTATTGATGCCTGGACTTCTGCACTTTTTAATGACATAAAGTGACATTTTGATCATGAACCCAGCAAATTAAGCGTAGATTCGGTCGCCAAGAACGTTTGGAAATCATGAACATTGGGACAAATTTTATTTAAATTGTTTCGAATAACATGTATTGTCCGATTACTAAGTCCATTTTATGCAAATGAAATGCACTCCCTGAGTTAATTGGTGTTCAGTACCCACCAGCAAAGTGATGGCAACGAGCAGCTATTTCACGCAATTGCTGGTCTTTACTTGACTTCATCTACAATGAGACAGACAGTGACTTATTTTGGGAGGTTTTCCTGTCTGAATAGTCCTTGAATTAGAAAAAGGAATCCTTTAACGTTTCAGAGTTCCTTTCATAGCAAAACTCAGCGACAGATGATTCTGTTGGTTTCCCGCCGCCATGTTGGTGCCCAATCCGATGTACACCAGCATGGCGTCTCCATTGCGTATTTATCTCCTTTCATTTTCCAGATTCTGGACTTTATCTATTTCTATTATGGATGACGTGATAGTGAAAACTAGCAATTGCCAGGTATTGAAAAACTGGTTCCTTATCTCTCATAAGCAGACATGCCTATGGGGATAACGTCACATCATAGTAACAAAAGTCTTCGAGCATGTCCCTAGACCATTGAATTTTTTGAAAGGTTGCACAGGTATTTCCATATCGTGACTACTAAATATCGCCACCAAAATATTCATCCACAGACTGCTGTACTGACGTTTCGTAGTTCGAGAATGTACCACACGCACATTACAGAGAAAGAAATGAGTTACTTGAAAGTAGGGGTGAGCATTTACAATTACCAACCTTCCTTCACTGTACTTTTTCGGTTGCTTTTCCTGTTCTCCCTATCGTCCTTCCGTTTATCAAGACGAATTAATGCCTGTGCGACTTGCCCTATTAACTCATCGATAGCACCATTAGACGGTGCACATAATAAAATACGAGGTTTATCGGCTAGGGGTCCACTTGAAGAGCTTGATTGAGTTGCAACTTTTGGTGGCCGCTGTGTAAGGGAAGCATTAAAAAAAAAACGATTAAACACCGTTTTCCTTCTTTCTTGATAAACTAAGCCTTGATATTCCACTTACCATTAAAAGACAAAAAAGCATCATTGCAAAACCAACAGCGTCTTTCAATAAAGGAAATATGTTTGTACTTTACTTCAAATGGGCCTAATTACTGTAAATTTTCGTTGCTGTAGGATACAATCTTAGGGGTGACATCACAATTAAGTGAAACCATCAATTTCTGTATATTAAAAACACACATACTGCAGAAAACAAGGTGTCACCCCACTTCTGTGGGGCTTTGAAGTGAATGGTCCAATATGAGTATTTGTCAACGAAAGACACATATTGGGCACCGTCAAGAGAAATATATTGTGGTTGTAAGCTGTCCAAACCACTGTTTATATAAATATGCTCAAGGGCATTTAAGACTTGACAAGAGCGCGATTAGGTCCAAGCGGTACTGAAAACAGGCAGGTGACTTACTAAATACAGACGGAATAAACGACCATCAAAATAAACTCAGTTTGGCAGCAATTGACAAAAGTAGTGTAAGAGGGACGCTGAAAGTGTACAGGAGAATTTGGACAACCAAAAGGAACAAGGTACAGCACATTTTTTTTAACAAACAGGTTTTTAACTTTGACTTACATTTAATATCTCCCTAACAAGACCCACAATTGTAAAGGATTTGCCTGTTCCTGGAGGACCTTGTACTAAACATATACGAGGTAAAGGAAACTCCTTATGTATTGCATTTGCTGCCGTGGAGATGACTTTCTCCTGAGACTGATTGAACTTCTGCAATAAAGGAAGATAAATGCGTTAATTTTTTGAGAACTATTTGGTACTTGTGCCTCTGACATAAACAGTAGAAGGAAAAGAAATTAAGTTCTGGGAAAGAAAAAGGGGAAGGCAGTGCGTATTTGAACGTTTTACGCAATAGCTATTAACGCTACCATCAGAGGTCTGTGGCCCTTTGTATAATTAAACAAATAAGAATAACAGCAGTAATCATCATTACTGAGACTAAAGTGGTCGACGGTGACAAAATTAGCTTTCTTTGTAGTACCTTTGACACGAGTGATGATTGCTGATAATCTTCAGAGCAAAAATAAACTGCTTTTCGTGGTTTAAGGATGTCAGATACTAGAAGACTCTTGCTAAAATGCATCAAACCGCAAAATTGCCTCATCGCTGTTAACAGTGATGTCACATACTCTACTTGAATGCAGCTTTCCCGTACAGGTCGGAACTTTGAAGAGGTTTTGATTTCAAGAGTAAGCTGAAACTCTCTGGAACCTGACAAATCTGCAAGTAAAAGCAAATATATAGACATAAGGTTTACTGAAATACGGAACTTTTGTACCAAAGGCAACATTAATATTCACGTTTACACAGTATACCATCTTCTCCATTGCTGTCCAAACTTAATCTTCGGGAATACTGCATGGGTTTTACGTCAGCTTTCTCCACAATACCGAATACTACCTGGGCATACTGACCTCTGGGCTGCAGGTAAGAACCTGTCATAAAAGTAACACAGTTATCGAAACCATAATTCTCTTGTTCAGTTACAGTAATATTGTTGTCACAAAAATTTTTACAGACTTTTGTTCCGAGAAAAATAAAACAAATAAAAATTATTGGACGAGGTTGAGCAAAATATCGTGATTTGTCAGTAGTCGGCTTCGGCAAATAATTGATCTGCGAGACACTGACAAATCACGATATTTTGCGATAAGCGAGTTCATTAATTGTTTTATCATTTCATCAGCGAGTTTTGAAGGAATATCTTCGATAAGCGAAGCAATCTGCCATTTTCACGTAAGAGCGATCGCAACAAGAAAAAGCGTGGTGTCATTTACGCATGAGCAGAACATTATTTGCAGCCAAACAAAGTTGGATGACATTGCGCATGAACAGACCATCATTTGTAGGCAGTTATTTGCAGGTCACGTGGTGGGCTGTCAGCCAATGAAAAGGAAGAAAAATTTGTAACGAATGATAATTATAATTGATGTGACAAACAATTAGGCTCGTATCCACCTCGGCCTTCGATTCGCGGAATAACACCCTCCTTGATCTGTATAATTCTTCACATCATACTCAGCCTTATTCAGTAATTGCTGTGTTTACAGTTTCTAAGCTAATGTTCATGAGTAAGAAAAGTGATAAATCAGGCCGGATACAAAATACTGTATGGTTCAGTTCACAAACAAGGAGACTCTACTAAGCTGGTAGTCGTTGCTTGTCGTTTCATCAATTTTCTTTTTGCCAAACCCCCCCAAAAATTGCAAAAAAGGGGTAATTGTGGCCTATGGCGTACTACATAGCACGAAGGTGCAGTGTGACCTGGTTTGTGAGAAAAGTAAGTGCGACGTGCTACGTCAAAAAAAATAATTTTCCTGATGGAACAAGTCACGCTTCATTTTCTCCTCGACGCTAGTCGTCGGCGTGCTAGATGGCATTAAGGTGAAGCGTAACTTAATGCGTCAGATAAATAGCGTCACCTTGTGCGTCGAAATTGTTTTCTTCCATGCAAGAAATCATGCTTTCTTTTCATCGACAAAACAGGTTACCTTTCATGCTTATGTGACATAGAAAGCTGTTAAAATGGCAAGTACACAACGGACAACAAAAACTGTAAACAGGTCTCTCTAGAAAGCTATTTTATTTTTCAATACTTTATTTAATAATCTTGAACAGAAGTGGGTTTGGACGTGTGGAGTGCTGAGACGACTGAATAGCTTACAATGAAGCACCCAAAGTACATATGCACTATTCATTAACTCAGATGAGAAAAGGAAATAAAAAACCCTTACCTCTACCATCATTAACAGCAAGTCTCAACACAACCAAGTCACTTTCCAGAGGGAAAAGTGCCTTCTTTTGTTGATCCTCGCTAATGGATCCAATACATGGAATAACTGATAAGTTATTGGAAGCACTTCCGTCTGAAACGTTCATAAACACCTTCTTCTTATCAATGTTGACGTCTTCCCAGCCTTTTCTAGCCTGTGGAGACATTCGCAATGAGTGAGAGATTCACGCTTTTGCTTTAAACAGGGGAAAGACTCTTCAAGTTGCGAGCCATTAAGAAAATCATGCAAAGTGATTAGTTAACAGTGTGTTGGCGGCCATGCTGGTTGATCAAGAAAAGCGAACGATAGCTGCCCTTAATTTGAATTTTTGTATTGGAAGCAAAAGGACAACGTTGCGAAAAAACCCAGGAGATTTATATGCAAGAATAAAATCAAATTATCACAAAATGAATAGAGAATTCAGAACGAATCATAAGGAATCAAAAGTTATCTGGCTCCAATCAATCAGGAAAATATGAGACCAATGGCAGCTTTCTGACAAAGAGATGAAAACCGCAAAGTGTATTTACCCTTGATCATTCCACAAGGATCCCAATCAACAGTGATACACAGAACACACACACAGAAGGGTGTATTTGAACTGGTTTTACATGTACATCTCACATACCTGTTCCAAAATTTCCACAAACAACAGTGGTGTAAACGTTTCGTAATACTGGTCTATGGAATCAAATCCCTCAGGTATTGGAGAAGAATTGGCAAATTTAATGTTCCTTTTTGAGTTTCCAAGGCATGAAACATTCCAGTTTAGAATCTCATGAAAGAATAGCTCTTCTTTAAGTACTCTAGTAGGTGTTTTGATAGCTGGCTTAGAAGGCTGCACACCATTTGATCTGCTGGCACTCGTGGCTGTGGTAACTGGTGCTGTGTTATCAGAAAATGTCACACGTTTGACAGCTTTTGACACTGATACAGTCCCTTGTATATCACCACTAAGTGTATCGCTATGAGGTTCATGATAAGCCTCGTGTCCGTTATCATCATTTAAGAAAACGATACTGTTCTCTTGATTATCCTGAGTCTGTGTACTATACACATCTTCAAGATCATCCTCTATGCTTACTAAAGCATTCTCTTGAGAACCTAATACTAGTTCGCTGTAGTCACAGAAATCGTCCCAAAAGTTTGTCCCATCATCAATGGTGGCGTTTTCAAGTCGGTTACTTATTGATGATAGATTAATATCTCCTCGGTCATTTGGTTCATCTTGTACCATGGACTCGCTCATTGAAGGACACTGTGAATCCTGTTGTATGAACAAACTGTCCTCCTCCGCCTCATCTTTACTTCCAGAACGTTTATCATCATGAACACTCAATTGCTCTCCCCTTAATTCAGGATATAATATGGTGTCCCTGTCAGTCTCAATGAGTTCAGCCTTTACATTAGGCGGATAAAAAACACTGGTGAAAGTCTCCACTCTTTCATCAGAACGACAACCTTTTGCAGTGTGTTTAACCTTTACAGCTGTAGGCGAAGGTTTGTCTTGAGGAGCAACGGCTGATGAAATTGAAAATTCTTGTTTCACAAGGGATTTAAATGCACCTTCTGAACAGTCGGTCTCACTAGAAGACGTAGCATCCAAGGAAGAATTACTAAGAGTAGCATTTAGACTACCTGACACTTTTGCCTCTTTCTCCGCTTCGTATGTATCCATCATTTGAAGTAGAGCATCATCAACGCTTTCTTCATCGTCTTCAAAAAAATGATTTTCAGTTACAGGATCTTTGTCTCCTTTGGAGAATGTCCTTTTCTCCTCGAGCATTGCCAGTGCACTATCTTCTTCATCAGATACAACTATTGGATCTGCTGCCGTGGCACCTAGGCAAAACAAAACATGGATGTAAAATAGTATCCACAAGGTTCAATATGTTTTACGTACTTTAGATAGGTGGAAAATTACAAGGACAACAAAGAAGATGGTTATCGTGTTTGTCATTGATAGGATAACAAACACTAATTGAAAAATAAACGAATTTAGCGTTGATGTTCAGCTAAAACGTTTACTAACACTGCGCGATCATTGAGAAAAATGTGACGTCATTCAACTCTGTTGCAGTTTGAACACACAAAAAATTTAAGATAAGGGAAAGCGAGGAGATTTTTTATCAACAGACGTTTTACTATAGCAAAAATGAGTGAATGACAACATTATGGCGCCATAATGACGCCGTTCTCAAGAAGATTAAAATTAACAAAAATGTTAAAATATCAAATAATGAAGACTTATGGGTTGACTATCGCTCTAACGAACACGGTTACAAGTCAGGTCAAGTCATTTGAGGTGAACAATGCATGAACCTATAAGTGTTAGACAAGGTAAAATACTACAAATTATTCTGGAATTAGATTAGGAAAGCAGCTGAAAGTCAGTCATCACAACCAGGACGACTTAAAGTGTAAGAAAATCAGATGGATCACTTGAAACTTCAGAAACTAAATAACATTGACTTTTAGTGAGTACAGCCGAAGCTCTCGTAAGCGACCACCTCAGAAATTCGAAAAAGTGTTCGTAACTAGAGCTGGTCGCTTACAAGGAATAAGCCCTCATAAGTAACCGCATAGAGGGTGGTCGCTCACAAGAGCTTCAGAAACTCATCATTAAAAATCCCTAAAGAAAAACAAAAGAAATAAATGTTTAATGAGTGTGAACACCTGATATAGACATGGCTAAACTTTGCGCACAATTTTTTAGACTAAAATAACCCCAAGATCTTTATCAAGGAACCATCAGCGCAGTTTGCCGGTTCATTGAACTGTTGATTAATGTGAATAAGACTCTGAGTGGTTGCTCCTTACAAGAGCTTAAAAACAAAGGAAACTCCAGTTGGGAAATCCCAATAGTGGTCATGGTTGTCATGGTTATTGACAAGAGCTTTTCATTACAAAGTTTAAGTGACATTTCAAACGGGGTTTCACAAAGGTGGTCGTCACCATAGTTGGTCACTCGCTCTCCACTCCTTAACAGTAACAACCAAGCTCCAAGTGTTCAAAAGGTGGATAGCGCAATTGGTCTTCATACAACTAACTTATACCAAGGCCAGGAGAAGATCGATTCCTTTGCGTCTTACATTTTTATCTTGCTGAACTTACCTTGTTTTCGCTGGCTGGGTGGACGCTTCTTTACACTGCCGGCTGACTTCCTCGCTGTGTATTTTGCCTTAGGCTTAAGTGGTCTTTTTATGCCTGTCTTTTGAATCTTTTTGTCTGTAGCACTCGGTTTCTTGCTAGTTGAAACGGTGCAGGTACCCCTATTTCGCCCTCTCAAAAACTTCTTTTCTTTCACTTGTTTTCCAATGTCATGCAACAAAATCTTAAGTCGCAAGGGTTTCCCTTTCATCAGCAAATTCGACTTCTCTGAGCTGAAAAGAAAAGCTTCAACATCAGTATTTTTCAAAAGGGTATCCACAGCTATACCATAAACGCTACAAACGTTTGTAAAACATGCAAAGTTTGTTCGAAGTCTTCAGTTTATTGACCACAGTCCACTCTTTCTGCATCTACGGACAACTAAAATTGGTTCCCGTCGTTTGTCAGGTCATTTCTTTGGCTCTCTACAATGTGGACATCTTTTCAAGACGAACAATTAATGCCGTTGGAGTTCCCAAAGGTGACGGTCTTTGAAAGGGTATCTGTGATAAGACACCAGGTACAAAAATTATGGAAAAAGGTTTTGACCGAACAAAGATTTTTCTCATAGCATATTTAAAGCAGTAAATATTGTGACACCTTGTTTTCAAGGCGTATTTGATTATGGGAAACACAAATTTCGTCGATCACTCATGTATGCTCCAAAAACTCCAAAAAGCCAAACACCCCAATGGAATGGGAATTAATTGAAATGTTTATTGGAAGAATGCCATATTTACACTGGCTATTTAGGGAAGACTCATGTTTAACCTCAAATCTTACATTTTCACATTTCCAAAAGTGTGATGTTGCTTCGATTTCTTTCGTCGTTTGAAATATGTCCAATAACCTTCCTGGTCATCATCATCTTCCTTCTCCACCTCATTCTCCCCCTCGTCATCAGACACCCGAGTGCTAGGACCAGCCTTTCCCCATGAACGCACCATGGAATCAATCTTCCTTTTTCTCGGTTGATCACCAGGTGTCCTTAACGTATCAGGCCTTCCCTGAACTTTATTTCCTTTGTCAACACTTATTTGGCGCTTGATAACTGCTTCTTCTTCATGGGCTTTCACGGCTGATTTTTGCGATGAAGTCCCACACGGACCGGCCATTCTCGAAGAACCCACGGAGGAATCGATCTTTTTTTTTCTTCGTTGGTCGTTGAGTGTACTTAACGTGGTAGATCTAGCCTCAGCTACTTTCCCTTTATCAAACTTTGTTTGGTACTTGACAGCTGAGTCTTTTTCATGGCCTTCAAGGGTTGCTTTTCCCGCTGAAGTCTCATATGGACGCCTATTCGTCCGAATAGTTTCTTGGTTAACACTGGTAAAAGTTCTTTTCTGGTTTTCTTTGTCTACTGGCATTTTGTCAAAAGCTAGGGTACTTTGCATCTGCAGCTCTCCATTGTTAACGTGGCTCATAAGTGATTCAGCATTGCATTCTTTGAGCACTTGAAGTTCGTAAGATGATTTTGAGATACTCCGCAAACCAGGTTGGCGGGAAAATGGCATTTCTTGAGTCTGCAACAGAATAAAATTTTACTGTATGCGACCGACTAACATATATATTTCATAAGCTTATTTCTTAAGTACAAGTCTATTTACTACGCAGCTGGCTGCATGTACATTCTATAAATGAGCTTACTGGAGTGTATAAACTGTCACATCTTTCTAGGTGTATCCCCTATGCTGATGTCTTTCACCAAATACAGTTGAACCTCTCTACAACGGCCACCTTGGGGACAGGAGAAAGCAGCGGCCGTTGCAAAGAGGTGGCAGTTCTAGAGAGATTTTAAACAAGAGTCAATGTCTCGATTTTTTTGCCGCCAGGACGAAAACAGTGGCCATTGTAGAGAGGTGGCCTTAGCGGAGGTTTGACTGTATTCTTCAAACTAAGAACAGGGAGACGTAATGCATCATGGAGTTGGATTATTTGTATAGGTAATAGCATGATTTGTAGTGATATTTGTCATAAATCCACGAGTGATATTTCAAAATTGTTATACGTAATTTCAGGAGCCGTCAGGCGAGTGAAATTTGAGACAATTTTGAAATATCACGAGTGATATTTATGCCAAACATCACGTACAAATCATGCTATAATTTGTTTATACTACTACCCACAAAAGGTTTGTAGTTTTCACAGGTAGGTACTTCAAATCAAGCTGAAAACCAATGCTCTAAGCCAATCAAATTGCAGAAATTTCTCATGTAGTAGTATAAAATGGAGAATAAAGTACATATCTATGACACTGGCTAATCAGATTCATGGAAGTACTTTATACACTACCACAGTGAACCCCTTATCATGACAGGGTTCGCAAATACGCCAAATTTGGCGTATTTTACGTCAAAATTGTTCAGATGACTCCACTGAGGTTACGGAGGGAGTCACTTCAACTCCAAAAATTTTCAGTAATAAACAGGGAGCGACTTTGACTCCAGAAATTTTCGGTAACAAACACAGTTTTGTCCTTACCTTTTTCGCAACTAATACAATTTACGTTAATCGTAAATGTTGTAAAGCTGAATTAAATCATCGAAATTAACGAATTATACTGCACGACAAAACAGGAAGAGGGTAAATTACGATCAAAGTTTACTCGATGACCGCCATCATCGATTTGAGCTTTCCAGGTCAGCGGACTGCCACCACAGGTAGCCCAAGCTCGAAATATGAGCATCGGCGAGCATCGGTATAGTTGCGTAACATTCAAAATATAAGGGTTTGTATGAGAAGAAAACCTATCGTTTCTGTAACCTATGAAAATTAAAGGATTTCAATAAAAAACAGCTTACCTTACTTAAAATGTGTGTTACGTCTATTCTGTGTGGTCCACGGGCCGATTTATGGCCGTTTTATGGGTTTTTATGTAAACGGTTTTCTCTCCATATAAAGGTTTACCGGTAAACCTTTTTATAGAGAGACGTAACACGCATTTTAAGTAAGGTAAGCTGTTTTTTATTGAAATCCTTTCATTTTCGTAGGTTACGGAAACGATAGGTTTTTTTCCCATACAAATCCTTATATTTTGAATGTTACGCAACAATGCCGATGCTCATATTTCGAGCTCGGGCTACCTGTGCCGCCACAGCTACTTCGTTTATCCGTCACTATAGTGTATACATGCCGGGACCACGCGCTGGAAAGTCTGATACTTGACTCCAAATATTCCAAAATGACTCCAAAATTTGTGAAGCAGAAGTCACACTGACTCCACTCATCAATAAAATTTGCAAACCCTGGCCCTTATGGCAACATACCCGGTATAACAAATGACGTTCTTTTCTAAAGCTACAATAACAAATGACTGTGCAGTACAAAATGAGTTCTTAGTCCCTTGGTAACTTATTGCATCAGGGCAGCGTGCAAAGAAAGTCGTGTCCGGGAGCTCGGGGCTAATGGATTTTGCAATCGGGCTAGTGAATCACGTTTTTCACTTGCCGGAAGGGCAAGTGAACGTCTTGGAGAACTTCAAATTACAGAAGATCTGTAATCAATGCTGCTCATCAAAAATTTTTTTGGGCTACTTAAAAGACTCTTGGGCCAGTACATACTAGCAACAACTTGCCCGAATGGCAAGCTGTAAAACCGACTTTCTTCGCACCCTGCATCAGGGTTCCGTTGTACTTTCGAACACATTCTACAAAATGGCTCACAAACACGAACAGGGCACAATAATAGACTTTCTATTCTTTTTACTATGTACGCTGCTTATGATCATATATTGTGAAAAAGATAGGAACCACACTTGGGGAAGCCATGCTCCACAAATACAAGTAAGGAAAGCTCAGTACCTCAAAATTCTGAACAAGAAGTAAAATAATTTGCTGTTTATCATCCGAAGATAGAAACTTTGGTCCTGATAGTTGGAACATGTCCCTGTACTTTAAAGCATTCTTGTATCCCTTTCGATGACAGTCCTTCAAGAGTCCCTGAAGCAGTCGTTGACTCACCTCTACAACCTACATTGCAAAATTTTACACACATATACACCAATGTAGTCTGACCACCTTGCATTTGGACATTAGAGACCTTTAGATTCTGAGACGAGTATGACTACGAGTATGTGATTTTCTCAATAATAAGTACTGCTTGCGAATGAACCAGCATCATTTTGGCGGGAAAACGTGGTAGCCTTCGTCACTCAACTACGTGTTTTACTGAGAATGTCGAGATAACGGAAACATGTTATAAAGTGTTAGAGGTTTTATTATTTTGCGGTCGGGAGATGGCTTAAGCTCTTTCAGTTAAGATATCAGTGCTAATTTTTGGGTGAAAAAGAAGTGCAATGAATCTTTCCAGGGTGTCTATAATTTGTTAATACGCGAAAAAACTTTAAGAGTGAAATCTTGTACTCGTAGTCGTTCTCGTCCCAGAATCTAAACGTCTCTAATAAAATACTACAGTCACTGATACGATTTTTTAAATGCACCTCTATGTCCCATTATGCAATTCTCGAAAAATCCAACAAATTCAGTAAGAACTTGTTTCACCCAAAGTTACCAAGAAAATTATGGAAGGCAGGTAATAAAAAATTCATACCACATTTCCTTGAATAAAAGCCGTCCCTCGATTAATCGCCTCCCTCGAAGAATCACCCCCCTTTGACGGAAATATTAAAAAATAATCGCCTCCCTTTAATAATCAGCCCCCAACCTCTCTTGCCATCTTCTGGAGTCTGGTCCAGCAAAAATGATCAGTAACGAATCAAGCTGTAATGCTGAGGACAATGACATTGAAAATTCATCACGGAACCAAATTTCTAACACTTATAAAGCCCATATTCAAATCATTTGATGTGATTATTTTTGGATTTAATGGGATAATAAAACAAAATATTTAGGGCACGACTTCCAGTAAACAATATTTGAAATAATAGCCTTCTTTCAAATAATCGCCTGCCCTCAAATTATCACCCCCCAACCTCTCTTGCCATCTTCTGGAGTCTGATCCAGCAAAAATGATCAGTAACGATTCAAGCTTTGATGCTGAGGATACTGACATTGAAAATTCATCACGGAACCAAATTTCTAACACTTATAAAGCTCATATTCAGATTATTTGATGTGATTTTTTTTGGATTTAATGGGATAATAAAGCAAAATATTATTTTATGGCACGACCTCCAGAGAGCAATATTTGAAATAATTGCCTTCTGTCAAATAATCGCCTTCCCTCGAATTATTGCCCCCTTTAGGTGTGAAAAAAAATAATTACCCCCCGTTATTGCTCCAGGAAATACGGTAAATTGTGCATTATATTTACATTACCTTCTTGTCTACAGATCCGTTGACTGAGATGGCAACATCCACCACATCTGTGGCCCAAAGACGAACAGTGGGTACCAGAAGTGAAAACAAGCGTTTATTTAACAAATCGTTGACAATTCTCACAAAGTGCGACAAAACTTCATGTCTGAATGAACTTCCAGGTGAACAGCGATCTGCAGTGGAATAAGGACATTAACCAACCTTCCAGAGAGGGGAAAATTATACATTTTCCGTTTTCATTTTCCACAAACAGAGAGCCAGGGGTGACTGAAAGGGTAAACCATGGAGCAGAACTGTAATCGGTTTGACTTTCATGCTTACCACTACATGGTTTTGTTCCCGTGTAAGGCTTTGGGGGGGGGGGTACTAAACAAAGTTTTATACAGGGAGGCTCGACATGACTCCCCCCCCAAGGTCCAACCTCTTACGCTTTTATAATTTTATACCGTTTTTGAAAGAAATTGTACCCCACTCACAAACCTTGCTTAGAACTTTGCATCCCTTTTCACTGCTGTAAATGCAGTCTTTTATGAATAAATCACAAAACAGGGTCTTTCTTTCGACTTTTTCACAGCCATATTTTCCGTCAGCCCCTTTAGGTCCTTTCATGTACAGTGTACACACTGAAATGACCAATTTCCCTAACCTTTCATAAACTTAAACCCGTGAAATCCTCAACCTCATAAACCTTGAGCCTGAAGAAAGTACCCCTTTGAGGGGGGCCTCCCCATACGACAAATTTTAGGGAGTACTCCCCCCGGGGTTTGTTCCATAGCAGTCTGTGGTTAACTTCTCATCCACACACCATGGGAGGAGAGGGTGGAATTTGGGTGTGAGAGTTTGAAGCAAATAACAATTACCTGCTACATCATGAAGATACCTGACCACCTTGGACACGATCTCTCCACCCGAATCAAAGTCAAGAAAAGACTTCACAAAGGGATCAAACCAAGCCACAGCAGTTTTGTAAATTTTACTTGATGAAGATGACAGTGTCCTTGTTCTGTTAGAATCTTTCCAGTCCCTGTTAGGTGTTTCACTGCCATGCTGCCACTGTGTAATGGAATCACTGTAAATCCAGTTTTCAGTTATGATCCTGAAAACATTAGTTGGCATGTAGTTAAATTTTGGCATTTGCCAGATTCTGCTGCCAAGCCGCTCAAGGAGAAGAACAAAGCATTGTAACATCGGCCAAAATGGTGATTTGTCTGAAGGAAAAAAAAGGAAATTTTATACAGTATGTATATTATATCGTAAATGTCCACTTATAAGCCCTGAACTTATACAACTTCAGAAGGGGTTTAGGAGGGCTTATAAAAAAGCATTTCAAAAGAAGCTACATAGCAGTGCTGTTCAAAATACTTTTTGAATTTAACCGTTTCAAAACGTCGTGAAAAATGAAATTCATACAAATACAAGCTAGAGGGGGACTTACAGCAGAGGTTCTTATAACTGGACGTATTTTATGTTCACAGGTAGATGGGCCTACAACTGGTGGGGGATGGGGGCAGGGGAGCTTATGAGCTTATGGTAGTTAAGTTACAACACATAACATTAATGAAACATTGAATCAAACAATGTCAATACATTTTCCAGCAGCCAATGGCTTCAAGACAGCCGGTATGGACAACTTATATAGAAGAAAATTCAGTGACAGTGAGGATATTTTGAAGTATGAAAGCAATGACACTTGTAAACCATATTATAATCTTACTTTCTCATTTCTGTCCAAAGAAATTTGTGAATCTATCTAAACCACCAAAAATATATTCTGCACAGTTTTGGACTAGTGTAAAGACATAATTACTACTCATGTGTAGAGAGTTCCTAAATTCTTAAAGTGCCAGTATCCCAAACATTTTAAAATACTCGGAACTTAATTATATATGTAATTCAGTAAAGATTGCTTTGGCAGTTGTGCATTGAGCATTTGGGCGTTCACTGCAATGATTTGCATAAGTGACCACCAAACAACAGGTTCACGGCATGCAATTCCCAACGCCCATGAAAGCAACCTTCATTGAATCAGCTATAACTACATGATGTTCAGCTTGAAATTTGTTGTTAATGTCCGAACAAAAGCAAAATATAATAATTATTGTTAGACCCTAGAACTTACGCCCTTACAAAAGAGCATGTTCATGGACTTCAGTGAAGTACATGTGTGATTCAAATTTTTATCCTTCCAACAAATTATCTTGCTGTACATTATCCAGGGCTTTTGATAACTTGCGGGGAAAAAATGTCAAATTTCGCAGGATTTTGTTGGGACAAATTGGCAGAAAGATCAGCCAATTGCGCACGATTTTTTGAGGTAAATTCTGCTGAGAAACAATCGAAAAAATATGGCCGATTTTGTGGGAATTTTCTGAACAAATTTTTGATTTTAATCACTTGCTCTTTCAACAACAATACCGTCGAGAAATGAGCCAAAGTCAAAGCTTTTTATATCATGGCTTATAGTGCCCAGTTTTTCGCAGCATAATCTATGCCTGGTAGTTTTGGGACATTGTTGCTAGTTTCTTTGACAAAGTTTCAAGATAAATTTGCAAGTTTACAGCAAGAAAACAGCCCCAATAGCCCCAATATGATTTCTAGCAAATTTTGCGGTATTTCATGTGTTTTTGTGAATTCCGCAGGATTTCGCAGATTTACCTGAATTTCGTGGCTCCGCGACCTTGTGAAATATCAGAAGCCCTGATTATCACACCCAAGACAATGAAGATAGAATTGAACCAGAGCATAATAAAGGGGTTGTAATATTATCAAAAAGAAATTATTACCTTGCTCTTCCATGGACAATAGAATTGTTGTCAAAAGCTCATCATGCCCAGGCTGGGAAGTCATAAAACATGTCTGCACAGTTGAAACATCCATTTGCCGTATCAGCACAAACAAACTCTGCCAGTAAAATCTTTTATCAAGTTCCATAAACAGATGAGGAGGCAGAAAATCAAAAGGCAATTCTCTATCTGCATCATTCTGTTGTATTAAAGAGTAAATGTTTTCAAACAAGTTGAATTGAACAACATTCATCATCCACCCTATGACCTCAGCTAAAAAGTCATAATCATCTGGATTGAGAAGCCCTGAGTCTCTGACACTTGCAATGGCCCATCCACGTACCTGAAAAACAGCAAATGCCATATACATGACTATGTTGTGGTTCAATTGTATCATAGTTTTTTCCCCTTTGTTTAAAAACTCATTATCATACATTTCAAGTACAACAACGACAACAACAACAAGAGAAAACAATATAAAATTTGCACAAAATAATGATAACATAAAACTTCAACGTGAGAGCTATCAGCAAGAGAAAACTTTTTTACTTTACCATATGTGAGTGACTTCTGGCTTGCTCAGTGGTCAAGGGCTATAAGCCTATGGAATTGGAGCCATGATGGCAAAAATTGTTTTTCTCTGTCTCTTGCGCGTTTTTTTTCAAAACAATAATCGTTTCACGGCAAAACAGGCACTAAAACAGATGTCACAATTTTCCATGTTATACACACTACAGACCACAGAAATTATGTCAAAATGTTCAAAACTTTGCAGGGAAATCACTTGCCATTCCACACAAGTTTTCAACATTTCAACGTCATTGCTATGGTCTGTAAGAACAAATGTTTGTAAAGATGATGGAAAATTGCTGTCTATTTTATATGTGCACAGCTATATACCTCAGCATCAGGGTGAACCAAGAGGAGGTATGTACCAGGTAGCTTCTCTTCTAACTTAAGAGGGCTTTCACACTTGTTAAGGGTAATCAGTCCTTCAACAAACAATGTAGCAAGTTCTTTATGATGTAAAAAATATGGATAGCGCAGCATCTCCATGAGCGGCAACTGAAGCTTTGTGACGACATCCTTATAAGGAGAAAAATGTTACATTAAGGTTACTGCGATGTGAGAAATAGAGGATATTACATGGCAGCACAGAGATACAAAATTTCTCTTTGAGTGTTGAATAATATTTCACGAGTGAGAGCAGCAAATGGGTAAAATATTTTACAACACAAGAAGATAAATTTCGTATCTCCAAGCAACCATGATTGTAATGTTCTATTAATTTATTCTACAAACACCAATAAAATAGTTTTTTTACTACATGAAAGGTGCGATCTATCATGTAGCCACAGGAACAGTGACCTTTCACATGCAATGATAACATGTTATTTTCATGTGTGAAGATATCATGTTTTTGCGAGAAAGCTCACCTGGTATTTCACTGGTGTTTACACGATACGGATGTTTATTCAGTCAGTAACAAAGAGGGCTTAGAAGAAAAAATCAGAATACACCCAATAGGAGTCGAACCTATGACCTTCTGGCCCCAGTTGTTCAAATGCTGGATCTAGCGCTATCCACTGGATAAATATTAGGGGAGCCAATTGCGCTATCCACCTTTTAAAAACAACTGGAGCCTGGTTACTAGTCCTTGTGGAGGGGGACATTGGGGGTACTGTACCCAACACTGCAATACTGTGAGAAAAATTGGCAAATACCAAATTACATTATGGAACGGCACCTGTAGATCCGTGTCGCCCGCAAAATCGTGAGTCCCATGACTATTTGCGCGCTCACAAAGGAAGCCGACGCATGTCGCATCCTTTGATTCAAGACTCAAGTGTTAGCGTATTGTTTTTACGATAAAAAGGTAATTTAAGTTTAGAAAATCAATAGATAGAAGCTTTCAGGCTACTCTCTGTTTTATGAGGAAATGCAAACGCTCAACTTGATAAATATTTTGACTTCATAAGATATTTTAACGTTTTAGGCCAGCAGAATGTATAGAATGCCAGAAAAACAATCAGGAAGTCGAAATTTAAAGGTTTTGAACTGCACTAGAAGTTGTTTTTATCAGTATGCAAATCACCTACCCAATCACTTACTTTCCATTGAAGTGAAATATCCTTACTTTTTTGGCACTTTTCGATTTGCTTCGTTTCATTTTATATTATATGTAATTTGTGCAAGCTGAGTTCTTTCATGCGAATACACTTTCAAAAGGAAAAAAACTTCGAGGAAACGTTGCGTTTACAACCATGGCAATACGTATCTATTTCGCTTCACTTATAAACACTTATATGCAAATTACTTTTCATCTGCCAGATTTCGCTAGAGACAAAAATGTTGATTTTCAATTCCCAGATACTTGCCTTTTATAGGCACCCTTTTTATTTTGGCTATCAAGATTTTATAGGCTAAGCTTCAGACTTGTCATTCCAACGTTTTAATGCGGGAAAGTTATGAGAAGTGCTCCAACTGATTAAAGTCCCGAAACACGCTTTAAGACCACATAACTTGATCTTTCTGATATCTTTTGTTCTTCTATTGTCTCCGAAACAATAACAATGTTTCACCAATATCCACCTACAAATAATAGGAGACATTTGATTGACAAAAATTTGCATTTACTAGCAATGCGTTTCTACAGGCGTGATTCCGTAATGCCGTGACAAAAATTGACGAAATACACGCTTAAATGTACTTTAAAACGTACCCATCTCGCATTTGTTTGTTGCGAGGAAAGCTTATAAGACCTCAAATTGATCGGTACAACAATCAAAAAGGATGCCATACCAATTTCATCATAGGTTAACGGTCAGAAATTGTGTAACCATTTACCATTAGCAGGGGAGGGGCCCTTCCCCCTTATTTTTGGACCAGACTGAGGCCTGAAGGGCTGAAAAAATTTTTTGGGGAGACCGGGCCCCTGCCTTATCTAAAGGTCTGGATGACGCCCCGCCCCCCTGCCCCCTTCCTTATCTCAAGGTCTGGATCTGGCACTGAATACTGACATACATTAGACAGAAGAGCACAATGAACAGTACCGCAATACCATGAAGGATGTTCTTGTACCGAATGTTGCTAGCCAAAAGGATGGCACACTGCAGGGCACACTGCAGGGCTAAATGATACTGCAATACGGTAAGCCCTCATGTCATAACGAGCCGCACCGTCTTAGCAACCAAAACAATTTTGTCTATCTAGCTGAGATAGGGGACTAAAAGTCCCCTATCTCAGCTGGATACTCAGAAGCTTGTAACATTCACTATTCCATTTATCTCTGATCATATTTCGCATCTAATATGATAGAGGCGTCAATTTTCGTGCCATCATGTCATCATTCTAGGGCAAGAAATTTAATTAAAAGCGCGGCATTCAACAAATGTACGGCTCAGGTTTCAGCTAAAATTATTCAGTGCCGTCAAAGAAAAAATCATATTATTAAATTCCGCGTATTAAGTCGATCACATTGCTAACACAGACAAAAACGCTTAAATATCTCCTACAAAAAGAACGGCTAAGTTTGTTTTTTCTACGGGTCAAACTGCTACTATATATCCTAGAAGCGCTCACTACAGGCATAATAATATGCCAGGACTTCAAACTGGATGAACAAGAAAGGATATAGAACAACTGCCTAATTTTTATACGGCTACGGGTTGAAATGCTAAACGTGTTATATATCCTAGGAGCGCTCAAGCATAATGATATCATGCCAGGACTTCTACCTGGATGAACCAGAAAGGATATAGAACAACTGCCTAATTATTTTTTTTTTAAGGCTACGGGTCGAAATGCTAAATGTGTCATATGCCAGGACTTCTACCTGGATGAACCAGAAAGGATATAGAACAACTGCCTAATTATTTTTTTTTTAAGGCTACGGGTCGAAATGCTAAATGTGTCATATGCCAGGACTTCTACCTGGATGAACCAGAAAGGATATAGAACAACTGCCTAATTATTTTTTTAAGGCTACGGGTCGAAATGCTAAATGTGTCATATGCCAGGACTTCTACCTGGATGAACCAGAAAGGATATAGAACAACTGCCTAATTATTTTTTTTTTAAGGCTACGGGTCGAAATGCTAAATGTGTCATATGCCAGGACTTCTACCTGGATGAACCAGAAAGGATATAGAACAACTGCCTAATTATTTTTTTAAGGCTACGGGTCGAAATGCTAAATGTGTCATATGCCAGGACTTCTACCTGGATGAACCAGAAAGGATATAGAACAACTGCCTAATTATTTTTTTAAGGCTACGGGTCGAAATGCTAAACGTGTTTTATATCCTAGAAGCGCTCAGGCATAATAATATGCCAGGACTTCTACCTGGATGAATCAGAAAGGATATAGAACAACTGCCTACTTTTTTTTTATGGCTATGGGTTGAAATGCTAAACATGTTATATATCCTAGAAGCGCTCAGGCATAATGATATCATGCCAGGACTTCTACCTGGATGAACCAGAAAGGATATAGAACAACTGCCTAATTATTTTTTTAAGGCTACGGGTCGAAATGCTAAATGTGTTATATATCCTAGGAGCGCTCAGGCATAATAATATGCCAGGACTTCTACCTGGATGAATCAGAAAGGATATAGAACAACTGCCTAATCTTTTTTTTATGGCTACGGGTCGAAATGCTAAACGTGTTATATATCCTAGAAGCGCTCAGGCATAATAATATGCCAGGACTTCTACCTGGATGAACCAGAAAGGATATAGAACAACTGCCTAATTCTTTTTTAAGGATACGGGTCGAAATGATAAACGTATTATATATCCTAGAAGCGCTCAGGCAAAATAATATGCCAGGACTTCTACCTGGATGAACCAGAAAGGATATAGAACAACTGCCTAATTTTTTTTTACGGCTACGGGTGGAAATGCTAAACGTGTTATATATCCTAGAAGCGCTCAGGCATAATGATATCATGCCAGGACTTCTACCTGGATGAACCAGAAAGGATATAGAACAACTGCCTAATTTCTTTTACTGCTACGGGTTGAAATGCTAAACGTGTTATATATCCTAGAAACGCTCAGGCATAATAATATGCCAGGACTTCTACCTGGACGAACCAGAAAGGATATAGAACAACTACCTAATTTTTTTTTTTTTTTTTGCGGCTACGGGTTGAAATGCTAAACGTGTTATACATCCTAGAAGCGCTCAAGCATAATAATATTCCAGGACTTCTACCTGGATGAACCAGAAAGGATATAGAACAACTGCCTAATTTTTTTCTTTTACAGCTACGGGTCGAAATGTTAAACGTGTTATATATCCTAGAAGCGCTCAGGCACAATGATATCATGCCAGGACTTCTACCTGGATGAACCAGAAAGGATATAGAACAACTGCCTTTTTTTTTCTACGCATCAAAGTTCTAAACGTGTTATTCTTAGAAGCGCTCAGGCTTAATAATATGCCAGGTTTCCAGCGACTGATTTTAGCTGATTTTGCGGTGCACAAGAATGGATAATTTACCCGACTTGTAAACAGATATTTCCTTTAGCCGATCGTGTCTCATGCAGGAGAATGTTATGTCTGCGTTGTTTTGTTTCTACTGAAGTTTAATCAAAGAAAGCTTAAGCGAAAATAGGGAGATCGCAATTTATACTCTTACAAACTATAAATTAGGGCTGACCTGGAAGACACGTTGAATTGTGCCACCATCCTTTAAAATATCATCTGGCTGCGTTTAGGAAGACAATTTCCTCTTCCATCCAGATTTACTTGGTATGTGTGTTTGCGAGAATCTTCAGACAAAGAATTGGGTATACACTGATTCGAATGGCTTGGTGGTACTAAGTGCTTAAGTCTACTTACCGATTACAACATGTTTTGGAAGTATTGAGAAGCGTGCCAAACGAGGTTGTCACAGCGTTCTCGAGCGAACATGGCACGACCTGGATTGATAAAATTACCATTACATGCAGCTATCATGCCAGTGATTTCTCCTTTCATCGCATAGTGAATAGTTTGTGAGCACATCCTCGACTCTCGAAGCATTTGTCTTGCGCTGCTATAGAAGTTGCTTCTCCCGCGAACCATAGGTAGATTTCCCGCTTAACATAATGTTTGACAATTTATGCAAAAGTTGACCTCGTGAAAGTCAGCAGTGCATTAATCGACTCAAAAATAAACAGACTTCCTACAGGGTTTTGAACACGGTTTTAATTGAAGTACTTTATGAGCGCTGCGGCAGTTGACCGCAAAAGTGTTACGGTGATGGATACTCCACTGGATGATTACGTCACTTCATAGCAACCACATGGTACGAATTTTTTAACTTCGGAGCGCTGAGGCTCGTGATGCCCCTCCAGATGCTCTATCACTAAGCTAAGAGACTGTAAGGAGCTAAGGCCACTAAACACACTAGGTTCACTTGTCAATACAACGTTATAAATATTTGTAGATCTACGAGTTAACTAGGAAAAGAGGATTAAAATTTCATAAGAGAAAAACAAACCTGCCCAGAGCGATCAAAAACTTTTCTCTCAACTGGCAAATCAAAGGCCTGCTTTACCGTGTCTTTCAATCTTTGGGTATCCAACAACTGCAATTTCTAATGATACAATCCTGGATGTTAAGTGGTACAACATAATAATGTACATGTACATGAAGTTTCAGGTGCAGAGAAAAAAAGAGCGAAGAAGAAGCTAACAATGTTGTACCATGAACGCAAGGGGGTCAAAAAATATTTCACACATTACATACTTCATGATCTGATATACATAATTTGTAATTTGACACCTTTCTACAAGTATGAGTAACTTTCCCCTAACATGCAATGTTGTCCTGTTCACAAGGCAAGGGACTAGCCAAAATATTATGTTAAGGGATAGGGTGTGAAAATAAGGGACAGTTGCTAAAATTTGCATAGGAAGAAAAATGATATACATGTACATTATGTAACGATGTGTAGCATCATTTTGACTGCAAATAGTCAACAGCACAGAATAGATTATGCTTATTGCGCTGCATGGTTTAATTATCTGCACCAGGGAATACTTATAATGCTCCATGATTGTAAGGCAATAACTTATTCTTTCCATGACAGACCAGAGGTCTCTCATTGATTTTACTTGCAGGTTTACATGTACCTTTTTAAATTCTGGCCTCTCTCTTATTAATTCATCTTCAAGCCTGTGATACACTTCAACACAGTCATAACAGTGGCGCAGATCCTCCAAAAGTCCATGGTCCCATTCATATAATGGTTTGTTCGCATAACCTGGAAGCTCTTGTTTCATGTCAATCGGTGCAGAGCACCACTCACATGCCCTTGATGTCTCTAGTTCCAGAAAAGTGCTTGCCATCTCCCTAAAGAGGACAACAATGTTATGATATTTTACAAGCATTGTTACATTTGAAGAGTTTATGTTAATTTTTTGTTTGGTTTAACTAAATTATTGTACTTTCATAGACAAGGTGCCTACATGTTTCATGAAGCTCAAAATTAAATTGTTATTTTTTCACCTTTGTTGATTCTGTTTTCTGGACCTAATTCGTAAATTGTTCGGGTTGAAAATTGAGAGTCAACCTGGATTCTTATTTTTACCTAAGATACATACATTTACCACATAAAACAAAACAAAACCAAAATCACACTGCTAGCCCACACATGAACATGTATATGTAGTTATCTGAAAACCTTGTCCAGCTGATGGTTTTCTACATGTATGCGTAATTAGCCGCTGAAAATCCATGTACAATCCATGTGGAATGATATATATGTTACAGGTCAAATTTGATTTCACGTTAAAATTTTTTTAACCAAGGTTGATTCTCAATTTTCTTTGTCTCCTGGTCCTGCTTATTCCTGAATTAGGGTGAGAAAACAAAGGAAATTGAAAATCAACCTAGGTTAAATCAAAATTAACCTGAAATAAATTTGACCTGTAACATATTTTTTCCTTGGCAACAGAAGCAATAACAATCATTGTGCATTGTCAAATGTCAAACATCTTTCATGCGAAATGGTGGTGAAACATTTCACTTGTTTCACAAGGAATAAACAGGCGAACTATTGGCTGAAAACATAGCAAGAACAGCAAAAAAAGAACTCGACAGATAACATCTGCTATTTAAGGAATATTTGCAGAACTGAAAAACCCTTTACTCTTCTACACTTGCAGATAAACATACACTACACTGTACAAACATGCACAATCGAAGATGAACTTAACATCAATGAAGGTAAACATTGTTTAGCTTGTTTTTAAACTAATAATTATTTTGAATGAATTATAAAACAATAATTATTACTAAGAAGATAAAGGGTTTTTCAGTTCCTCATGAAACAAGTGAAATGTTTCGCCAATAAAGATTGTCATTTATTAATTCTTCAGATAATATAATAATAAAACAATTATTATTTTATTATTATATCATCTGAAGAATTGATAATTATGACAATCTTTATTGAGGATGCCTACTTCACCCTGAAGTGCTTTCCAGAAGGGTCCTCCTACTAAAAAAAACATTAGTGAATAAGACAAAACTACAACTAAATAAGAACTTACTAACAACCAATAACTATTATTATTAGTCATTCAAAATATTTCCCTGATTCTGATTGGCTAAAAGCACACGCATAATTCACCATAACCAGTTTCTGATGACCAAATTTGGAAGAATCTTGTGTTTAACGAGGAAATGACGTCAAAAATGCAGCGTTCGTGCAGGTTAAGGCACTGTTAACCGAGAAAACCTGGGGACGAGGTTGAGTTGTTTTGGTTGTGAACTTGAAAAGTGGCAGATATTTCACTCATTTCAAGAGTAAGAACTAGGCGAAAAAATAACCAAAAACATGGCAAGAACAGCAAGAAGACAACTCGAAGGGCAACATCTGCTATTTGGAGAATATTTGTGGAGCTGGACAAACCTAAACGTGCACTATCCAAGATGAACTTAACATCGATGGATCGATGGAGGTTCATCTGTAAGCATGTTTTAGCCATGTTTTTAAACTAGGAATTATTTTGACTGAATAATAAAACAATTATTGAATTCGGCTTTCTTATCATATGAAGAATTATGGAGATCTCAGAGGGTGTTATCGGCCTTGGCCTACGGCCTTAATGGATAACACCCTCCTCAATCTCCATAATTCTTCATACGATACTAGGCCTCATTCATTAATTGTCAAATAATATAATTTATTACTCAAATCCCCCTAAAGTGCTTTACAGAAAGGTCCTCCTACTAAAAAAACATTAGGTGAAAAAGACAAAACTATAACTAATTACTAAGAACTCACTATCAATTAATGAAATTGTTACACTGCAGATGGCCTTTTTAAATTTGTGAAGTGACTTGAGCTCCTTCAATGACTTACATGTATCCAGATAACTCAATTCGTCTGAAACAAAATTTGTCAAAGTTTAAAGACCTCAGTTTCTACATTATATATTTGAAAACATGTTACATACATTATTCTTAGACCCAGTGAGCTCGAGGAGGATGTAGCACGATGTTCAGTCTCATTCAATAATTGTTAATTATACATTAATTTTGACATTAAATTTTTCCCTTTAAAAAAAGTTCATCAGTAACTTTTCACAAACTCTATCTCTCACATAAATTAATTTTCTAGAATTAAAAGGGAAAATAAATTAAGCTTACTGAGTATTCAAGATAGCATGGCAGGCACAAAAAGGAAAGGGGAAAGGGGGGGGGGGGAAGCATGAAAGCAGGGAATAGGGAAGGCAGCGCCTGCTATAAGAGCCAGTGTTTTTGTATTCAACCCACCATTTTCTCAACTAATCAAAACAATCATGTCAAATGTCAATACGTGACCAATCACAAGTAGGGGGCTTCTCAGCATGGTAACTTAATTACTTTGTTTACCGGAAATTGTCAAGTCAAGACACTTTTTTCAAGTGATTCATAATAAATCAAGCAAAATAAAACATTTTTACTATTCTTGCTCAAGCCGCAGCAAACACACCAAATAAACTCTCTTTTTCTACTGCTCGCAGTCTACGACAAACAATGTTCAGTTTCGTGTGAATACACAAGACTTTTGGTCTTACCTCATCAAACATAATGGTCACAACAAACAGAACACCAGGAAAACAGTTGCCAGCCTCGGAGATGTGAATAATGAAAGGAGAATTAAAACAATTGTCATAAAGCTCAACGGATAAATTTTAATAAAGCTTCAGCTCTCTCTTTACAAACCATTTAGCAGTTCATTCAAGAAGGTGTATGTTTTTGCAGAAAAGGCGGCCTTCCGAAAATTGGCATTGCAGATGTCTGACAAAAATTGCAGTTGCCTTAAATCACTGCTCGGCATTTGGACAAATCCAGTATACAAAACCTGCTGAGCATCTCTGACTGCTAAACAAGCTATAACAGTTGGCTCTAGTTTGGGTCTAATGTGAAGTTGTTACAACAGGGTCGGCCAGGGTTTTTGGGTGTACGGTATACAGGGGCTTTTTAAATCGGGTATACAGTATATTGCAGCTTAAATACAGGTATTCAGTGTATCACTTTCTTTGAATTTCAGGTATAAAGTATACCTGGGTATAATTTTGGGTATATTTGGATGAATTTTGGGTATTTTGGGGTATTTTGGCGAATTTTTTTCGCGTATACTGGTATACCACTACCCCCCTGGCCGACCCTGTTACAAGATTGGAGTAGTTTTGTTCTTCCACTTATGCCAGTAGCATACATTTCCTTGATGCCTGCATTATGTTTGTCTCTCATTAATACACACCAGGACACATGTCATTAATTAAGTTACTCATTACAGCTCAGCCAATCAGGAATTTGCGGATGCAAGCGATCGCAGAAATGAACAAAAGGGGGTTCTTATAGCAGGCGCCTCCTCCCTCTATCCCCAATCCCCGTCCCTGTTTCCCTTCCTCCCTATCCCCTACCCCTTTCGAAGCCTGCTACGCAGGCTAATCTAATTCAAGCAAAAAGAAATGAGTTTGCAACGATTTTACAACGAAACCTGTTCGACACAATCGGTTTAATTTCTGATAATTCGATCTCCTCAGTTTCGGAATTTTCACTCAATCTTGATCTACAATGCACTTTGACCAAGCAACCGCACGTGGTGATGGGGGCTAATCATTTCCCATCCGAACAAAGGCGTTTTCATGTCATTCCGTCAGAAAGTCGCCTTTCCAAAAGCTTAATTTTTTAAGCGCCCTTAAAATCGAATCAATTTAAACCCGTGCGGCTGTAATTCCCAGCTGTATAGTTCGATCAAGACGATTTGATAAATAGAAAATTAACTTCCATGGATATAACCCACTGAACTAAAAAGAAAATATGGCGTGAGTGAGAAACAGGCAGAGTTCGAATTAGGACTAGCTCGTGTAGCCAGTTCTGATGTCATGTATATTCCACAAAAAATTGACCTGCTGTCAAAACCAGTGACTGTGAGCCTAATACAATTAGACTAAAGTACCTGCTCCACCACCGCAGCCACTGAAAGAAAACGTTAGATCCTGTATGCACGCTGTGAGACGTGTAACTAAAATCATTTGTGTTGCTTCATTGCACCTCACTTCTCGTCCAGAGAGCATGGAAGGCAAGCATGGAGTGTTGTTCGTGCTTTGCGACCTCGCTTTAAATGTGATACACCTAGTCACGTGACTGCTATTTGCTTTTCCGTTCAATATCAGGTCAAGTATCGACACTTCTGTCTTTATATTTGGAACTCTAAGAAAATACATCCCCGGGGGGGGGACTCCCATATGAAACAGACGGGGATGCTCGTCGTCTCGCTTAGGGGTGTAAATTTTGGATTTTGGTCTCGCTTAGGGTGTTCCGGGCAAAGCGCCAATATTTTAAGCCGCCAAGGTCTCGTTTAGGGTTCCGCGAAGAACTTGAGATTTATGACAATGCTTTAAAAAACTACTTTTAGATAAAAGCATTCGATGATTATGTCTTTATATCATTAAAACTCATTGCATGTCGTATTTGTGTGTTTTTAAGCGGTCTCTTTTTGGTATCAAAATTTGCTTAAGCCACACCCAGATTGGTCTCCTTTAGGGGTCACAAAGAGCTTGAGCCACGCCCAGATGGTCTCCTTTAGGGGTTAAATTCAAAATTTCGGACGAGCATCCCCGTCTGTTTCATATGGGAGTCCCCCCCCCGGGAATACATCATCTCGGAAATTAATTATCTCACAATGTTTACGATATAATTTTATATGCCTCGCTTGCAAAGAAATTGCTCACAATCCAGTATCACTGTTGTAATATTCTCAACCACGCTAAAACGCTCCCAGTAGAAAATCTATATCGAAAGTAACATGAGCTCACTTATGTACGTTTGACAGCTATTTTCATAATCTCTTTCTTTATAGTCTTGATATGTAGACAATATAATTGGAAGTAGGTATTGAAATTAGCTCGAAATCACGCACACAGGATTTTCGATACAAACGTCTACAAAACAAACAGCACAATTTTCAATAATCAAATTATTCTATCAAAGTTCGCCAATTTTCGACAGCACAGCGGTTTCCTTTCCAGTACCCGAACTCCGAAGACATCCAGATAATGAGTCGAGATATTTTAGTCGAGTAATTATAAATAAAACTGGGCCATTATTGCAGGTTTTCTTTAATATTCCAATATCATTAAGTTTTCTAAACAAGGATTCATAATGCTTAAAAAATCGAAAATTCTGATTAGAAGTCCGAAGTCTACTGCAAAGCTGATAACAAACTGTACTTTTAAAACGATATTTCGGCTGGCCATTCCTTTTTTAAGCTTCTTTAGGTTTACTTAACAGATGTTACTAAATTTGTTAAAGCAATAACAGTATTATATAGATCGCGAGAATGTCAACAACATGAAAAACAATAGAAATATGAATTGTAATCTACCCCACGGTGTGGCACGAAATGTTTGCGGGTTCTAACTTTTGCGATTTTTTCAGCAATCCGCAAAAATAAATTCCCGCAAATGAAAATTACCGCTAACATTTTCTCTGCAAACATTTACCCCAGAGTAAATACAGTACTTAGAGATCGTGTCTGTTCAAAGTACAATTTGCCACTTTCATTCAAAACAAAACGGTATACAATGAATTACTGGTTTTACATAGGGTACGCATACTGTAGTATTGTTTGAAAATATGCATTTCTATTGCGCTTACTTAACAAAAACGAAAATATTTCAAAGCTGAGTACTGGGTACTTTCTGAAAATCGCAAAAATAAATTTCTAGCAAGAAAAAACCAATCTGTCTCAATCGCAAAAATTAGTTTCCGCAAAACACATAAAATTGCCAATCCGCAAAAATTTCGTGCCACACGGTGTATCCTTGCATGGTTATTTTTCTTATTTTTAATTTTCTTTATCATGTTGTACGTCATTTCCGCCTCTCCCTTTTAAAATATTTGCATTATGATATTTTCCATCTATTTCATATTCCTTCAAAACTAGACGCATAACAGGGTTACATGGGGCAAATTGTCTTACTATAAAAAAGCTCAAATGAGTAAGGTTCATCAGAAATCACAGTCTTCAAAGGCACTTATATAGAAGTAACAACAGTGTATATGTACAAAACGTTGCAAACGACGCTTGCGTGACTACAATATATTAGATTTCAGTAATTTATATAGTAGAGGTCATAATAAATGAAAAAAGAAAAGGGCAAGAATATAGTTACACGAAATGATCCTTGACGTCACTATGGACGACAGGAGGACACCATCCAAACCGATAAAAATATAGCAAAAAGACTAGCCTGTGTACAGCCGCCTCTCCCCTCGATTTTTTTGAGGGGAGGGGCGGCTGTACACAGGCTACAAAAAGACCCGATAACACTTTGCTTAGCGATCCTCGTGGAAGTCGAGGAAACCCAAAATGCACACAACCAAGCCCCCAGTTATAGACCCATGTAGCTGTAAACAAAGATATACATCCGATTATTAGCCCCCACCCCAGATATAATCCTGAAGAGGGGGGAAGCACTCAACAAATGTTTATACGGGGAGGCTCCGCCCCGAGGTCCAACCCTTTATCCTTTTGTATACCATTTTTCACGAAAACGGTACCCCTTTCGTGTACCTTCTATTGACAAAGGTACCCCTTTCACATACCTTGTTTAGAACTGTGCATCCCTTTTACCTGCTGTAAATGCACTTTCTTTTCAATAGGAATGGATCACAAAAATAGAACGTTTTTCTCGACTTTATGAAGCCATAAAAGTCATCTGTTAGCCCTTTGGACCCTTTCACAGACCCAAATGACAGATTTCCCTTCCCTTTCGTGTACTTCAACGAGTAATATCTCTACCCTTTCATATACCTGAAGTCTGAGAAAAATACCCCTTTCGGGCAGAGCCTTCTCATATAGGCCATTATTGGGTGCGCCCCCCGGGATATAAGCAACCCCCCAAACGTATTTAAGTGAATTCGATTGGGCCCTTGTCCACACGTATCCCTTTTGTTTGAAAACGGATATTTTTTCTACGCTTTGGCCCACCGTCAACACGTATTCAGTGAAGACGGTCACCGAAAACGCATCACGTCACGTACTACGCGCATGTGAGGGTTTTTTCACTTTTGTGTTAGGGATGTTTGAGTAGTGCAGTAAAGTTGTGTATTTAAGGGTTCGTTGAGATGTGTAAAGTGGAAGGCGTGGAGATTGGACGTGGATTGGTAAGTTTGTAAATCAGTGAAACTGGTTTCTCGTAGAATTTGATAGGAAGAAATAAATTCTTTATGGAAGGTTAAAGGATTTTAGGAGTGTTGCAGTGAGGTTGATGTGGATCGGCTCCTGGGGAGTGGTAATTTGACAGGGATAGTATAGTTATGGTCTGTTGAAATGAAATGGTGTGTTTGTGAAAGATCTCATCAATAGTCGAAAACATACTTGTACTTGTTTTAAATGTTGTTAGGCTTTCTGTTAAGGATTGTTTTTCGGTTATTTTTGATAAGATTTGTATGGAGTGAACGTGAATAAGCTCTGTCCTCCGCAGTCGGAAGCCTCTTTGTGTCTTTGAGAGGGCTAGGGAGAGGGAAAAAAGAAAACGCGCAGGGAACGATGGGAAGGGATCGTACTCCGCGTGCTTGCTATTTTTCGATCATTACTGTATTTTTATCGCTATTACCCAGCGGAGCCTCTGCGGACGAGAGAGGTAGATAAGGTAAAGTTCATATATTATGAACAAGGGAGTATGAAGATGTTTGGGGGGCTTCGAAAATCGGTTAGGTCAAGGGGTCAAGGGGACCGCAACCGAATATGCCGCTAACGAAGTAGACACATTGAATTCTGCAAAGCTGATACTACGTGAAAATTAACTCTGTAAGACACCGAAACGACACCAAAAGAAGCCAAAACAGAGCGGGGTTGTAGCCGTAGACAGGTGTTTCGCCATTTTTGTGGCTCGTCAGTACGGTGCAAAAAAAAAAAGAAAAAAAGCTCTGCTCAAAATGACCCGCTCACTCTGTTTTAGAGCCCTGACATCTAACTCCAACACTCATAGAACCACGCCACATCACGTGTTGAGAGTATACGACTTCATCCAATTCACCCAAGAATTTTTAATAATAACACACGCACGCAGTTTGCACGTGAAGATGTTGGACTTTGCTTCTTTTACGGTTCGAACGTGAAAAAATTAAACTTTCGCCGGCGAAAACTTGTTTACGGGATCATTCTGCTCAAAAAGATTTTAAGAAATCCTCTCCATTCCCAACATCTGCAATAAAATTATGGATCATTGAATGTTAAGATTAATAGGCTAACATCAATAAGTTGCAATAAAACTATCAAACTGCCGAAATACTTTACATGTGGCCACTCGTCGCATATCATTCCTCTCACTGAAACAATACCTTACTTATCCCATGCACGATCACGGAATTTTGCGTAACATCTTCTTTTGGCTCTCGACAACTGAGGGCAAAAATATTGTCAAACTCTTGGCTATAAGCAAAACCTGTCAATTCCAATTATTTTTGACAGATTTACCTCCAAATTTCTGAAAAATTGCCCGGCTTCTTGGTAAGATAAAAATACCGTAAGCTTGAGATTTATACGCTTAAATTACCGAACAAATGTTAATTTCTTCGTTCCTGCACTGTTGGGAATTGTGTTTCTTTGTTGCAAGGTTTTTTGAGATCGTAAAAGTGGGATAAAGTACACTGCTAACAGAGCTTCCTTTCCGGCATGCTTTTTACCTTCAACGAGTCGTTCGCGTGACAGACAGTCGCGTCGTTTGGCTTGTTTATGTTCGTACGTATTGCGTGCCTATTGCAACTTTGAAGCAAAACAAGCGATCTCGAAAACGCCCAAATAATACATTCTCTACGATTTTCTGTTTTGAAGTTTTATTAATTTCCCTCGCCATGTTAAGCTATCTTTCGTAGCGAAAGGAAACCCTAAACTCTTTGGATTCGAAAACATCATAAAGAGAGGAATCAGAAAAATTCTCACGCTCGAGAATCTTTAATTTGCGTCTAAAACCCTTGTGATTTCGAAAAGACTCAAGTTACCCTAGCCTGACCAAACAGATACAAATTTTATACCTCCGCTTAGAATGCATTCTAAATCGCATATGAGCGAATATGAACGAAGGTTCGTTTGAATGCAAACGTACAAAAATAAGTACAAAAACTATTTACGGAGAATATTTAAAATAAAATACTTAGAATAAAAATAAAATAATAAACATCCTATTTACAGAGGACACAGCCGCAGTCAAATGCAGATGACAATGACATTTGTTGCAAATTTCTCTTAAATATAGAGAGCGACTCTTGAAGCTTCTATCTTATCAGCTAAATTATTCCACTCGGATTGGCGGCTAAAATGAGTGTTTCAAAGTATCTAGGAGGAAACCGTCCGTGGAAGCCCCTGTTAACTGATTGCTGTGGAATTGAAATCGATGGAAATTTTTGCTTATTGAAATAGCACCATCAGTCATCTGGTCGGTAGCTGTTACGTTGCACTGGTTCATTGTCGTTCTTACTTCAAACCCCAAAAAAGAGTGTATGCCTTGACACTCCTTATTGAAAAGATTCGATCTTCTGGTATGGTATTTTTGTCAGTTAACATATCTCTTATCTCTTGTCTCCTTGTACGTAGAAGGCCAATACCAATCCATCAAGATTCATTGTTTCCTATCTTTTTATGGTGGGCAACCCGTCATAACGAGATCATCTAATCATAGACCGTAGAGTTTTAGTGGAGGCCGCGCGGAACCCTTGATCGAGGTCTGAGACCACGAGGGTGTCCTTGATTCAAACTTGCGAGGTTTTAGTGATATCCATTAGTTCCAACTCTTTCTGCCCCTAAAGCTTTCACACAGCTTTTTCTTATCAATTTTATTTGGTGAAGTAACATTGTCGTCTTTTCTTTTCTGTACAGTTGCCGTTTCGCTGGCCCTTTCTCTCAGTGTATTAACCCCAGCATCGTTTGAGTTGACACGAGATATTCTCCTACGAGGACCTACAGCTTGGATTATAGGAATAGGTGCAGGAGGAGGATGCCGCTGTCTTACAACGTTCGCCGCCTTTTGGGCACTTGGATCTAGCTCATCATTTTTGGCACTGCGACCAGACGGATGTTCAGGGTCAGAGAGTCTTGTGTTGGACAAAACTGGGACCGCAGTTGCAACAGATTGGCCTGAAATAACAGTAGAAAAAGCCTTTGGAGGATGTTGGTATGTTTGCACTGTAGCGGCCGTATTCTTACAATCTGATTTAATGGCTTCAGCTATGTAAGGGAGAGACATTGGTGGATTAACTTGGGCGGTATTTGTAGCAGTCTCAGAAAATGACTTTTGTAAACCAGCCATCGCTATTCCTTCCCTATCTGAGCTTGAAAAGCTGCAAATGCCTTTAGCTTTGTTTGCGACCCTTTCAAGGGATGACCTCGAAAAACCAGAAGTTGTGATGTCTGCCGGCACAGTTTGCGTACGCGACCCTGATACGCCAGCGGGCACAATGATTGCACCTTCTCTCTTAAATGGGCCCGCTGATGTCATACATGTACTGGCACTAGCTTCAGTAGCTGACCTCGACGAGCCATTTAGGGCAGTGTTTTCGGAAGTTTCAGAAAGTGGGCTGCGTGAATGAGTCAGGGCGATCGTCTCACTAGTTTTAGAAGATGACGTTGGCGGTAATAATCTATCAGGGGAATTTGATGTAGTTGCTTTAGTTGTTGCCCCTTCGAGCCGTTGGTGTTGTCCAAAATACCTAGGGGCATAATACCGAAGTTTTTCTATGACAGAAGCCAACGCATGGTCTTGTGTTCCCATTTCTGTACCCGCACTGTTTGAAGAAATGGTACCAGCAGAAATGGCATCACACGCTCTAGGACTTCTTCGAATTTCTCTGGAACCCAACTGAAACGAATACCGGTTGCAATCTACTCCACTTTCTTCAAAGGAAGAGGTAGCCTTTAAAACTGAGACCGAAGCTGTAGCATGAGGACTAATGGTAGGTTCATCAAATCTAGATCTTTTGGTGCTTTCGTCTCTCTCCATTTGCTCTTCCTGGTGTTTGTATTCTTCACCACAGTCCCTTGGGGCATTTCCAAATATTTGCCTTTTTGTAGTTGGTGATTGTGTCCTGTGATGTTGTCTACCGATTATTCCGTCGGAATGATATCTCTTAAATTTCCTTGCACCGTAGCTTTCCCCCTTTGACCTACTTTCCTTGCTTCTCTCATGATCATCGTCACTATATGCATTAGTAGCAGCACAAATTTCCTTGTTCTTCCGAAGATCATATCCATGCCTCGAGTTACCTTCTATTTCATGATGACGACCTGCGTGGCTGCAGCTTCCTTTTGCGCTGTAATCTCTATTTCGCAAGTTACTATCTTTCTCGTATATTTGTTTCTGTGTTAAACTATCGTCCCTTCGATCATAACTACGGTACCTTGAGGCCCCACCTTCTTTGCCTTTTCGACGATCTTTGTGAGGTGAAGAACTTCGTTTTTCATGATGTTCTTTGTGCCTAGAAAACCAGCCTCCACCTCTGCCTTCCTCCTCATAGTGATCCCGGCGGCTTGAACGACTTTCTTTCTCATTGTCTTTTCTGTGGTGCGATCTGCCTTCATTGGCATCGTAATCCCTGTGCCAAGAGGATCGTCCCTTGTAGAATGCACGATCCCTGGAGCGTGAACGACGGGATCGATCTCTGGAACGCGAAGAACGAGAACGATCCTGATGGCGAGACACACGTTCATTCCCATCGTGTTCTTTGCGAAGAGTTGAAGTTACTGCTTGATCTTCTGACATGTTAACTTGATACGGGGGACGACGCGTTTCGGGAGTGTTAGTGTCACTCAGCCGTCTTGTCGGAGCAACATTCTTACGCTCTAATCGATGGTCTCTAAAAGGCGAGTGTCTATCATTCTTTGCAGTGATGGAACGGCGTACGGGTTGTGTATCCTCCAAGGACGACACAACGGTTATCAACATTTGTCCTTGATTCGATGAGGCTAGGCTTGCTGTTTGATCTTCTGACATGTTAATTCGATGCGAGGGACGACGTGTTTCAGGAACGTCAGTGTCATCCCACCGTAAACTCGAAGCTATTGTGTCCTCTCTGTCCTCTAATCGATGGTCTCTAACAGGAGAGCGTCTATCATTCCCAGGTGTTACAGTGATGGAACGTACGGTCTGCTCACCCTCCGAAGACGCAATGGTTATCAGCAGGTGTCCTTCATTCTTTAAAGCTGGACTTGCTCTTTGATTTTCTGACATATTCTCTCGATGCAAGCGACGATTTGTATCAATTACGTTGCGGTTACTGCTCTGGCTTCGCGGAACGATTTTGTTATGTAATCGAGGGTCTTTCGCCGGTGACCGTCTATCATTCCTTAAAGAGATAACGGACTGTACATCCTTCGAAGAAGCAACCTGATAGCAACAACTTCTTTCATGCGCGTCCTCAATCAACGCTTTCCATTCCTCAGAAACACCCTGCGAACAACAACACAATCTGCTAGTCATAATGAATTAAGAGGGGTCCTGACGTTGTTAATAAACAAAAATCGTGCATGAGAGCTCAGACAGACTTTCTACTTCTTTCCTATCGACAGAGATGAAGAATTCTTTCACATCTCCAAGTATCCATGAGTCTTCCGCCCACTACATTTAATGATTTAGCTGCAAAAATGTCGAATATGTTCCTAAAGTTTCACCCTTTCTATGTGAATGTTGCGAGAAAATTGCTCATTCTTTTTCAAAATTCTGCAAAAGATCCTCAGAAGAACTCCGAAAATATAACGTCAGGATATGTTTCCAATACAGACTAACATCGTTTAGAATTTACTTTTATGTATCTTTGCTTTTCACGGTGAAAAGAAACTCGATGGTAGTTAGATTGAACTCGGGTCTTTCTCGGACAAATATTACTGCTACCGCCATGCATGTTGTTTCAAAAGATATTTTTATGGCCCCACATCATTTAAATTCAATCGTACCATGCTGTATTACATAACGACAAACAGCAATTTAAGTCATTTCTCATCAAAAAATAAGCTATTACCTTAAGTGTTTCCATGTCTCCAAAAACGAACAAAGACTGTCTAGCCCTTGTGAGGGCGACATGCATTCGCCGTTTTTCAGCAACAAAGCTAATATTGAAAAAATAAAAAAAAGAGAAACCAAATAAGAACTCTTATTATATGGCTGCAACAGGCATTATTTTCTTGTAATGACCGAGCATTACTAGCTTGGTGTCCAGGGCATGTACAATATGACGGCAATGCTGATCGTACTACGCAAAATTTAACTTTGCAAGACATCAACACGACACTGAAAGAACCCAAAACAGAGCGGGGTTGTAGCCGTAGACAGCAGTAACAGCTTTAAAGACCGTCTCGGCTACAAACCCCTCTGTTTTGGGTTCTTTCGGTGTCGTGTTGATGTCTTGCAAAGTTCATTTTCATGTAGTACGATCAGCACTGCAGAATTTGCTATTTTTGTTGATCACGTCTTAATAGATCCTACGTTCTGCGGCATATTCGTTTGCGGTCCTTTGCAGTCCTTTGTGGTTAATGTTCGTACAATTGTATTTAACTTTATAGTGGACATTTATGTTATGGTCAATTGACAGCTGCCAAAAAGGGTTTTCGCTGACTAGTGCCACCTGATTGTATCGCGGGCTCAAGTGTACAACTTATTTAGGTGACGTGTTTTCTTTAAGTTATCCGCTGACCAGTTATTGGTTTTAGTTGATCGCAGGCTCACGTCCAAAATTTCTTGTTGTCAACGAAACTGTGCCTTGTAGTTTCTATCGCATCACCAGGTTCGCTTCGGCTCAGTGAACACGACTTATTAAAAAATGTAATGTACTTGTGGCAATTTCCCCCGCAGTTGTAGTCTCCACCCACTGAACTAATGTGCGTGTGTTTATTGAAAATTGTGAATAAATATTTGACCTTCCTAGATAAAAAATAGCCTACTATGGGTTTTATATCTAGCTTGACCTGGTGCAATGAGCTTGTCCCGTAAGAGACAAGAGATAACTTAACCATTTGTTATTTAGTTTCAGAAACTGATCTCTTACCCGATAGAGCCATGATAAGTCTTTGTACGAACACAGCTCAAAATAATGACATCTTTCTCCCTCCCCTAAGAAAACAACAAAATCGGCTTGAATAACAATACCTCAACTTCACAGAGAACTGAACCTTATTATACAAAACTAAATACCTGAAAACAATCAACTTTTTCCACTTCGATAACACTTGTAGCACCACCTCTGAAAGGAACAGAAAAACTATCTGATCAGCTCTACTACCGCGGTCAGTTAAAGGGCGTCTAAGTACGACACAATAGGAACATAAGAGAATAAGACGGAGATGACTTGGTAGAAGAAAGACTTGTAGCTTTAGTCGTATTAGTAGCAGAAGCAGCAGCCGAAGTAGAAGCAGTTTAGCAGTAGCAGTAGCAACGGCAACGGCGACAGAGACGGCGTCGCTGGTGGTGGTGATAGAAGTACCGTAAATGATCTAATTGACGTCCCTCTCAAATAAACGCCTCTCCTCTAATGAACGACTCCCTTACGTTTTTAAGTTCGAATTAGACGCGCCTCTCTAGCATAAAACGCCCCCTGCCTAATAGACGCCCCAATGACTTTCTCTACAAAGTACTAGGAAATAGAAAACAGGAGCAAAATAATTCAATTCAATGTCAAGTTCAAAGAAGGGATAGGCTAACGATCAAAGCACAATGACTCTGAATGAGGACTTTGAGATCAAAGTTGAGATTTAAAAGAGCAATATGCCGATCTCTGGACGGCCTAGACGTATCAATGTATGGGCTGGAATTTTTGCTCTTTATATACTGTACTGATATTTTCTCCGAAAGCATATTGGTTTTGTTGAGCTTGCTACAGTTATGAGAATAAACGCCTCTCTCTTTTTTAAACGCCTCAAATCTGTCAAACGCCCTCTCTTGGATCCGGCTAAAATTAAACGCCGCAGGCGTCTATCATATCATTTACGGTAGCAATAATAGTCAAGTAGTTTACAATGAATCGGCCAAACTAATTGTGTAGAAAAATTTTCATCTTGGTCTAAACAAGGTCCAGGAAACTAACCTCGTTAAAAGACGTTTCTGGATCTCGCTTCTCTGATTACGGTAAGGAGTGATTACTCCGATGGACTTTGCGTCGAGGACCTTGACTAAGTGACCGCACAAATCAGCAATCATATCTGCCTCAACCGGATTCCACAATTCCCTTCAAAAATGAAAACATATATACTTCGTTCTTTCTTATTTTTAACTCATAATTAACGAACAAAAAATTGTAAAAGAACAATAATTGACGCTTTAATGCCGATTTGGACGTCCGAAAAGGACATAGGTACGGCTATAGAAACAGTTGTTGAGATAAACTCGACAGACTGAAAGTGGGAATTTAAAGCAAATACTATTCTAAAGACAAAATATCAACTTTATAACCATACCCTTTTTCCAGGCCTGTTTCTTCTCCCCGATGGACGTCAAAAAGGGCGTAGTGTCTGTCAAGTGGAAATGCCCTCGTCTCCAATGAGCTGTAATATTAACGTAAGGTTCTATAAAAATCTTCTTTAACCAAATCCTTCCTCAAAAAATTTTAACAACAAATACTAGAACAAGCTTTGAAAAGTTCGCGATCAAACACAAAAAGAGTGGTAAAGTATCTTTAGTTACCTGTGGCTTTTCAGGCGTGAGTTATAGAAGTGCACAGAGGGAAAGCGAGCAATTTCTGGATGCATGCGGTATTGCTCCTCTGGCATAATTACCGTATTCTCCCAATCTAATGAAGAACAAATTTCAGTATTTTAAAAGCATAAGCCAGCTGATGACGCCCGCATCGTCACTTATATGTTTCTATATTGGACAACAGAAACGTAAACACAGTCGACACTCTCTGAGACGGACACTTTTCAGACCGGCCATAAAGAGATGTCCGTCTTTTAGAGAGTTAACCCATTCACTGCCAGAGTGCTTGGTGGAGTTTTGTAAGATGACGCTAACTTTTGAGTCTGTGGACGAAATCCTCTGATGTGACCGTTCAAATGAAAGCTCTCTGCCTGTACTGTCACATTCTGCCATTTGTTTTTCAAAATTTTACAAAATGAAATTTGCAAACTTGGTCGAAATTTACCTTTGGCTACATTTGGCAGTGAAAGGGTTAAATAAAGGGAGTAAAGAAAAGAAGGGACCAACTCTAGGTGTCCGTTTTACCGAGGTGTCCGTCTTATAGAGGTGTCCGTTTACACATAGCTAAATAACAAGTACGTTTCTTACGGCTTCTCAACGAGCGTAATGAGAAATATTCGATAAGCTGCAACTTGGCGTTTAACAAACAATTCGGGATTGATTTAGTTGTTTTTGTACTGCCAAACACTTGGGTAAATTCGGTGGAGTACCCAACAACAATAGGCATTTAAATTGTTTTACCACTGAACTGGGTGGCCAGTGGGGCGCTAGTAATGAGTATCATGGATACTTGGTTACGTGCTTTGTAAGTCCCAACCTCGTTCCCAGGGTCCTCTCCTACTCGTCCCCTGAAGCAAGGGGAAAGGGTCCTGGGAAAGAGGTTGTGAAAGTCCTTGTCAGACACCTAGAATCTGGATTGAACTAACCTTGATCTCGGAAGTGTGCATCGAGTCGTTCAAACATGGAACGTCCAAATAGGTTTTCCTTCACTTTCTAAGATTATTCATAAAAAAAAAACAAATTATTAGCGGTAGAGCTGACTACGAAACGTAACTCAACACGAATAGATTTCAAGCTAACTTTGCACTTTTACGTAAAGATAAGCCTCGGTCCAAACGTATCCAGACATTTTTGAAAACAGAGATTATTGTCTCCGATTCAGCCTTCCGTTCACACGTAAACGGCGTTTTCTGGCACCAAAATTGCAGATTTTCGAAAACGGTCCTCCGAGTGGAGTTTTATGAAAACGCTGGCTTACTATTTTCGTGTGGACGGACGTAAATAGAGGTTTCGAATACTAGGATGTCATACATCATACAGCGCATGCCCTGTAAGGGGTGCTAGCATATTTCCATTGTTTTAACCTTTTTGTGTGGAAGGGCGATACGCTATATGTGGTCGGGTCTTTTTTTTTTTTTTCAAAAAGGAAGGAAAAACATCTCCGTTTTCAAAAATATCCAGATACGTGTAATCGAAGCCTAAAAGTGATTTCCCTTACCGTCGACAGTACTGTGGGCGGCAACTGTGTAGGATCTCCGACCAGCACTAGTTTAGATGCCATATATTGAAGAGGGATGAGCAAATCCAGTTCAGTAGTTTGACACGCCTGACAATGAGATATTTACAACAAAGTCATTTTTAAGAAATTATTACCAGAACTTGCCTCGATTTCCACCGCTCTCTCGGTCAACTCCGAGAAGAAACGCGTCCAGCCGTCTGTGCAAGGGAGGAGCACGTGTTCATATTTCCCGAACAGCGGCTGGTAGGATACCCCGGAGACGTAAGGAAGGGGAGCTTTATGTTGGTGGGGTGTCCATTTTATCGATGCAATGACGGATGTGTATGTCCTACAGTAATTCACAACCGCGGAGTGAAAGATTAGACCACAGGTAACCCAGGCTCTGTGATAGTACCACAGTAAGTTTCCAGTAAAATTACAGTGTTTGTACGGGGTAAAAATATCATCCTAAAATTTCTAGGAAATACTAAATAAAGATCAATGAAACTTACTCTGCAGTTAATTGTTGTTGTCCTTATTGCTCCAACGAAGTTTCGTGATAATTTGCAGTAATTTGTTCAAATTCACTCTATCTACAATAATAATATACAAGGTAGGAAACACGAGGTGCCATTTTCGCCGACATGCTCTCATTCAACACAACTTTTTCCACGAAATTCGAACTCCAACTGAAAATAAACATGCCAGGATCGCAGAAATAGGATAGCAGCAGATATAGAAACCAATGAAGCTTTCCCAGATAGAGAAACGAATCCCACAGACTTTGACAAACTCGAAGAATATAATCCAAACACACCGAGAATACGCTCGCCGAAGCAGCCGGGCCAGATCAACGCGCGGCCAAGAAAATGAAGCCTGGGCACTGTACAAAAAAATTCCATCCCGGGGGTCCTGGGGTGACCGATACATCATTTGCCCAAGGCCACCCTTCCCTGCTGGAAAAATACTTGATAGAAGGCAATTGTTCTTCCTAGCCAATCACTATGGCCTGTTATAAAGAGATTATTTTCCTCTCGAACTATATTCAGCTCCTGGCGCTGGTCCTCAGAAAGTTTATCAAACATCAATAGGGCAAGGTTATAAGGGCAAAGGAAAGAACAACGAAGGACGATTTACAAAACTTAAAACGAGCAAAAGATATAAGTGAATTTGGGCTCTTACCGAGGCATTTGTACAAAGGGACCAAATTCAAAGAGAGGTGTATCACGATGATTCGCCTATTTAACCGATAGAGCGTTCACTTGTATTGACAAGAAGTCGGCATGTTACTGCCGCATTAATCGCTAAATATGTTAATCGCGCTAGTTCTTTGTTTACTAGTGCACGTGCCTTTCACAATCGTCTCAGTTATCGCAATTCATATTCTGTCGCAATTTTCTGTATAATTTTTGACATTAGTTTGTAAGCTTCACCGTTTATTTACGATAGTTTCGCTCGAGAGTTCACAGCAACAGTATCTCAGTCATCATCTACCTTTTGTTCAACCTTGTTTTTAGCCCGCCTTGTAAGCATTTCGCGTTGTTATTTCATTAGTTTCATTACTGTTATTTGCATTCCTTAGTAAAAGAAATGGGACGCCTTGTAACTCCGCAGACTCTCCTGATTATATTACTTTTTTTTTTAGCCATTTAAATTCAGGCGCGTGTGCGGGGTTTGCTCTGGCAAATGGTGATTGGCTTGGAAGAACAATTGCCTTCTATCAAGTATTTTTCCAGCAGGGGAGGGTGGCTTTGGGCAAATGATGTATCGGTCCCTAGAAAGGTCACCCCAGGACCCCCGGGATGGAATTTTTTTTGTACAGTGCCCAGGCCTCATTTTCTTGGCCGCGCGTTGATCTGGCCCGGCTGCTTCTGCGAGCGTATTCTCGGTGTGTTTGGATTATATTCTTCGAGTTTGTCAAAGTCTGTGGGATTCGTTTCTCTATCTGGGAAAGCTTCATTGGTTTCTATATCTCCTGCTATCCTATTTCTGCGATCCTGGCATGTTTATTTTCAGTTGGAGTTCGAATTTCGTGGAAAAAGTTGTGTTGAATGAGAGCATGTCGACGAAAATGGCACCTCGTGTTTCCTACCTTGTATATTATTATTGTAGAAAGAGTGAATTTGAACAAATTACTGCAAATTATCACGAAACTTCGTTGGAGCAATAAGGACAACAACAATTAACTGCAGAGTAAGTTTCATTGATCTTTATTTAGTATTTCCTAGAAATTTTAGGATGATATTTTTACCCCATACAAACACTGTAATTTTACTGGAACCTTACTATGGTACTATCACAGAGCCTGGGTTACCTGTGATTAGACACGTCATTTCTTGCACGTGTTTGCGAAAGGTTACCAAGGTTACAAATCCAATTTCGGATTTCGCGTCCTCTTCCAACCGCGAAATCCGGCAAATCTAGGATCAAAAATCCGTTTTGGGATTCGCTGAAAGGAACACACCCACAGCCAACGCGCACTGGTGGAATAAATGTTAAATATGTTTAAGCGCACCACTGTGAGAACAAGACACTATATTTACAATAGTCCATTTTCGAGTTCGCCATGACCGCTGAATTAAAGAAGTGAAGACGCATTTTTTACAGCCTAAGCCTCCATCTGGGGTAATATATTCACAAATTCCAACGAGAAAAAGACCTGTTTATTTCTCTGTCTATTGTGTATATTCAAATTTCAAACACTTACTTGCCAGAATTTCTGAATCTTTTACTTTACGTCGAGGCTAACCCTGTACGAATGTGTCGCTAATGTTTGTATTCAGCGGTAATTTTTAATTCGAAACTGGACTATTCTTGGTTTGCAACCACGTGACAAGGTGGCCACGTTGGGGGTCAAAATAAAAGAATATTTCCTCGAAGAATTTACATGAAAATAGAGTTTAGTTCCCAGAGGAGAGAAATGCTTTTGTTCTTGACCACCAACATGGCCGCCGTGACGTCACCTGCAAACCAGCAATTGGTTCAGTGGTCTTACCTCGTCAACAATGACACAACTGAAAGGGCAGATACGCCTACAAACCAAGAGAAAAAAAATCAGTGAACACAAATAACAATGATTCCTCAACATAAGCAAGACACGAAACTAACCTTCTGTCCGACTGCAAGTCATTCTTCAAGCTTTCACTCCCTGCCCCACTGAGCGTGGTACATATGATGTCTGCAGAATCCAAAATTTCCCTTCTGATTCTTGTTTGCTTGGCGTTCTCCTCTCGCAACTTCTCTCTGAGTGCCTCTTTTTCAATTTGCAAATTCTTGTGCTAAGGGGCACAAATTTTTGCTCGATCAAAACTTTAGAGTGGTAATCAACTGACTAACCAAATATGTTCAGTGGTGCTTAACATTACTTTTACTGAAAAATGACAAATTTTATTATTTAGCAGTGCATTAGTTCAACTTTATCGGTGTACCAAGTCTTAAAAGTTACATGTTCACCAACTAGGAAAAATAGAATACCTTGTGACGATAATAATCGTGGGAAGAATTCTTGGCAAGTTGTCCTGCTGTCGCCGAAACAAGTTCGTTATCCAGCACCTGCTTTGTCAGGCATTCCAATCCAAACTTGAGGACTGATGGTAGGATCTCGTGCTTACGGCCAACTCGTACCAGAAACAAATCGCCGCAATTGTTTGAGAGTGCTTATTTTAAAGGAAAAAAGATATAAAAATCATTACATATTAAGCATACCTCAAATCGCTTCCCTTGCTTGTCAAACGGATCTGATTGATTGATTAATTGATTGATTAATTGAGGATAGACTTTATTAAACTGGGATGACAAGCCCATTTTAAGATAGAGCAACGAAAATATCATTAAGCATTATGTGTCTTGAGGGAAAAACAAAATCATTTCGGTTGAATCCCGTTGGACCGAAAAGGGGCGTGAATGAGGACACTGCATAGCACTCGGTCGCACACTCTTACCCTTTGTATTGATGATGGTTGGATGATGTAAGCTATCGCCTGTTTGCACCAAGCTAAAGACGTCAATCGGCGGGAGGCCCAGGTCCGCCAGTGACCAGTATCAACAATTCCCGCATGCGTCGCAGACAAGTGCCCAAGTAACTATATCGATAGATGTGGACGCAAGATTCCGAATTTTGCTCGAAACTTTATCCTGAGATGAATTTATGAAAGTGGATATGATCGTGCCAGTTAAATAGACAACCCAAGCGGTTTTATTAATTAAACGTTTGGCACTGCCAAGTTTCCGTTGAGAATTAAACGTGGCTCTGTTTACTAATGTTGTGAAGTATTTTGTAGGTTGTTTTAGTTTACTTCATGTTTGTACTTGAAGTTTCACTCGTGCCTAGAGTCTCTTTATGATTAGGTTTCTAGATCACAGTTAATCCATATTGGTAAAGATCGCCAAGATGTAAACCAGATTCCTGGTACCTCTTTGCTAAACGAGGGAGTTGCTAGGACAACCCCATATATTTTGGTGGAGAACCCGGGCAACGATCCTGGTAAATCTCGCACGAACGCCAAATATGTGGGGGTGTTCGAGCAACTTGCTTGTTTAGCGAAGAGGTACCAGGAACCTGGTTTAAATCTTGCCGTTCTTTATTCTTTACAGTAGTTCATATGTTTTCTTCTACAGCATCAACTCAACTACTACAGCTCAACCACTAACTGTGTCAAATATTGGCCAATTAAATTACTTAAGTGTTGGTACGTTCAGGATTGCTGACCATGAGAGATACGAACGCACTTTTAAACGTATTTCCTGTAGATAACCAAAGTGGAATAAACAAACTTCTAGGGTTAATAATGTCAACTACATGAAAACCAATGTAAGCTTGAATGCTAAACCAACGAGGTAGAGAACAATGAAGGGTAGCAATAATCTCAAAACGTGTCCATTTAAAGGACTGACACTTATGTTGAAATCTCCTTAAAAAGTAAATGGAATTCAAAAACCTGTCGATACAAATACACATTAACCTTGATCTAGAAACTTAATCATACCGAGACTGCAGTCATGAGTGAAACTTCAAGTACAAACATGAAATAAACTGAAAACAACCTACAAAATACTTCACAACACTTCAAACTAACCTTTCTTAAACTGACCTTGCCTGCAACCTCTTCTATTTTCATTGTCTAGATGAATTCTTGCCGCTTCGATTTGGCCAATTAATGCATCTATGGCAACGTTAGACGGTGCACACAACAAAATTCGCACTTTGCTTGCTTGATGTCCGACAAACGGACCCGAGGCTGTAGGTTGGTGATTTTCCTGTGGCCGCTATTGATTAATTTAAGAAAAATGATAGTTGTATTCATCTATTTACTTGGACCAGTTTTTTCTGTTAGATAAAATTGGAACATGTAGCAATCACTAATGTGTCAAGTTCATCGGTAAATTGAAAGGTAAAAAGGATAGCCACCTTTTTACTAAAAGTAACAAGCTCTTGAATGTATCAAACACACCCTCATTTGTCACGTTTAGTACCTTTTATCAACTTTCCACAGCCTTGATCTTTAGTTGGTGATCATATACTATGATATTTTTCTACCACAGGTAGTAAACTCAAACACTTTCAGGGCCTCTTCACACTACCCCGGTCAACCAGACTCGATGTGAAGGTATCGCCTCGTTGCTGTTTCACTTATAACAGAAATTTTCAAGGTGTTCACAGGAGAAACCGGACCAGCCCGGTTGGCTAACCTGGTCAATCGTTCAGGTTCATATAAAGAGGTAGCCTGATCAGAAAACAGACGACATTTGTAAGTGCCCAAATCTGGTTAGTGCTTCTGATTGGTTTAAAATTTGCTTCATCCAATCAAAAGCCCTTCACAGATCTGGGTAGTGATACGTCATCATTATGTTTTTTTTTTCTGCGGTCGCTCCTCAGACGTCATTCCGCAAGGAAACCAATGGTGGCGTCGCCATATGTCAGCTGTTTTCTCAGACTAATGAAGAGGATCTCGGACTTACATTTAAGATCTCCTTGATAATGCCAACAATGGTGTGCGATTTGCCAGTCCCTGGAGGACCCTGTAACATGCAAATCCGTGGAATCGGGAATGCCATGTGCACAGCATTTGTTGCAATGGAGATAGCCTTTGCCTGGAATTCATTGTACTCCTAAAAATTAAATCACGGGCAACACAAATATTACTTTGGCTGCAACATCTTATACATCCATCTTAGAGAAAACTGTATACGTAATTTCATAAAAAAATGTTTTGTCACATGCAAAGTCTCTTGTAGTCACACTTCAGCTAACGGCTATGGCATAAACAGCGTTGCGCTGGACTAACGATAAAACAGTAAAGAAACCAGGCCTCATCCTTGGGGCTTGACTTCTATACCCTGGAGTTGTATGAAAAGAGTTTGTGAACTGAACAAAATCATTTGGTGTAACAATGATAGGAATAAAACCTCATCAGCGGTAGTTTAGGACAGAACTATTTTAAAACTTTGTCTTCCACTATTACTACATGAAATTCGACATCAGTTGCTTTTCAAAGGAAAACTCAAATTTACAAATACAGCAGTAACGTAATGCTTATAGTACCTCGGATTCGGGCGCCGGGTATTGATGATGACTCGAACAAAAGTATTCTGCTTTGCCCGGTTTCAGGATGTGACGAGCTAAGAGGCTCTTGCTAAGATACATCATACCACGCCACGATCGTAGTGCTGTCAATAACGAAGCCACAAATTTCACCTCCAGGGAGCTTCCTCGCTTTGGTCGAAATGTTGAAGCAGTTCTGATGTTCAAGGTGAGCCTGAACTTACCACAAACATCTAAAGTTGACAAATGAAACACATAATTAAATGAAAGAGGATCATACCAGGTATAGACGCAACTATTGCAGTTGCGACTGCGGACAAAGTGAAAAAGTGCAGTATTGTACGGGAGTGGGACCCTTGACCAGTGTGATACCGGTGCAGCGCTCTGCAAATTGAGCTAAAAATTAAGGAAGCAGGTCATTGAGTTGGTTCGTTATAAACCCATGAAAGGATAACTGAGGAGATAATGAATATCTTGCATCTATAACTAACCAGCAGTTCCTAAGATAGATTTTCACTGATATATTCATTGTTTCATCGAAACAGATAATGTCCAAAAAAACTATATGGAGAAAACACTTCTGGCGTTTCCTTAGAGACATACGAGAAACGTGATTCCTGATTTCCATTTAACAGATACGCAGTAGTTTCCTACATCAGTTTGGGTAGACTGTTCACAGTCCCCTACCTTTCCGTAAAGTAAACTTTGGTAAAACGACATTGTTGTGCCTCAACAGTATGCGTCCTTGAAAGATTTGATAATCTTTCAAGTCCACGAATAGACCCATTCCTTATTGCAATCCAGGAAGCACACGCAATGTAACGAGGTGGACGCTTGGGTGGAAAGTTTCGTACAGGACACCATATTTTATCAAACCAAGCCTTCGTTCTCTGACGTGCAGAAAAGGTCTCTCAATGCACTTAGGTACTGCTTACCAGCTTTTTTGACGTCAACTGTCTCCACGATACCAAAGACTCCAGGACTTGAACGGAACACACCTAAAACAACAGCAAAGTGCTCTGGTCCAGCCAAAAAAATAAAAAGCTCGGTCGTCGTTAGTAAACCGTAACTGTGTTGTGATGAAGTAAACATATCCCACAGCAGAGCTCCTAAAACAATGGCTACCTCAAGTAGCATTCCAAGCTCACTTTTTATACACTAGCCCTGCGCTAACGTAAATCCACGAATCAAGACGTTTAGGGATGTGTGACCTATACCATACATCACATGCCCCATTGCCAGCTGTTATTACTTGGGGAATAATAGAGAAAATCAAAATATCGAGCTCTAATCTGGAGTTGTCTTTTAATTTCTTTCAAGTCTGAGAAATCATCCCTTTGTTCACTCTTTCAATCTATAAAACGCACTAAAAGCTTGCTTTGTAAAACGTCACGCAATTTGCAATTTGACTTCCGCCTTTTCCCTTCTGCCTAGCGTTTTATACGTTATGCCGGCATAATTTCAAGCGTTCTAAGAGAGGCCCATAGTATACCGATCCGGCAAAGCAGTTTAGGATATCAGTTTACAGCTGCCCGGTCTGGGGCATGAGTACTACTGTACTTAGGTCTTCACCGCGGTCAGGCGACAGAAATTTGGGAAAGCTAAGCAAAGTACTTCAAAACCAAGGTTGTTACTGACTTTTGCTGTTCAAATTTTAATATTTTGCCAATACCCCCTTGATTTACTTTTTGAAACTTTTTGAAGTTGTGCCAAAAACGTTTGTTCCAATACTCTCGACACAATGTCACTAGGGCGCGAAGAGATTAAAAGAAAAGGTACTCATTAATTTAGGGAAAATGCAAAAATAGTAACAAACTAATTATTTTACACATCCTTGTTGTTCATGTTTCTAGTTAGCGGTAAATGAAATTCCAATAAATAATTAAAACCAAGAATCGCCTCTGGCATTTGACCGCGATGGAGGTTACCTGCACCAGAGTAATTTTATTTTCGCACTAACGAAGCTGGAGCGATGGAGGACAACGCCGGGGCATTGCTCACGTTTCAACATAACACGCGTAAGCTAAAAATAAATCACAAGTATTGCTTTAAATTGAGAAAAAGCGTAAGAATGAAAATTTCCAACACCAACATCCTTTACCTGTTGGTCCTCTTTCGATTAGATTCACAACCACCAAATCTCTCTGTATCGGGAACAATGCTTTTCTTTCTTGCTGGTCGGTTATGGAACCACTGCATGGAATAATGCTGTTAGACGTGCTTCCGTCTAAAACCTCCATGTCCACTTGCTTCTTATCCACCTTTTTGTCTCTCCAACGGTTAGAAATCTAAGCAAAAGACAATGCAGCGTTAGGGCGTAAGTCACGGATTCCCTACTTACAGACAAGTAAGCTACTATTATCCGTTACCACTAAAGAAGACGTCAGATGTCTTGCACTTATTTAAGCTAGCAAGCCTAGAAGCGTTGTTTGTATCTGCGTCAGGTTTTGTTAATTGGTGCTCATCATTCATAAAGCGACAATTTCAGCTTACCAGTTTTTGGAAAATGGACTGTAAACTTCACATAAGTTCAACGCACTAACTTTATGCGTGGGTTGATTGGTATACTATACTCAACACGCTAATCATGAAGCATGTCCTACCTAAAAAGTCTCTTTCATGAAGTGATGTTTAGATGCAAAATTTCCAATAGCTTACAGTTGTCAACCGACAACTGAATATGGCAATTTTATGAAAAGGCAGGCTAGTACTAGTGACAACTATGTTTCCGTACAAAACGATAACTTCAACTCAACAGTGTGAAAGCAAACCTACCTTCTCCCAAATTTCCAAGAAAAACAAAGGTTTGAAAGTGTCATAATACTGATCAATGGAATCAAAACACGTTTTGACTGGCCCAGAAACAGAGGGCAGTCCTCTGGGTGGGGCGTGAGCTCTTCCATTTCGTTCTGGGTAAACAAGATCCGCAACATTCAATCGAAGAATCGTACGGAAAAACTCTTCTTCTCTAAGAACTTTTCGTGGCGTTGTGATAGCTGCTGCAGGTTCCTGCTGAGCGGAAATGAAAGTGTGTTTAATTGGACTTTTGTCATCAGCAAATGATGCATGTTTCACGTGTTTTCCAGACAGATGAGTTTCACCGGGAGCTTCTTCATGGAACTGATTAAAACAGAATCTGCTTACAGATTCAGCTTGAACGTCCGTATCGCGAGGAATGGCGTTGATCTCTTCCTCGATGTCGCTTTGAGTGCTGTATATGTCTTCAAGATCTTCTTCTAAGCTTGAAAGAGCATCGCCGTGTGGATTCAGAATCAAATTGCTGTATCCTTTGTAATTGTCGTCTTTGAATGACGGATCCCTTCCAATCTGCTCGCCTCCTTGTACCATCTGACACGCACTTGCGGTGGCGTCAACATTGATCGGCAAATCTTGCTGTAAATCACTAAATCCTGTTGCACCGACCTCACGACCTGACTGCTCCTGCCTCGTACCCAGACGTCTCTCTGCGCGCAAAGGAAGGCGGGAAACTGTGTGTACCCTTCCTATGGTCTCTTGCAGTTCATCACCAGTCGCTCCTCTACCTTGTGTAAAACGAAGCGCCTGAGGAGGAGGCTGTGACTGCCCACTATTGACATCATCGCCCACTTTAGCTGCGATATCTTTCATTTCAGGATATAAAACAGTGTCGAATTCATTTTCAACCGCTTCCACCTTTGCTTTATGAAAAAAAGCGTCAAAAGGCGAAGCCGAATTTGCCACTGTGCTTTTCAGGGTAGAGGTGAGAGGCTTCTCATCTGAGCCATACATCCCATTTGAGAACTCTTCTTTGATGGAAACATAATCAAGAGTTGGCCCATCATGATTTCCAGAGCGTACATTTAATTCACACTCTATTGAAGGGGAGTCGGGTTTATCCATCATTTCAAGTAAACTTTCCTCATCAAATTCATCAGCGTTTTTATTACTTGAATTTGCCACTGTGCTTTTCAGGGTAGAGGAGAAAGGCTTCTGATCTGAGCCATACATCCCATTCGAGAACTCTTCTTTGATGGAAACATAATCAAGAGTTGGCCCATCATGATTTCCAGAGCGTACATTTAATTCACACTCTATTGAGGGGGAGTCGGGTTTACCCATTATTTCAAGTAAACTTTCCTCATCAAATTCATCAGCGTTTTTATTACTTGAGCAAGCATCTCCAATATCAGTTTGTAGTTCTTGTAAGGCTGACTTTTGCCGTTCAGGCCTTTTGCTGTTCTCTTCATTCGACACATCTACGATTACTGGTTGTTCTGAAGTAGTCCCTGGTGGTGAGAACAACACATGTGCTCGTTTTATATGAACTCTTTTACATTTAAAACTTGGGCAAATTTAGGCTGGAATCACACGTCAACCTTTCTCACGTATGTAACCAAATGCTAGTGAGCAAAATGTATTCCTGCTCATTAGCATTAGGTTCACCATATGTGAAATTTGACAGTTAACTTAGGCCTTAGGTGCAATTGAAAATCATGTGTCTGGAAAGTTAACAACTGAAATCTTGGCTTATTTTACTACAAATAGAAGACACAATACGATACTGGCTTAGTTGCCATTCTATCAGATTCCAAAAACAGCTCACCGCTTTCCAGCTTAAACATCCTTTTGGGTTTATTTTCCCAGTTTTCGTCTATGCATTCATCTGTACTTTCGTCGTCACCTTCAGCAACCATTGCTTTGCTAATTCTGGGAATGTTTACCAGGTTGCCCTCTTCCGTAGCGCTTTCTTTCATTTGCAAAGCCTTTTTTGACCTAACAGAGAATACAAAACCTACCTATTCATTTCAGTCAAACTTTCACCTACCACTAAATTTTATTTCCTAAAGTTAGACTTCGAACTGGGCTATCAACAAAAGGCTGAGAGCGGCGAGGGGCGCGGTGAGAGGCTATCATCAAAAACCCTGAACCACACCTCAGCCTAACACATTTCTTGCAACTAGGCCACTACTATCAGGTAAATACCATGCGATATGCGTCCTTCGTGCTACTGGGAAGAGGCAGTTGATCAACCTTTTAAATTGTTTGTACCAACAGGTAATGCGCAAATGAAGCTAAATGACACGTGTTCGTTTTACCGTTTAATTGGAACTGAGTGCTCTTTTTCACTGCTGTCATCTTCAGAACTTGACACTCCACTACGCTTTCTCGAGGATTGAAGAGCAAGATCGGTGTTTCCTTGTTGGAATTCACTGTCCAGATCGTTTGTTTGGCTAAATTTCATTTCCTTCAGAGGCGCGGTAACCTCTGGAGTCTGTAGTTGCTGATTCTACCAAGAAAATGACAATCATAAAAGCGGAGAAAACATACACGGTCATAAAATTTGGAAAAAAAAAACAGAAAGACTGTTTGGCAAATTGAAAATGATATTTAAACTATTTAATGTGTCGTATAGCTTTGTTGTTTTGGAAAGAGATAATTTGGTACAAGTTTTCCTTTGTCATGATTTCTTTGGTAAATCACAAGGCCTTTTGGGGGACCTATGAGGGGATAACAACCTTTTACTGTAAAGAATTGGCTATTGTTTTAGAGTCAGAAAACAACAGCCACAATTGTAAACTACACCCGTAAAAATTTTGATCAAATTCATCCCGGGAAACTTAGTCATAGTGAGCTTCACAATTGTACAATAATGAAATCACGTGGTTTCTAGCTAACGCTGAGCTACCATACGTCACTTGGATGAAAAAATGAGGGAAAAATACAAGGTTATCCAATTTCCGTTTTCTTTGGAAATCGGTTTTTGTTACTACTAGTCAGAGAGCCTAGAGGTCCCACAGAGCAACATGAGGAGGCCAAAGGTAAAATAATAACTACCTCAAAAGTCTGAACCAGAAGTGAGATGATTTGCTGTTTATTTTCTGGAGACAGATTTGCTGGTCCAGGGAAATCGACTTGTAAAATCTGCTGAAGCAGTCTTTGGGTCAGATCCACAAGCTAGAAAAAGACGAGTTCAATGATGTCACTTTTTAAAGTTCTCATTTACTGAGGAATTGTTTAGGGTAGGTTTGATTCGCATAATAAAATTGTAATGTAGCAAAATCGAAATTAATATTGAATACATTTACAAACTAGTCAGGATGCTTATGGATTCAAATTTCTGATACAGTTAGGACATGTCTACATGGAAGGGAGAGAGACTCTCCTAGATGGGTCAGTAGAATCTTGCTTTAAAGAAGAAGAGACTTTACGACAGGGTATCTTAACGCAAGCCATTTAACATTTTGGCACGAATTTACATGGCAATAAAGAAGTGGCAATATCTTTATGGTGTTAAAAAAGTTAGGAACAATTCGTTTTACCCTGCTATCTACTGATCCACAAACTGCTACATCCACCAGATCACTGGCCCAGATACGAACGGTAGGAAGCAGGAGTGAAGATCGCTTGGTCAGCAAGTGACCAATAATGTTCAATAAGGAAGATAAAACCCTTTGTTTGAATGTGTTTTGAAGAGAACAGGTAGCTGAAATGAAATGGACTAGACTTTACTTTTCAGGTCAAATACTGTGTCAATATATTACGTAAATCATGTTCGAATACAAGCTTTTAAAATAAGTCCATCTCTTCTGTCGACCAAGCTTCCCTCAAGGATCTTTTTTGGCAAAGACGACATACTAGAGTTACAAGAGACCATTGGTTGTCTGGCTATCTTTCTCTTTCAGGTTTCCGATGACATCGGCAATCGCCACTATTATACTAAAGATGACTTAATACTAGAAGGACGTCACAAGATCAAACTCTTGTGCATGCCCACGTTCACACACGACGGATCCAGCGTTCCAGAGGAATTCTTTCAAGCGAAGGATCATGTAGACCATTTGAGGGGTCACCAAGACCACGTGCTAATTTTTTTCGTTATATTTAACTTAATACTTATATGTCATCTGTCGGGTCAGGAAGCCTTCTTTGTCGGGTCATTAACCCGAGACCCATCTTTTAGCTGGAAGACTGCGGATCATGCGTCCTTAGCACAAAAAACGGCCAACACATTGTTATTTGACTCTTGTGGAAATGGGCATCTCTGAGCAATATTTGGAGGTTTTTTTCGCCTTTTTTCCCACTTAATATCTCACTACCACAAGAAAAATGTCGCACATCTAGGCATGCAATTGTTCCATTCAGAATTTGTTATAAAAGGCAAATTAAAGTCGGAACAAGTAAGATTTAAGATTTTGCAGGAGAGAGATAAACGCGACAAGGGCGCTTAGAAAATGTTACGTACTAAATTTAAAATGAGAGGGTGATGTATTGGCGATTCGATCTCTCCGCTCATTCTCTTTTGGTTTCCTTTCCTTTCCATTCGTATAACTTTCATAAAGGGGTGATGACCTGTGCACTACGACTCCATGTTAGCACGCTTCTCATTAAATTGAAGGAGGATGGTCTAGTCCAAATGGTGTTTATATGTAATTACTATAAAAAAGTAAAATCCATGCGACATAACGTGAAAAAATTATTATAGGGCTACAGCAACAATCGAAGATGCCTCTAACCTGCCATATTATGAAGATATCTGATAACCTCAGATATGTTATCTTCACCAGTATCAAAGTCAAGAAGGGACTGAACAAAAGGATAAAGCCACGCTAACGCTGTGTTACGAAAACGGCCATTGGAAAGGTGGGAAGAAGACACCCCCTCAGTTCTCATGAAATCTCTGCTCGATATCTCATGTACGTCGTCTTGTCTGCAGAGTAGTTCATTCTCATCCTGCCATAGTTGGATATACTTGGTGAAGACGCAATGTGTTGTTATGAAGTTAAACAGGGCATCGGGTTTGAAATCAAGAGATGATAATTGCCAAATTCTGTTTTCTAGCCTTTCAAGCAAAACCACAAAACACTGCAACATTGGCCAGAAAGCACCCTCCTCTACAAATAATGAAGATGCTAAGTTTGTAAGTGTTATAGTGTTATATAATTATATAGCTTTTTCAATGATTCGATGATGTAGTTTTTTCAATGATTTTTTCAATGATTACTATAAATACATATCTCGCAAACCCTTGCACTTCCTACAAACAGGCATAACCGGCGACCTAAGCAAACTCTTTAGTGAGACGCACTGACAAATGTCCTTTTACCTCGATTTTTGCACTTATTTTGAAACTTATGGTCCAGTTGCTTCAATATTCTCTTCAAAATACTTTTGCCGTCGAAATTCATCGCCAAAAGAATTTCCTTTTCGCCAATACGGCTCCAAAAACAGTCAAATCAACGGACCAAGTAACTTGGTGCTTGATGATGTCATTGCGGACACCAATATATAAATGATATGTAGGGCCTTCCGAGTTAGTAAATGATGATAACAGTCTAATAAAGCAATGAACGTAAACAAATCGAAGTAGATAAGATTACCTCTTATTTCAGTTTCCATTAACGACAACACTGTTCCCAGGAACGTTGCGTGATCAGTAGAATTAGTGAAGTATGTCCTCACCGTTGAGACATCCATCTGCCGCAGCAAGACAAATAAACCCAGCCAATACTCTCTTCTGGTAAGTGATATGAATAGATGAGGAGGTAAAAAATCGAAAGGTAGTTCAGCATCTGTGTTCTCTGGTGATAATGCGTCTATGTTTTCAAACAAGTTGAACTGAACAACATTTATCATCCACCCAACAACGTTAGCCAGGAGATCAAAATCATCCGGACTTATAAGACCCAAGTCTCTCACACATCTAACTGCCCAAGCACGAACCTGGAAATAAATGTAAAATATTGATCAAAAGATGACCATTGAAGTTTTGGATAGGAGGTAATTGGGGAATTAGGGACGTATGTGACTCAAAGTAAGTGTAGATGGTTTTAGCTTTGTCTGAGACACTTTTTGTTAGCATTATTTTATCGAACAATGTAAAAGAAAACTAGGATCTCTTGATTTGCTCCAACCTTTATATCAGGGTGAACCAGTAGTAGATATGCACCCGGTAGCTTTTCTTCCAACCTCAGTGGAGAACCGCACTGGTTAAGAGTGATAATTCCCTTGGTAAACAGGTCAGCCAGACACGCACGATGTAGAAGATATGGGTAGCGCAAGAGCTCCGTGAGGTGAACTTGCAACCTCTTGACAGCATCCTTTGAAAAAAAAATATAATAAAGTAACGCCACGAGAAGGCCTGAGAATAGGAAAAACAGCATCCTTTGAAAAAAAAATATAATAAAGTAACGCCACGAGAAGGCCTGAGAATAGGAAAACCGCAAACCACGTAGCGTAGGAATACTATGTACCAGAAAGGAAAAAAATTGTAGTCTATAGCACCTTCAAGCACTGCTTTCTCAGTTTGACCTCAGCAAAACTAACGCGCTGTCACCGATCGATGTTCTTCTGTTCCAACCTGTTAGTCTCTTAGCAAAGGGAGCTTTTATTTCAAGTTACGATTGCTACCAAGAAGTTAATAAGTTATAAACAAACAAACAAACCTGTAATGACGGATCAAACACCTTTTTATCGACCGCATTTTCTAAGGCTTGTGTTATTACTTGAGTGAGCCGCTCAATATCCAACTTCTGGAAGTTCTAAAGCGAAATATTAAGTTGAGTACAGCAACACAATACGTAGCTTTTGTGATCGCGTCATTGCTGCTACTGCACACTGTATACAACTAAAAGAGTCTTTCATCATGAATTCCCTGGGGCACGCAAGTTAGACTTACGTCAAACAACAACAATAACAAAAATAGACAGCCAGATTCCAGATTAATCTTCTGCGGGTAACCAGGCAATAATCCAGTTTAGTAAATGGCTGAATCCGCGGGCGGGCAAGATGAAGCGAATCCGGAGTTCTGATTTGCCACCGGAGTGGGTAAGATTGCCCCGCTCGGGATTTCCCGCGTTGTTCCCGCAAGGAAAGGTTCTCTCCCGAATCCTTTATGTGATTGACTTATCATGTGCGCTACAACATTGTGTGAGCATAATCAATGCAAAACGCGTAATTTAAGTCAATAACTCAGTCTGCCGGTTTTTCCCAAAAGCAAGGGTCCAAGCCATTTACCAATCAGAATAAGAGATTTTTAACTGCAGCAATTAATGTAGCTTAATTCAGTAGACAAAACACTACTCACTTTTTTGAGTTCTGACTTCTGCTGTATCAATTCCTCCGCGAGCCTGTGATATTCTTGAACACAGTTAAAACAATAGCAAAGATCCAGCAACACCTCATGCCATTCACAAAGAGGTTTATTTACATAGTCCGGTAGCAATTTTCTCATGAAACGAGGCCGTGAACACCATTTGCAGTCCTGGCTCATTTCCGGCGAACTTTCCTTAAACAATAAATAACCAACAACAATAAAATGAAGCAAAGCGTTGCGCTGAAATGTTACCACTTGGGATTATCATGTTTGAATCTTCGCGCAAAACCGACATGTGATGAATAATGACAGACTGGAAAGTCGCGAAAATTTCATAAAATAAGAGGAAGGTAAATGCTTTGTTTCTAGTGAAATACACTTAGCTGATGTACTTAGTATACAGCCGCTTCCCTCAAATAATCCGAAACAAATAAATACAAATGCAACACACCAGGATTAAAAACCCCAACTGGCAGGAGTCACAAGCATGACCGAGAATTTGAATTCTGAAAGACCGAGAAACAAATTCAGCTAAAGGTTATAGCAAAAATCAATCCCAGACCGCTAAACTTGCTACTCTGACAGGTCTTCTTAAAATAAGGTCCAGCCCTGATTAACAATTAGTGGACGAGGTTGAGCAAACTATCGTGATTTGCCAATGTCTCCCAGATCAATTATTTGATTAATTGATCTGCGAGACACTGACAAATCACGATATTTTGCGATGATCGAGTTCAATAATTATTTTATCATGCGATCACCGAGTTTGTTTTTAATGAATATCTTCAGGAAGCGAAGCGATCTGCCATTTTCACGCAAGAGCGATCGCACGAAGGAGAAAAGCGTGGTTTACGTATGAGCAGAATATTATTTGCAGCGAAACACAGTTGGACGACATTGCGCATGAGCAGACCATTATTTGTAGGCAGTTATTTGCAGGTCATATGGTGGGCTCTCAGCCAATGAAAAGGAAGAAAAGTTTGCAACGAACGATAATCATTATTAGGGGTGGCGAATCATCATCACTGTCCTTCGCACCAACTGGCGCATAGGCGAGACAGACACAAGATCTTCCCAATGGTCTATAGTTCTTGTTTTCGTGACAGTGGCTTTTTAATGGCCCATTGCCAACCTTGATGCATTGCGCGATGCGAACACAAATCTCGCGAATTTCATGTTACACGAAATTGCTGATAGTTGTAAAAGGCTTTTCCAAAGATTTGGTATCCATTCGAACGGCTAGGGTTATCCGTTCGAAAAACAAATGTCATCCCTTCGAATGCCCCAGGCTATCCGTTCGAAAAAATCATCATCCGTTCCAACGGCTTGGGTTATCCGTTCGAGAAAAATTGTCATCCTTTCGAACGCCGCGGGCTGTCCGTTCGAAAAAATCGTCATCCGTTCGAACGGCTCGGGTTATCCGTTCAAAACAATTGTCAGCCGCGCTACTGTTCTAAACCACTTCTTTCACCCGAGCGGTTTGCGACGAACCTGTCACAAAATGTGAGCTTATTATAAATAATTCTTCTAAGCGTTGTTTGCCATCACCTCATGAATTTTCACGCTACATTTTCTGCTGAATAGCCTTCCTTGCTTTCATAATATTCGATTATCGTTAAAAGTTTTATTCAAGACTAAGGTATAATATTCAACAAGTTTCCCGAAAAAGTTAAGCTTATGTTTTGACCTTTTGGTATGCAAATATCCAACGCTTTTGGTAGCCGTGAGAATACACTCAATGAACTTTGCCTGTTCAAAATACCATCATCTTCCCTTACCATTTCCGGGAAAACAATTAAAAGCTATTGCCACGGCACAGAACTGATTGAAAAATAAAAACGGTTCCTTGCGGCGGCTGTCATGTCATAAACTTGAATGCTCGTGTATATTTTGTCACATTTTCTCGGCATCTCACGGAGTCGTACACGTTCCTTTCAGGTAAACCTGAAAGAAACTCATCCACTTCCATGAGAAATAATACTTATTTACTGACTTTGCGGGCGAATTATGCAACCATTTGTCAGATGAGGAAAGACACAACGCCGACGCGACCACAGCTGACTAGCTCTGACTATTTTGTCTTTTTGCAAGAAAGCCTGACAAAAGTGTTGACCAACCAGAGCGCACCATTCTCAATAGCGCGATTTCAAAACAAAAACTAACGACCGCGTTGCATCAAGGTTGGCAATGGGCCTTTAAAAGATAGGTAGTCAGGCCCACACCCAACCCCAAAACGGGGAAACAGTTTTGTATTGCAGCTCTTCAGTTAAGGTATTTTGTATTGCAGTTCTTCAATCATTTCTTCTGCTAAAAACATCAATCAAAAAGTACTGCCCATCAGCTCTATGTGACATCTCCCATAAATCGGCTCCTGGCCCACGTTACATGATACAAAACTTAACGCTAAAAGAAACAAGTTTTGATTATAATCATAACTAAGTAGTAGAATTCAAACTATCACAATGCAAATTCAGCTTCATATAAGCACTACCCTGAGCACTACTTGATAATGAAATTCATATCAGGCTACTTACTACATCATTATCCCGGTCTTCCTTGCTAGTAATGTGTTGGAGCGTGGTATCTGATCCTGTTTCTGAAGCAGTGTCAACTCCTTTGTCCTTTACATAAAATACATTGAAGAAAAATAGCGACATAAATACCTTGCAATGGAATCAGACTAGGAGAAAAGAGGATTCTCTGGGCTCAAATAGTCGCTTTATCGACCTTCAGAGGACCATATGATAGCGTCAACAGAAGCGTATGTAAAAAAGTAACATGTACAAATCAACGCAGACAAATACGTTATACACCTAGACCAAGAAATTCAGAAAAGTTTATTCCAGCACTTTTAATTTTTAGGTTGCGTTTCACGAAAGTTTAAATGAGGCTACATACCACATCATCGTCCAGGTCTTTCTCGCTAGTGATGTGCTTGAGTATTGTGTCTGATCCTGTTTCGAAAGAAGTTTCATCTTCCTCGTCCTTACATACAAATAAATTGAAAATAGCAGTGGCATAAATAACCTGTATTTGTAATACAATCAGGCAAGATGAAAAGTGGATTTTCTAGCCTCGAATGGTTTATTTGTTGGCCTTCACACCCCAGTTGTTCTCTATCCAGTGGATAACGAAACTGGTTTTCCAAATACCTATCTATTGGATAGCGGCGCTATCCTCCTTTTGAATAACTCGGCCCTGGGGTACATATACAAGCGTAAAAAAAGTCGCATGTCTAAATGAACCGAAAATAAGTGTTGATATTTGAAGAATCTGAGACTGTTCTTCTTCTCAACTGCCGGCGAAAACATTTGCTAGAGTACGAGACTTTCAGGACTGTCTTAGGACCGTCATGTTTTTCGGTTACTTGCGCGTGCGTGCTTAATTGCACAGGGATACGATTATGATCTTCTGAACATGCGATCAAATTGAAGATAATGCCCTCAAGCAAAAAGTAAAGTAGGTCTGTGTAGTATGTCACACACACGTTATAAAACAACTCAGTATAACACTTCTTAAGTATTCCATATTAGCTAAAACAATAGGCAAGCATATATTCGTTTTTCTATCAACAGAAAAGGAAATAACCTTATTAGCAAATAGCTTTTGTGCCAAGTTAATCACTTTAAAACCGTAACAACAACATTGATGACGATGATGACGACGACGACGATGATGCTGATGCTGATGCTGCTGCTGATAATGATGATGATGATGAAAAGAAGAACAAGAATTCAACCGAATAACATCGTTTTCCAAAAGACCACCTGGACCTAAGCAGACAATGACAGAATTTTCCTTTTTCAAGGTCTCAATTTATGAATTTTATCCGCCGTTTTCACATCCATTCATGCCTGAGAAGCCCTCACTCACCTTCTCGATTTCTAGTTCCTCCATTAAATTTGTGCTGGCATCTGGAAGTATCGATTCTGATCCTGTTTCTGAGCCAGCCTCACAGTCACTTGCCTCGTCCTTAATAGAACAATTCATTATACATTATACTACCACATGAGAAATTTCTGTAACTTGATTGGCTTGGAGCAGAGGCATTTCAGCTTAATTTGAAATACCTACATGTAAAAATTACTAACCTTTTGCGGGTAGCAGTATAAACAAATAATAGCATGATTTGTACGTGCAATTTGGCATAAATACCACTCGTGATATTTCAAAATTGTTTCAAATTTCACTCGCCTAAAGGCTCGTGAAATGACGTACAACAATTTTGAAATATCAAGTGCTGTCACTCTAAATCTTAAAACAGTTTGGACTACAACTAAAAAAGCAAAACACAAGCAACTTACTTACCACATTCATTTCAAGTTCGTCCTTTGCGCTTTCCTGAGGGAGTGCCGATTCTGATTCCGTCTCCGAGTCACCTTCACTTCCACCATCCTTAACGAAATAATTCGTTTTAAAAATGTACCTTGTTTCGAGCCATTGTAATTAAACGGGTATACAGCTGTTTCAATTAACGTTTTTGGATTTTAAGGCTCAAGGCCTAAGCAACAAAACTGCAAAGTCATATGGATAACTGTTGATCCTTTGTTATAATGTCCCGGCTGTCAGTGTCATAGGATGGTATGAAACGTAGCAAAAGATTACCTTAGTGTTTTTGTTACACGAGAGTGGTGTCATGGCTGAGTTTAGAAATTTCTTTATTACATTAACCATACGGTCGACTCTCTTTTAACGGACACCTCTATAAAACGGACAGCTCGGTAAAACAGACACCCAAAGATGACCCCTTCTTTTCTTTAATCAGTTTATTTGACGTAGGTGGCCCGAACCTATTTACATGCGTCCTGGTTATGTTTTTGAATCGCATTTTTGAGTAGCAAAGGTTTAACGGATTTCTATGGTTTTTGGCATTCTTACTGAGGAATAGTGGAACTTTAAGACTATGTTATTTATTTTCTTGTAGGAATAAAAACGTTTGAGATATCAGCATATATTTAAAACCGCATTTTTACAGAAAAATAAAATCACTTCGAAATCCCATGAGAGATTTTTCCCTAACTTCATTAAGTAAGCGTCAGTGCCCTCTAGTTTTATATCTGAAAGTTTGAAGTCAACTCGCTTCACAAAACGCTGGTCTAATTTATGTACATTTGTGAAAGTTGACGCACAAATAGGAGACTGCTGACGGACTATCTCCTATCTGAAAGTGTATTCTCACCCAAATTAAGAGCTTCAATGCAAGAACTGTAATCAGAAACCTATGGCGAATACAGTTAGCACTACAAGAAGAACAACTTTATGCTGAATACGGGTTGAGATTAAAGGTAGGAGTACCGATTCTGACTCCGTCTCTGATCCAGCTTCACTTCTCATGTCCTGAAGAAATTAATATATTTACAATAATGTACCTTGTATCTAGCCATGAGAATTAACGGGTACTTATAGTCTCAACTCTCTCTAAGACGGGCACCTTTGGGTGTACGTCCGTCTGAGAAAGATGTCCGTCTTTTAGAGACTCAAATAAAGGGAGTAGACAAAAGAAGAGACCAACTCTAGGTGTCCGTTAAGAGAGAGTCGCCTGTACACTGCACACCAAGAAAGTCCTCCCTGACATAAATGTAACAAAACACAAACAAATAACTCACCATACTAGTTTCAAGCGCCTCCTTTGTGTCCTCATCTAGGTTTGCTAATTCTGATTCTGTTCCTGAACCAGCCTCACTTGCCCCGTCCTTTAGAAACAATTAGATCCTCAGTTGAAAATTTCCCAACCGCCTTTTTAGTCATAAATGCGACCACCTTATTTCTAAAAGAAACTGACTCAAACTTTGCGTTTTTCACACGCCTAATAAAATAGTAACCGTGTTAGCGATAAAGCTGGCACATATACGTTAACTCACTTGAACGTAACATTAAAGAAATACCTTTTTAACGTCTAAGTCGACCGTCATGTCAGGGAGCACGGAATCTGAATCCGATTCCGAGACAGTTTCATCTTCTTCACTCTTGAACTAAACAAAAACAACACGCCTAGTAAATGCCTCAAAAATACTGATCTAACATTGTTCTAAGTAAGATGCATAAGGGTTAGACTACGCAGTTCTGGTATTTTACTATTTCTTTCCTGAATATCGCAATAAAGAACTGGGAACAGTCAGGAAAGGCCCGTTCCTAGCATTATCTTTCCGGGTGCGAAATAACCTTAGCCACAATACGTCTGGATGGCCTTAATTACGCCACACAAGAATATTTTTCTTCAACGACTCCCTGAAATTTCTAGTAAATGGGATCACACACTTCATAAATTATAGCTAGAGGGTGAATATCTTAGTTGAAGACCTAGGAAGTTCTCAGTTCCTCGATGCAAAAGAAGTCGTTTTTCTGGTCCTGCAGTACTGATTTTTAAATCACTAGTATCATACATCCTGATGTTTTTCCTAGCTTCTGCAAATGTATCCTTCAGCCTTACGGGTGCGACATATCCCTCAGATAAACTATCTATCTACTACCTATCGTAATATAATTTACTCACCATATGTACATCGCCTCCTACTAAGTACTGGCATTCCAGAATACCAAATGTCAGCATATCACCGTGCTTAAGGTCATATCGTACGGTGGGCACCAGTAAAGACTGCAAAAATAATCACGAACCAGCCAGACATCAAATATATTTGAAATAATGTCCGAAATATATGAGCAATTTGCCCAAACTATACCTTCCCTACATTGAAAAGTTACTCTCATTGTTGTCAACAATCTCGATAATTCATTAGAAATTGTACTTATTTTTTTAAGTACCATCAAAACCTTGTGATTCCCCACATTAAAAATTTTGAGTGATTGGAGAATTCCCGAGTAACCGATCGATAAAAATGATTCGTTACTAAATCAAAAATGGAGGACAAAATTCTTCGGACAATTAACACGATCTGCCTTAATTTTCCCCCTTTCCCCCTCTCCCCCTAGCAATGTTGTAGTTTGTACCCCCCTGTACACTTTACCCTGTCCTAAAAGTGTTTCTTCATCCCAAGATTGTTTGGAGGGGGGAGGGCCAGTCGCGGTATCCAAGTGGTTAGAGAAGTGCATATAATTATATTATGCTACATCTGAACATTTGATAAGTTAAGGATGTGGAAGGAAGATTTTCCATAACCGTTCCAAGGATTTTGATCCTCCATTGAAGATCAATTTTTAACAAATCGACTCTAATTTGATTAATTTTCAATCTGTTGAATGAGAGAGAAATTGCAGAAGTGAATGTAAATGGTGAGACTTAAGTATGGCTCAGTAGCAAGCGGAACACTCGCCTCCAACTAACATAGAGCTTAAGTAACAATGACTGCGACGGCTACCAAAACGGCACTTAAAAAGTAAATTCGCGCAAATTCAAACTTTATCGCCATATCGCGCTTATTCCATCTCGTTGAATTCAAAATTTGGCAAATTTTTCAGGATTTGAATTCTTAAAGACTGTTCAAAATTGAGGAAAAGAAAATGAAAGTCGTTCTCTTGTGTTCACGTTCTCCACCAAACGTGAAATTAGGCACTTTCACGTCGTTTTCGTGCAGTGACAGCAAAGAAATGTACGAAAATGGCGTGAAGGCACGTGCAAAGTTTTGCTTTGTTCATTAAACCTATTACTTTTTTGTAGTTCTCTAATAAAAAAAGGGATTTTACGAAACTACGAAGGTGACTGCAAAGGCAACGTCAAAAAGCAATAGGTTTAGTTAGCAAAACAACAACTCTGCAAGTGCATCACGCTTTTTCGTTCATTTCTTTTCGGTCCCTGCACAACTATGACCAAATTTTAAGTTTTTTTTGAGGACGGGAACGGCAAGGCGATTCATTCTACCATCTCTGTCTGAACTCGGCGTGGCCTCCTCTCTTCAGTTCCAACCTAAATTCCCTTCTTTGAAAGGATGCGGAGTCTATTGTTCAGAGACGTTTTTATGGACGTCGCCGTTGTCGGATCGTAAGGTCCCTAATAGTCTACGACAGCGACAACAACGAGAACTTAATAACAGCAAGAGGTTTATTAAGCAAACAACAAGTTTGCTGGTGCATCACGCTTTTTTTTTTGACATTTCTCTGCCGTTGCTGCAAGAATACGACGGGAAATTGCCAAATTTTACGTGTTATGGAGGACGTAAACAAGTGACGACGAAATTTTCTTTCTCTTCCTAAACTTGAGTGCGGTCCCCAAGAAAATGAACGCCAGGGAAATTCGCCTACATTCTACATTTTCAGTGAATTGGAACAAACGCGATAAAGTTTGAAAAACGCTAATTCATTTTAAAAGTGACGTTTTCGCTGCCGTAGCCGTCGTTGATGCTAAAACTCCCTTATACGGATTCGGGCGACGCCTATATGGGTGGAATTTTTGCAGTTGGTTGTTTTTCTTTAACTGACGGGTTTTCCTTCGGCTACTCATGTTTTCCACTCTTCTTAAAAACCAACTCGATCAGGGATCATGACGTAAGACGAAGAATAACGAGGTGGATATGCAACCAATTTGATCACTTAAACATTGTCAGTGAAACATGAAAATATTGCACAATACCTTTCCTTTTTTTGTTCCGTTGGTGCTTTGACAATCGTGAATGAGATGAAGGTTTCTTTCCGCATTCACAGAAATGCAAGCATGCTTCTTTGATAACGTCTTTCAAACACATGTTAATAAAATAAACGTCTTTTAAAATTCACTCTTGGATGGAGCAGTTTTAGACTAATTGTTTCAAAACGGAGAGTATTTTCTCCAATTTTCCTTACTGTCAACACGTATCCGGGTGAAACGGTCACCGAAAACACACAGTTTTTCAAAAGCGTTCTCCAGCGATTACGTCACGGTGTTGGATCCAGCTCAGTTACCAGTGTATGCGTTTTCGTGTGGAAGGGTAAAAACGATTCAAAAACGCAGCGTGTGGACTCCGATTTTTTGGAAAAAAAAGTAAAAAATCTCCGTTTGCGAACAAAAACGGATACGTGTGGATGAAAGTGTCGTAACACCAAATTATAAGTAAAAAAATTTAGCCTAACGCAGTAGTCTCACGCTCCGTACGAACAAATTACATAATTGTTGCGTCCAATTGTACACCATATAACATGCTGTTGCGTGTTGTTAAGAGTTGTTGCGCAAAGTTTGAAACTAACAGCTTCCAACATTCCTTTGGTTCCGAGATCACCGAAACGTAAGGTAACAACGTTGGATCGGTTTGCACAGCCCTTCCAACATTGTTGGGGCCACACAGGCACATTAAACATGGTCTCCTTGAAAACCAATCACGTGTGTCACAGTATTGTCCCTCGATTCTTTTAATTATCACTACTATGGCAAAATGCTCTGCAAGTCCGAACAATGTTGGGAGTAATACGCTATTTCCGATTTCCAAAAACCCCATATTTTCAAAACGAGGCTAAGTACAAAACCTTGGCATCGCACTTGGCCTCGCTTTGAAACAGAGGCTTTGACAAACTCGAAAATGGTCTACTGCATTCGTTTGCACACCACTGCCAACACTATCTTACAACGACCAACATTCTAGGGTCAAAAATGTTGTGACATGTTGCGTCCGTTTGCACGTAGAATCAGACAACGTAATGAACAATTTCCACTAGATGGCAATCCAATGGGCCGGAAAACGCAAGCGAGCAAATCGCAATTTGTTTGTTGTTGTTGTTGTTGTTGTTGTTATGGTTTTGTTTTGTTTCTTTGCTTGTATTTTCTTCGCAGATAATGTCCAAGAGAAAAAGAAAAAGAGAAGCTATCACGCAAATTCCACAAAAAAAAAATATGCTAAATGAAGAAAAACTACTCCATTCAATGCAAGTGGTTAAATAATCACATAGAAAGGAGAGTTGTCCACATTTTATTGAGAAACCATAGTCAAAAGCCTTGTAAACACTAAAGCGAAATTTGAGACCCTCTTTAGATCGCCCGGACAACTAATTGAGAAGTCTACTTCGGCTCGAAAACCTTTGTTATACAAGAAGGCAAAGTCTCACCTCATTTTGGATAGTTATGTTACATGTTTCACTCCTTCCAATAACATTTTCTCCTACCAAAAGGAAGTACAGAAAAGAGTACAAGAAAGTGTAAAAACGATAACTGCAATGTAATACAAAAGTTCATACAAGTAGCGTTTGCCTACGCAGCAAGCGTTTCCGATCGAGATATTGCGCCTAAGTTGGAACGAGAGCCATAGAAGGGGAAGAAGGGGGAGGGGGAGCGGAGAAGAGAAAAATGTTCACTTTTCAATCAACACTACCACAACTCGCCAATCAGAAGCTGCGTTCGTGGGCGAACTGATTTTAAGAACTGTGAGATTTCGGGGAGGGGTTCCTTTTCTCCCCTTCCCCAGTCCTCCTTTATCCCTCTTTTTCGCTCTTGTTCCAACTTTCTTGACGAACCTGTGCTGAAACGTTTGGTACGCAGGCTCAAGACTGATACAAATATTAACATACCTCTAAAAACTGGAAATACTGCTCCATTGAACCCTTGCTGAGAAAAAACTTTCAGGTGTGCAACCTGGGGGAAAGGAGATCAACTAATACAATTAGTCCAGAAAAAAACTAAAGCGGCCATAAAATACGGAATAGACATTTTTAATGGTAAGAAAATTTTGTTGTTTATTTGTGATAAACAAACGACGTTTTCGTGAAAAGTTTTGTAAACAAAGCCTGATTTTTACACATTTTACCAAAACGTGGGGCAAATCGAATGACGCATACTAGTTTGTTTGTACTCAAACAATTAGGGGTTGTTTACGTGGAGGGAGGAAGAAGCTAGATCTTAGTAGCACGAGATCTCAGAAGGCGGATCATCCTAGCGCCATATGTTTATCATTTTATATTTCTTTCAAATTACCTCTTCATTTTCATTTCCTTCTTCGTTCTCCTCTAAATCGTTGATAACTTGGGTTTGTTCAAAATCCATCTAAACTGAAAGCAGCATAACGGATACGTCTGCTAAAAAGAACTGACAAAAAAAAAAACCGGCGCTACTATACAGGCTAGGAGAGGGGGTAAAAAGCATAGTGTGCTAAAATTTTTTTGTCAACATTGCCTAAGGTACAGTGGAGCCCGGTTAAAAAAAAACGGACACTGACATGTTATAAGAATTTGGCTACAATAGCGAGGTAGGGTCATCTTTCTCTTCTCGTTTAACATTGAAGGGGTGCCATTACCTCGTTACCTTTTGTGAATAAAATGGCCACTTAAGAAGTAAACATGCATACCCGGGGGGTAGTCGGCCTATGTTTATTTGGGTATAGGTGAGCCGCTGAGGGTTTGAAACCCTGACCCTGTTTAGGACAAAAGAAAATCCTAAAATACATTCCCGGCTTGGGACAACACCCTCAATTTTATTACCTTGTAAAGGGCAAGGACAAAATGCACACTGTCCTGTTTTTCAGCCATTTATTGGCAATTGCAATAGATTAAATTCACTTTATAGTCATTGCTTTTGTGTAGTGGAGTACAGACAAATTTATTCCTGTTAATAATTAGGAAAAACTTGCGCAAAATTATACACCCTGCTCAAGACAGAGAGGTCAAAAACCATTACCTGTCCAGGGGCACATCCCTGTAAATGCCATATAAGGGACTGACCACCCCCCCCCCCTCCCCATCACATTTCAGACCAATTTCACAGAGCGACTTTCAGATTAGACTGGACTGTAATGGAGATTTATTTTTGTTTGTGTCTTATCTGTACTTTTTCTGAAAAAAAATTGGTTTTGGTGGCCGTATGGGCTTATGATGACTTTTAGGTCTTATGTGCCTGGTAGGAGTAGGTACTGCACTGGAACCTCGTTATTAAGAAGTCCTCGGTATAACGAAGTATTGTCTTCAGCCCGGCCAAAATTACAATAAAATGTATGGAACAGAACCTCGATTCAATGAACTCCTCGTTATAACCGAACACAGTCCAGAAACGCAAAAGTTAAATATACCTCCTTATAACGACTAAATGTCGACATGTGACCGAAAGATAGCTAAAGGTGAATGCGAAACAGACCAACTTTTATGAACATTAGTTTTAACTAGTTTTGTTTACCTGTTCTTGTGTTTCTAGTGCCGTAGCAGTGCCGTAGCCAGACAAAACGGCCAACCGAGGCAGGCGGGAGTTGCTAGGGGGGTTCGGGGGCATGCCCCTCCGAGAAATTTTGAACTTTAGTCTCTCGGAAATGCGATTTGCAGCGTTTTCTGGGCCTTTCGGTAACTTTTTTTCGAGTTAATTTAAGTGGAATTTAAAAAGCAATAATCAGAAACAAGCTACATAATCTGGGTGACCGTTAACCTCGCCAATGGTTTTGATCAGTATTTGTTCAAAAAAAATTTGAGTTAACGTACGTAGCCCCTTGAGATCGATGATATGGTAATTTTTTCATAGTATATTGACTGAATTGCTGAATTCTTTGTAATATCATGATGCGTTAAAAATATCCGATGATCGCTTATGTAAAATAAAAATGATCGGCGAAATTCGTCAAAATTTTACCGAGGAAGGGAGGAATCCTTGTTTTGAAAGGGTTCCGGCGCCGGAGCGATTTTTCCCCCAAAAAACGCATCGCTCCGCTTTCAAACTTCGCAGCATAAAGGTCAAAAGATTCACGATTCTTCTCGTACCTTCCAATCGAAAATCCATCCAAACGGCCCGGAGCTAGTCCTCGCTCCGGCGCCGGAACCCTTTCAAAACAAGGATTCCTCCCTTGTCCTTCTTATATATGGAACAGTCAACGGCGAACTCAAACTCCTTCAAAATCGCTCAAAAAACCGCTTTTGAGGCAAAAGGACGACTATACACCACAGGTAAGGTAATTCAACGTTTATTTATCATTGATTTAGATACATAGTTAGCGATATATCGCTATAGGTGAAGCAAACGGTAAATCCAGTACATTTACTATAAAATAACAATCGGCTACACAAACAGATTGTGTGGGCCCCCTGTGCTCATACTAGCTACGGCGCTGCGTAGCTATGTACAACTCTGAACTGAGACAATAAATTCGTTTTCAAATGTCTAAAACAGAAATTGGTCAGATCCGAAAATGCTGGACGTTGGAAATTAATTATCAACTATACCTTGATATAACGAACATTTTGCCTGTTTTCCCGAAAATTCGTTAAATCGAGGTTTTCGATACTAACGAACCCTCGATATAACGACCAAATTTCCCCAGTCCCTTGGCACTTCGTCAAATCGAGGTTTCACGGTGGTTCATGCGTGACGTGTTCGTGACGTCTGCTTGCGACAAGACAGTCTGGCTCACTCTGTGCATAATGCAGTTCCCTTACAAACAACATAATCTACTAAAATCTCAACAAAGTTTCACCACTTATTTCATTTTCTGTAATTTAATTTGTTATATTTCAGTTAGATCACAAAGCAAAATGTGAGAAGTTGATTCCCACCGATAGGTAAAGCGACGTGGAAATGCATTTCAAATCGTAAATGGTTTGACCTTGAAGTTCCTCGTGGACGCACTATCCGCCGAAGGATACCCTCTTCCATCGCATTAGCTTCACCTACTTTTTTTTTTTTTCAAAGACTCCAAATTCGAAGTATTTATATAGTATATAACTTATTGAAAAACATTTGCGATGGTACAGACTTAAAGTACCAAGTTGTTTGGAGCGTGACGTGAGCATGAGAGCTGTGCAATGAATAACTAGGCTTTGTGCTTGGAGTTTATATTTTTGAATGAACGTAGCAGATCATGACATGTCTTGACAAAAAGAATGCGGCCTTCTGTCTTATTAGAATGATTTAAGAGATTGTTACAGATGATCAGTGTCACGCAATAAAGCACTAAATACACGAAAAGCAAACTACAACATAATAATAAGCTTTATAAATAGAGCTTTTCTATGATACACAGTCTGCAAAAGCGAAAGTGAATAAGAGGAAGTGAACGGAGATTTATATTCCAGACATAACACGCAAATTAAAATATAAAGCTTCAAAGTTTACAAAGAATTGCGGCATACCTTTTTAACCTCGTCATTCAATGTGATATGCAGGACGACACTACAGGTTGTTGAACATAGACTAGAAGAGTTTGGCGTTGTTCTCGAAGCAATGGAATGAGGTCGAAAACAAACGCACATTCAAGGTTCAGTTGCCCGTGAGGGGCTTGGGCTCAAGCGCGAGGTGGAAAAAATAATATTGGTGATGCATGTAATCGTCTCAATAACAACAACAAGCTTTATTTGCAGGACGACGAATGATGTTTTGAGAATTTTGTAATTATGTTTTGAGAATAAGAGCTAAAATTTAATCACCAGACAATCAAGCTACTTTGTTAATAATTGGTCGCAAAAGTCAAAGCAAACTGCAGAATATATTGATATAGTATTTAGATGTCTTCATCAGTTCATTGATTACAACGTTGACAGGTATTAAGCTGGCTAATTTGGAACCAGTATACCAGAATATTTTCACTGCGAATTTTTAAGGTAGACTATGAATCTAAATTCATTCCGGGCTGCATTTGCTTTGACTGACTATGCTATCATCCCGCGTTTGTATTTTACATTAGCGGCAAGCTGCCCAGTTGATGGTCTGATCCATCCAGAGCCCAGCACTCAAGAGCCCTGTATCTCATAAGTACCTTTCTCCTCCGCAGAGGTTCCCGCTGGATATCTCTATGAAAATAGCAATAATCGAAAAAATAGAAAGCGCACGCCGGACGATGGGAAGAAGGAAAAATGCGCCTCTCTTCTCTCTTCCCGTCGTGCCCCGCGCCCTCTCTTTTTCTTTATCCCCAGCCTCCCCACAACACAAAGAGGCCTCTGCCGAGGAGAGAGTCTCAGTACCGCTCACAGATTCATCCTTCGCACCTAGTGACCAACATCAATTTTCTCCTATCAATGTCAATAGAGAAACAGGGTGGCAAAGGAGTTTTCCGTGACGCGTGATGGGACCCAAATTATCAGCATGATGCTTGATCGGACCCCAATTTGTAGCGTGATGCGTGATCTAAGGATTAAATTAGCTGCAAAAACCGTGGACGAAGATCCTGCTAGTTGTAAACGTTGGACTATTTTCACAACGCGTGACGCGTTGATTTTCCTTTGAAATTTCCGTGATAAATATCATCAAGAGCCTTTATGGCTCTTGATATCATTTGAAACAAGAAGCAGAGACATTAAAAAAAGATAGTTATGACACCAACTTCTTGCCCTTTTTTCTCGTTCCTCGACCTCTGATTTCCTCAGATCAAATGATAATAGGATACTTGTTAATGAAGTAAATATTTTATTTTATTTTTCCGTGGTGCGTGATAGCTTAACAAAATTGGCGTTATGCGTGATCGGGTACCCCCTTTGCCACCATGGAGAAAAGGTTATGAAGATTAATGAAATGATCGCAAGAGAGAACATCATGTTATCAAATTTTCCCGACTAATATGGAGCTAGATCAGTTTGAAAAATGTGTATGGCGCTTTGAGTCTGGAGTCATCAGAATCTACAGAAAGAAGCCATTCAAGTACTGACGAACAGGGTAAATTTTCGCGGGCTTTCGCAAACACAGTCAATTCTTTTCGGGAGATTTATTCGCCCTGTATAAGTGAATCCAAGACAGTCTTGGATTCTGGATTCCACGGCGTGATTCCAGATTCTAGGTACTGGATTCTAGTTTTTGCCAGTGGAACTTGATTCTGGATTCGTTAATGGGATCCCGGATTCCTTGAGCTGTGTTATGGATTCCAGAGCCTAGGATTCCGGATTCCACCAGCAAAATTTCCCGGATTCCATTTATAATCGTGGGGCTAGACCTCACCCACTACAATTTGGTCAGGGTTCTTAGTGTTCTGTTCAATCTCTTGCCTCAGGAATCAGTTTAATGTGTTTCTACGCGTTTTTCAAATATCAAGCCTTCCTTGCTAAGACCTGCCTGGCAGGCGGTCGAGACTTTGGTAGTCTCCTACACATTGTCCCGTCGCATAACCCCCCTCCTTCCTTTGTCAGGAGGTGCTTTGCGTGATCATACACAAAAAATGGCTCTCTCTCCTACGCAGAGGCTAAAAATAGGAAAGAGAGAAAAGGCGATCGTCTCCCACGCGTTTTCATTTTCCCCTCTCTCCAGCCTCCCTTCAACACAAAAAGGGCTTCGGCTGCGAAAAACGGACTCCCATCGGGTTCTCGTGCGTTCTCTCACACCTCAACTGTAGACCAGAGGCCTTTCTTGTGGCGCGCGGCGAGAGGGATGAAAAACGAGCTCCCCAAAAAACGCCTGCGTGGGAGGCTACTTCGGGCTAAGCACACGGGAGAAATTGCTGGCTCTCAGGGCATGGGGCGATTCCTTTAATTTCCATGGTTTGGATGCCTAGGTTTATACGCAGCCGTTTATCCGGGCGTTTATTAGGGAGTTTAAGATACGGCGACTACGGACTACGGCTACGGATAAATATGCTACTGCGCAAGTTCAAAACCACGTGACTGTTCATTTTTCCCGCGTAGTCCTGCGGCTACGGTGAGTTGTTGAGCTGTTTCGCGTAGTCGGGACTACGGAGAACATTTTGCTCGTATTTTGCCGTCTCGGTAATTCAAGAATCTCGTCTTTTCGTTAAAAAAGTTTTCAATTCACCTGCCTTAAGTGAGAGGGAAGCGAAGTATGTAAGTTGTGTCTAATATCTGCTCAGATTTACGCTTTTAATCCACTGTTGTGACTACATTTAAGCTTAGCTGTTTATACGCAGAATTCAGATTGACGGCCTAGGAGAACAGAAATCATGCAGGTAATTTACTTTCTCTTCGCACTTGAAAAGTTTCAATGTTTGTTCGAACTGATTAGTGAGTCTTTGTACTTGTGTAACCTTTATTTATGCGAGTTTTTGTATCGCGCCATTTGCTGAATGAAAATGATGTAAACATGCTCGAGACAATCGAAACTCGGCATTTAAGTACTTCAAACTACATCAGATCAGTAGTCGGAGAAGTCCATCTTCTAAATCTAATAAATGAGCTATTACCATTTCTGTCTATATCTTTAATATTTGACATAAGTATTCATGGGCGAAAAAATAAAACCTGTGTAACCAAAACTTTGTTTACAATTTCACCCGACGTAATTGCTTCCTTCAAGTATGGAAGAATTTGTTCATTGTTCTTAAGATAAGATCACATGCAAAACTGACTTGCATTTTTGTGAACTGTGATGAAAACAAGAAAATCTTTGCGTGTTGTTTCCCTCTCCGCCTCTTCTGTCGTAGTCTACTGTCTGTAGTGCAATCTTAACGTTCTATATTTGCACGACTCAACCCAGTGCTACGAACAAAGGACAACGCTCGTCCAGCCGTAGTTCGTAGTCTCCGTATCTTAAACTCCCTAGCGCGCAACGCTTCACTCCTTCGGATAGCCTGCGAGCAAGCTCTCCTATTTGGGCAAGCGAAGCGAGCCTCGCGAGAACGCGCGAGCGACTATCCTTCGGTAGGAGAGTTGCATGACGTGACAATAGAGATTTTAGACGGAAGGCTCAAGTTGAGAATTTCTCAACTGAATTAGAAAATAAACAAATAAAAACAATATAAAACAATTCTTATGAATGAAAACAACGTGAATCTACTTATTTTTTTCGAAAAGTAAAGACACGTTAAAGACCAGTAACGTTACGTAACTTTAAATGATCTCCCTAGACCGAGCAACTTTATGATAAGGCGCATTTACTCAAGTATATACCTATCAAACACTTGCCTGCTATGGAGGCAACTATTAAGTTCACGAACACTGATATTTTTTCTTTTTCTTCGATTAATGATTATTATTCTTTGATTTAAACTTAAGAATAATGAGGCTTAATTTTTTTGTTAAGCACGCCCGGCTAAGTTGTTGATGCATGATCGGGCAACTAGACAACTGACTCATGTTGCATTGATTAATATCACGAGGGAGTCACATAACGCAATTCTATCATCTCCTTAAATCTGCTACATTTAGCAACTTGCCTCGGCACCTTACAAGATCGTTCCCTATTAATTTAACCTGAAAGAATCAACAACTTTCTCCGACTCTCTCGGATAGTTTTGTTGAAATGGCAAATAACAAGAAAGAAAGAATTGGAAGACCTATTCTTGCTTGCCTCATAGCAGCATTGGGGTCGGTGTGCTTCGGGTATTGTTTAGGCTACTCATCAGCGGCGCTTGTAGATCTAAAGAGCGCCAAGGCAAATTCTGCAATACGCTTATCCGATTCACAAGGATCCTGGTTTTCAGTGAGTATTTTTTGTTGTTGGTGTTTTTCAACTCCGCACTTTTTTTTCTTCTTACAATCCTAAGTAAGGGTATAATTTATGGAATACCAGTACAGCCTGATGCATAATGTTAATTTTCAAACACAAGAAAAACCCCAACCAGGGTACTCCAATTTGTGAAATACGCGAGATGACAGTAACCTTGTTAAGGAATGTGGGCTTAAAATGCTCAAGAAAAACGCCAATATTTTCACCTGTACAGGTTGTCGTCTGGCGATGTGCGAACGAGAAAAAGAAAACATTTAAGAACCGGGGGTACCCCCTACAATGGTCTGTACGGCCAAGGAGGAGGGGTACCTTCATATGAAATGGTAGGGAAATCTGTCATTTCGCTAAGTCAAAAGTAGCAGAAGGGATGGATTTTAAGACTGTGAAAAAGCCGTGAAAAACGTTCTAGTTTTGTGATTTAAGAAGTTAAAAGGGATGCAAAGTTAGCGAATGTGAAAGGGGAATCATTTTGTCAAAAGAAGGTACACGAAAGGGGTACCTTTTCGCACCAAGATGGTATATAAATGGGTAAGAGGTTGGACCTCGGGGCGGAGCAACCCCGTAAAAAACTATGATGTGTACTCACCGGGATAAAAATGAAAAAAAGGGTAAACAGAACATAGACAACGTTTCTATGGCAATCAATCTGTCTGTTTGTCTGTCGGGCGTATCTTTCAGGGGTCAAATAAGGCATGAGATATGTTCAAATTGGTTTCATTTAGCGACGAGCATCCCTCCCGTTTCAGATGCGATTCATCCCCGCCTCCCCCGGTTCCAAAAAAAACTCAATCTTTTTCTAACATTGTCTCGACCAGCAAATCCATAAGCAAAATCCACCAGCCCCTACCGACAAGGCAAAATTTGTCTAGTTTCTCCTAGCAAGTATTTAATATCGACGGTAGGGTTGCTGAGTCTTGCATCACTATGTTTTCAGTCTTTGAGCAGGTGAAAGTGATGACCCTAGAAATAACCTCTCTCCGTCCCACTGTACTCCGTCGGTTGCAGAATTTGCCGCACAGCTTTCACATGCTGGTCTGTCCTACGTCCATGCACTACCTTACATGATTTTATTAGCTTCAAAACATCCCCTCATTCTAGTAGAAAGAAATTTTCGAAAACTAAACTCAGATCTTTATCTTTTTTAATAAAAGGTACTGCGCCGTCGTTGAGCTATATCACATGACGTTTCTCTAATTCTTTTTTGCTTTAAATCTAAATTTTGCAAAATCATTCTGCATTTAGCTACTAAGTCATCTTAAACTACTTTACTTATACGTTTTAATTTCCCCTCATGAAGGTCATGTGAAAATTTCGTCTTACTCATGTGTTTATGACATGTTATTTATGGAAAGACAAAGGGCAAATTCCTCATATGACATATATTGTGAAAACAAAACATACAAGCTTAAGAAGTCCATCCCCTTCTGTAACACTTTACTCAGTGAAATGAAATTTCCCGAAATGTATCATAGCTGCGATAAAAACGAAAACAATATATCTGTACTAGTCTTGCCAAGATGCATTCCATTTTTAAGGCGTTCTGGAGTCAAAATTAAATGACAATTTTTCAGTTCAAATTCCGAAACAAGTCCTTTTTGTTTACTTTTACGTTCTGGTATTATAGCGTTATTAGACATGCTTATTTGCAGCCTGTTGGCCAGGCGTTCAGACTTTGCGCTGCGCATAGCGAACAAGCTGGCTTATTTGCAAAGGAAATGTATTTTGAGAAAACTAACTAAAAAAAAAAGTACCTCGTCTTGGTCGAAAATCAACCAGGTGTCTACCTAGTCTCCCTCGCAGCCGCTTTCGTCTCGTCACGTAACGCACCTCCCCAAAAAAGGAAGAGCGTTGCGTGACGAGACAAAAACGGCAGCCAGGGAGACTAGCGTTTATCGCGTTATCAAAGGAACGTTTTCTATTCTAGGTGCTCTCAATAGGAGGGTCCTCCATGAAGAAAATTTCTTTGCGAAAACTTTTTTTCGTCCAAAAAAAAAACAACAACAACAGGGGCGTAGCTGTACGCCAGTTCACACGTGCGTACCTGAAATAATTCCGAAAATGAAAAATAGTAATCATAAATAGAAAAAGTAAAGCAAAAGAACAGAAGATACATCTACTTTTAACTAGCCAAACAATCAACTGTCATGTAGAACACCTACATTTCCGTTTTGAGGTATTTTCACTACAAACAACACTCCTCAATTGTTAATTGACGGTTTCAATAGTGTCCGTTGTCCGTCTTGGAGAGGCGTCCGTCTTATGGAGAGTATAGTTACAGTAAAATGATTGAAAAACTACAGGGACAAACACCAGGTCTTCGTCTTTTTAATAGAGGTGTCCGTTAAAAATGTTTACCGTACAAAGGTTTAACATTCACATTCGTATGAAGTTCACTTAGCGTCCAAACAATAGGCACAGAGTGCCAACCTAACAACCTTGTTGCCAATCTCATTTTCTTTGTAGTCCCTGGTTACACTTGGTGCCATATTTGGAGGTCCTGTAGGGGGGTGGTCAATTGACCAATTTGGTCGCAAGGGGACAATACTACTCTGCGCAGTCCCCTTTGAGCTTGGATGGCTTCTTATTGGCTTGGCAAAGAATCGCGCTATGTTGTACGCTGGTCGCATTATCACAGGCTTGGCGCTAGGAGTGATCTCACTTGCTGTTCCGGTAAGATACTAGGCAGCTTTAGCATCGACGACGGCGACGGCAGCGAAGAAGTCACTTTTAAAATGAATTCGCGTTTTTTCAAACTGCATCACGCTTAGCTTATTCCAATTCACTGAAAATGTCAAATGTAGGCGAATTTCCGTGGAGTAGATTTCTTAGGGACTACACTCAAGTTTTGAAAGAGAAAGAAAAATTCGTTTTCGCTTGTTTACGTCCTCCATAAAACGTGAAATTAGGCATTTTCAAGCCGTAGTCGTGCAGTGACGGCAGAGAAATTTACAAAAAAGCGTGCTGCACGTGCAAAGTTGTTGTTTTGCTAATCAAACCTATTTCTTTTGTGGCGCTCTCGCTGCCGTCGCCGTCATCGTTGCTAAAGCTCCTACTAATCTGTACGAAGCGGGTAATAACCTACGTTCGATAAATTAAAATTCTAACATGACTCCGAGGCTTTCTGGTCATTTTTTCTATATTTGGTTTTGTTTTCTTTGTGCTCAAGCCTCTTCTGGGAATTGCGACACAATGGAGTCGTTAAAAGTTTACAATTTTGTCCCTGAAGCCTTGGAGTCATGATAGAATTTTAATATATCGAACGTGGGCTATTAAAAGAAGGGCTGAAAAAAATTGTGAGATGGGTGAGGGGCTGGCTTAGTCTTTAAAGATCTTTATTAGTGATGGGCTTTTGCGAGGGTCTCAACAACCCCAAAATGTAACCGCATATTTTTAACTCTAAAAAAAGTCCTAGAATCACATACCTTCGTACCTTCCCGGAATTTAGATTGCTAAACAGTCCGTACGTATCATAAAGACTTTTGTTCTTGGGCCATCGTAGCTTAATCAAAAAATACGACACAAACAGAGGTGACATGAAACATTGGTCAAAGCCACTGGATATAACATCAAGTGGGATCGTTTTGACATTTTAGCCTCGGGCAAATCCGATTCAATGAAAAGCTGATACATTCTTAGCTGTTGCCTTAAATAATATTACTGTTAACAATTTTGAATCCGAGTCTTAATCTCATTTCCAGACCCCTCGTCAATAATGTGTAAATAGTCTCGTCATAATCTGTAACGGTCACTTTAGATCACTTTTGAAAATGTATGCTAACCGGAATATTAAACGTCAGGTTCATATAAAAATGCAGAAGTTAACAATTGTTCACTGTGTTTTATTTTTATTCAACACTCCGTATTTTTGCGTGGGTGAAAAACGCACAAAAGGTGTCGAGCGAGGGTGAAAACAGAGACAGAGTGAGACTGGCAAGAGAGTAAACCGACTGTTTCGCAGTCTACCAGTAATTATTTAAACTACGAATCCTTTTGGGAGCAAAAAATTAAAGAATAACCATACTAACTTCCTTCTTGATTCGTAGGTGTATATTGCCGAGATTTCGCCCCCACGACTTCGTGGGATGCTGGGTTCTGTAAACCAATTAGCAGTAACAATGGGCATTTTATTGGCCACTGTTTTCGGTGTCTTTTGTAATTGGAAGTGGCTTGCTCTCGCTGGTGGCCTGTTTCCAGCTCTGCTCGTGATCTTTATGGTTAAAATGCCAGAGACTCCACGTTGGTGTTTTGGGAAGAACCAACGAACTGAAGCTGTAAGATATATCCATTGGCTACGAGGCTCTGACGTCGACATCGAGGAGGAATGCAAGGCCATTGAGTCTAGTCTGGGTAAGAATTATACTTTTTGTCACTGAGCAACTGACTCATTCCCAACCGTATCTCGCTCTCCTATTAATCAGTGTTAACGAGAAAAGCGCGGTAACCTTTCCATCGTCCAATTCACCCAGTTGCCGTATTAGTCTCCCGCGGCCACTCTGTGACCGATTACAAATAACAAGAGACGACTAAGGACGAGTCAGACTTTGCAAATGGTTTCGTAGACTCCCACGCGTAGGTTTTTTAGCGCGTCACGTGTTGCGTTGATCATCATCTGATGAAAGGCCTAAAGAGCGTTTAGGCGGGAACCTAACGGTTTCCGCTCTTTCATTTGCAGCCGGTGGATCCAGAAAATTCAGAAAGAGGGGACACTTGCTATTGAATATGGATACTATTTATTTCACTGGGAATTTCTTAAAAGTAATAGTGGAAATAGGTGTATCGCAGAACTTCGCGAAGTTCCGGGGGAAGGCCCATAAAATCTCAGGGATGGATGGGGAAGAGAATTGGAGTAACGTACCCTTTCGATCCCACCCTTAAAAGAAAAAGCTAAAAAAAGGAAAAAAAATACCTAAATTTGTTTCCTCTTATTTGCAGAATCTTACGAGAAACCTTCAATTCGTGAATGGTTATCGCCTAATTTAGCAAAGCCCCTAATCATCAGCATTGGATTAATGTTCTTCCAACAGTTCTGTGGAATCAACGCAGTTCTTTTCAATGCTGCAAGTATCTTTGCGGTGGCAGGTTTTAAAGACGGTAAACTCGTTAGTATTTCAGTTGGCTTGGTCCAGTTCGTCGGCACCGCTTTAGCGTGCTTGATCATGGACAGGGCGGGAAGGCGAATCCTTTTATTAGTAATGGCAGTAGGTATGGTAGTCACTCTCACGGGTCTTGGTTTATACTTCGAAATCTACATACCGCCGCATGGAGATAAAGCGTCTTCAGTCGCGCTGGGGTCTATAAGTCATTCTGTAGCAGCATCCAAGATCAGCTGGCTGTCCATTTTGTGTATAATTGTATTCTTCCTCTGTTTTTCCTTGGCTTGGGGTCCAGTTCCATGGCTCGTCACCTCCGAAATCTTCCCCCTTCGAGCACGTGGTCCCGCCTGCAGCGTAGCAGCCATAGCCAACTGGCTCTTTGCTTTTATTGTAACTTACTTCTTCGAAAACATGCAGGAATCTCTCACAATTCAAGGAACTTACTGGTTTTTCGGCGGATGCTCGTTTCTGGCGTTTCTTTTTGTTTATCTTCTTATGCCGGAAACAAAAGGGAAGTCGTTGGAGGAGATAGAAGCTTTGTTTGGCATAGACAAGAGTTCCTACGACGTGATTGATTAGAGGAAGTGTTGATTCTGACAAGACCCTGACTTGTGTACACATTTTGCTCTTTCTTGGGACAAATGGGATCGATAAAACAATAAATTCAGAAAACTATCGAATTACAGGTAGAACCATGGAAAAGTTACAGTAAAAAAAAGTTGCACATGAACTTTTTGATTTGAACTTTTCCGGATTCATTAAGGTTTCCACATTTATTACATTTAGGGTATTCCGATTCGTAGACGTTAACACGCATCATTTAATCCGAGAACATCCATTAGGATACATACTATTAACTATAGATTGCGGACTCAAAATCTTCGGGCACGGGACCAAACCGCCGTGAATTACCGCGGGACGGTTTCACTTGGGATTCACGAATCTGCTTGTAAATGCAAAACGAATTTGGTACCAAAATGTTCCAGATTCGTGACGAATCCGGAAAATCCCCTCTTGTGTAAACTTAGCCTTAATATTATGATTTTTTAGAAAGCACGCGAAATTGCTGTGTACATTCGTTCAAGGACAGATACATTTAGGTACTGGCCGGGAAAATGAAGTTTGGATCGGCCGGGATTTAAACCTATAGAATGCTGGCTGTAGAATGAAAGTATTTGTTTTTGGAGATTCGAATTTAAACAATACTTTTTACAACCACTTTTTAATACTTTTATCATGTTTATGGTTTATAATCCACCATTATTTTTTACATTTCTCGATCAAAAATGAAATACCCCTTAACCGGGTTTAAATACTGAATTGCAAGAGTTTTGATACTCCCAATAACATGTATTCAATTATTTTTTACAAATCATCAAGGATGCAACATTAGCATTTTTAAGACATCCACAAAGAAAGTATCTTATGCCTAATTGAACTAAATTCAGTTGTTAAGAAATCGCTATTAGTTCGAAGATATTTTTATTTAGTAAAATCCAACTTTTGGTCTATTATCAATGCTGCGTTCAGATTGGTTGAGCCACTACTACGCTATATGTTATGGCCCACTAGCAGCGAAAAGCTCCGGCTTTGAAAACCAAAACAATGACAGCTGAATCGCGTTTTTCTAACTAAAGTTGTTTTATCTCGATATTTCTGAGTTTGAGAAACTACGTAGTTGGATTTTACTAAAACAATTATTTCTCTCACCCTCAAGGCCTCTGAGTCAATAGCCTATGAAGGCCTCATAGGCTATTGACTCCGAGGAATAATTGTTAAATAGCCATTCCTCTGACATAGAAGTAAATTTTATCGTTAATTCTTACGTCTAAAGTACATTGTGCTTTATAGCTTTAACGTGTATGCAGGACGCCTCTGGAAATCAGCCTTGTAGCTGATTGGGCTAACTAAAAATAAACCTCACCTTTACTTTAAATGCCTACAGAGAATAAATGAAAAGCAATCCAGAGGTGAAGCCACTATTTCTACAGGGCCAGTATACACCTCACCTCTTCTGATTGGTTGAAGCAAATTTTCCACCAATCAAAAGCACTACTAAGGTCAGGGTAGTCACACGTCATCAGTATGGAATTTGTGCGCTCATCCCTCAGACGTCATTTCGCGGGGAAACCGTTGGTGCCGTCGCAAAATGTCGGCTGTTTTCTCAGGCTATGAGGTTCCACCGGTTATAAAAAGGATCTTAGAAAGTAGCACCTGGAACAGAAAACAAACTTTAGAGGAATTAATTAGACTGTGCATGAGGGGAAATTTCCCAAGGGATTTACACAAAATACCGTAAAATTCCGAAAATAAGCCCCTCCAAATATAAGCCCCCCAAACTCGTAACGCAAAAAACCCTCCGTTAAATCGCCCCTCCAAATATAAGCCCCCCGGGGGGCTTGTACTTGGAAATTGCCCTCAAATACAAAGTAAAACAAGGGAAAAACGGTAAATTTCCTTCTATTTATAAGGCTAGCCCAATCGATTTTGAAACGCAAATTTCCCTCCGTAGATAAGACCCTCCGAATATAAGCCCCTCCAAAAATAAGCCCCTCAAAAAGGGCCTTTGAAAAATATAAGCCCCGGGGCTTATTTTCGGAATTTTACGGTATGTAGAGGCTCTATCTGTTATAAAATGACCTATAAAAGCAGGCACACAATATAACCCGCCAAACAAAATGTACATGAATTAAAGGAGCAGAGTCACAAAGATTTAGAGCTACCTCAAATCTGATAAAAGCGTTAACATTCTCGAACATAAAAGCTGCTAAAATTTGTCTTAAGTCGCTGAAGAGCGCTTGAAACGTCAAACCTTTCCCGGTTCCTGTGCGACGTCTTTTCAGGCCTTCTCTGTCAATTTTAACCTTTGGTGGTGTATCCGAGACGGATACATGACTCCAAACGCCAAGACCGCGGGGATTATTAGGCCTGGGCACTAGGCAACGACGGACCGAGTTTTTCAAGTTGGACAATTACTCAAAAAATAATTGATTTTTGTTCGCCTTCTCCTTTGAGTCTGGATTTAGTTCTCTTTGATTTCTCTTTGGTTTTTCCAGATCATTTTGCGCGTCCCCTAGTGTGCTTTATGTGTTAAGATAAGTTTACACGAAATCTTCGGAGAATTCTCCCGAGACTTCTCTAACTTCCTCTTAAGAAGTCATAACAGGACAAGTAATTTTAAAAATTATCTGTTAGACCCTGTTCGCCCTACGACGAAAAATAGACTTCGGCGTTTGCCAAAAAAATTGAAAATTTTGTAATCACCAATTTTTCGTTTTTGCATTCTTTTTCGCAACTGAGACATGCGAAATTATTCGTATAACCAGAAACTTAAATTAAAGGAACTTTGATTGGTCATGTTCGCGAGATAAGATGACGCGACGAAGGATGGCTGTCAACGAACAAAGGAGTTTGTCACGTGACAAAACATTATCGGCCTTCAAATATTCTCCATGGCATCTTTGAAGTTTGGTGACACTTGAGAATATTTTGGTAGGTGAAAAAATCGTTCGCACAATTAATGGCTTCCTGTTAGAAGAAATTATTGCAAAACAAACAAAATTTTGCGTAGTGCAAACAGGGCCTTTTTAAGCTGCTCGACTAGAATCCACCAATACCTCAGTCACAGACACCAGGATGGGTATTAGCTCAATAACTCACGCGTCAATATTTTTAAAAAATGATCTACACTCTCTCGGCTCATGCAATCTGTGCGCTACTTCGGTCTTAAATCACGTAACCCATAACAACTTCACTTTTTGTGGTTGTCCTGTTGCCTGACGAGAAGTAGTCTGGTCGTTGTGACTGATTTTTCAGCTATTAATTATGTTACAGGGACATGCTGTACGACCGTTCATCCGAACGTTGTAAGCCACAGCTAGAGCACAAATGCACCCCCAAAATGTTTGATGCAAAAGTTGTATGAAGGAGAAGACTTGTACAGTAGAACCTCGATAAAACGAAGGGCCAAGGGACTGGCAAAATGGGTTCACTAAAACGAGGTTTCATTATATCGAGGTTCTTTTCCATATATTTCACTATTACTGGGGTAAAGAAAATCGTTCGTTATACCGAAGACTTCGTTATATCGAGGTTCTACTGTACCTGAAACACACCCAAGGGGTCATGTCCGTTTAACATAGCCCTCGTCATTTTCAACTTGACGACCATTTCGACATCACAAGTGCTATGACTTAATAACTAAAAAACCTTCAGTTCTTTAAGATCCGATGAAAGACTAATACCCTTGTGTGATGGGCTAGATCTTTCCTGTAGACACTTTTCCACTTCTTTGTGTCCAAACAGTTGAGCACATGTACTCGGTGTACGCCCTTCCTTGTCTTCTGCAAACAAATCTGCTCCCTTTTCCATCAACAGACGCGCTACGTCAAGATGACCAGAGCCTGCAGACACGTGCAGCGGTGTCTCTCCATTATCATCACGCGCGTTGACGTCACTTCCTGCATCAATTAACACTGGAATACATTTTATCCTACCGAGTGCAGCAGCCGTGTGAAGCGGAATACTGCCTTCTGAATCCCTTGAACCAACCCTTGCACCATGCTCAAGAAACAGTTTAACTACCTCTGCATCACTGAAGGCTGAAGCAAGGTGCAGTGGAGTACTCCCTTCTTCATCCCTGGCTTCAATGTTTGCTCCATTCTGAAGAAGTAAACAAGCTGTGGATTTGTGATCGAAGACAGCGCAGATGTGAAGTGGAGTGCAACCTTTGTAGTCCTTAGCTTCGAGAATACTACAAATTAAAGTCGAAAGATTTAAAAAATCGCAAAGCAAATTTTGTTAATTAGCTATATTCGAATCCCCCATAATACACTGTGTTCCCTACAAATTTTTCATACGTTATTGTTTTTTAACGACCTCCCAGGAGCATTTGACGACAATAGTTTATGCGACATTTTGGGGGCAAACTGAGTGTGCTATGGGACATTCGAAAATAGAGATGAGGAATTATGAGTTGCAATTCGTACACTTACACCTCCCCACAACGATAAGACTTGAGGACAGCGATAAGTAGCCATTGTACAACTAAGAAGTGAGTGTTGCTGGGAGGTCAGTACAACAGCGAACGCATCTGACGCGACAAAAAAGTGGTCATTATGTATCGGTCAAATCGAAGCTTCAACATCACCCCGGGCAACCCCCATCACATACATTTTAGGTGATCAAGTGCTTGCATCCCGGCGAAATTTAAACCATATTTCTCTCCTATGTGGTGGCTTTCTAATGCCCTTGAACCAGAGTCTGCAGACAGGTTGCAATAGATAGCATCGTGCAAAGTATAAATGTCACATGAAATTGAGTCTATGGTTCAAATTCCCCATCCCCCGGAAGACCCTGATCATGAAATCCTCTTCCCCGCGACGGCAAAGGTGTCAAATGCTTCGGGTATACCTGGGGGGATGTTGAAGCTTCGATTTTTCACATTATTTGTGAATTACTGTTCACAAACCAGTAATAATACATGAATAGAAAGCAAAGGAAATCACTACCGTGATGGTCAGCTGCTTTGGATATCACTTCTTAATTACCATAAACATTTTGGGAACTTAGTAGCTTTGTCTTTCTCCAAGAATAGTTGTTCATCTGAGAAGTTATCTCAGACAATCTACTCACTTAAATGAAGGATGATAATTGCAGTTATATACGCAACTTTTGCAGCTGCGAAAAGAAAGCCTGAAAAAAATTCGGGCTTGTACAGGATTCGAACTCTTGACCTCTGCGATACCGGTGCAGCGCTCTTTCGCAGAAGTCAAGAGTTCGAATCCCGTACAAGCCTGAGTGTTTTTCAGGCTTTCTTTTCGCAACTGTAAAAGTTGCGTTTATAACTGCGATGATCATCCTTCATTTAATTCTTCACTCCGCAGTTCACATATATGATTTTCATATATTCAAAACTTAATCTACTCACTGTTTCATGCCATACCCATTAGCCTTTAGGATAGGTTAGAAAACTCTTTTTTCAACCACGTTATCGGTGTCCGGTGTCTACAAGGGCCACTTTTTTACTCTAGGGAAGTACACCCACTCTTGATTTTTAGAGGCTAAAGGCCACCCCCTGTATAATAGCCAACTACCACTGTTTCCAAAATGTCAGCTAAGGAGAGAGAAGACTTTGCCTTCAAAGTACCGACAAAAGCCCGTCTCGACCACCATCACGAACTTTTTGCAATTTTTGTTTTGGGAACAAGATTAGAAAAAACCTGCAATCTTACCTTCCGTGATTAACCAACAATGAAACGGTTTCTTTTCCTCCTGAACAGCAGCCAACGTGAAGAGGGGTAGCTCCTTTATAATCCACAGCTCCACAATCGCCACCATTCTTCAACAACAGTTCTACCAGCCACTCGTCATTTCCAAGTAAGGCAATATGAAGGGGAGTGCATCCGAGCTCATCGACAGCATTAACGTCTAGCCCTTGACGAATCATCCTCTCTAAAAGACGATTATCGCCATAATATCTGAACATGTGAAGGCATGTTTTACCCTGAAAGTTGGTAGCAAGGGCGTCGCTTCCATTCTTAATGAGAAACTCCGCAATGTTACTGTTGCCACGCGAAACAGCTACGTGAAAAGGTGTATTCCCTTGTTCATCTTGGCAACAGACATCAGCACCTGCCTTGATCAAGAGCCGCGGCGAGTCTGGTAGGTACGCGCCGTAAGCAGCTTCGTGAAGGGGACTACATCCACGTTTATTGACCGCATTGACATCTCCTCCCTTTTTCACAATTTCCTTAAGAACACTGGGCTGACAGACAGCAAAGTGAAGGGCCGTGTTCCCTTCGTTATCTGCTACATGCACCGAACTTCCACGTCTTAGCAAAATCTCACAAGCTGTTTTGTTAGGATTCCTTTTAAGACTAACTAAGAATGGCGTCCGACCTTTCTTGTTCAAGGCAGACAAATCCGCTCCTCGATCAATCAGTCGTTCTATTACTTCTGAAGCTCCATATGCCGCTGCCCGGTGCAAAGGAGTGTCCCCATTTTTGTCTTTTGCGTCAACCTCAATGCCTTGGTTTAATAGATTGTCCAAAGTAGACACGAAATTACATTCCGCAGCAAAATGAAGCGTTGTTCGACCTGTTGGAGTGTCGATTGCGAATATGTCGCCACCATTGTTCAGGTATATCTGGATATAGTTCCACTCAGGGTTTTTGTAAGGACATTTGGATATTTCCCCAAGAACTGTTTGTCCACTTAGATCGCGTGCATTAACGTCGCTACCTTGATGAATAAGAAATTCCAAAAACTCATCCTGTCCAAATTTTCCAGCCAAGTGAAGAAGTGTTCTCCCCTTTTTGTCAACCACTGTAACATCACTTCCATTTTCAACCAAAAGCCCAGCAACATCAACACAGCCTGAAAACGAAGTTAGGTGCAAAGGCAGCCATCCCTTGTTGTCGGTGACGTGAACATCAGCACCATGTTGAATTAGTAGCTCGACACAACTGCACCGGCCTTCATATGCAGCTGTGTGAAGTGGGGTGCGATTTTCTCTGTCAACTGCTCTGACGTTAGCACCATGTTCCAACAACCACTCAATTGAAGAACTGCTTCCAACCGACGCAGCAAAATGTAAAGGCGTCTCTCCATTTTCATCAGGCACATTCACACGAGCACCATGATGTAAGAGCAACTCAAAGAATTCTCTTGTGGCACTAGGAGGTACATAATGAACTGGCGATCGTCCATAAACGTCGGTAGCATTTACAGAGCTTCCTCTATTCAACAGGTATTGAACCACAGCCACTCCGGCGTCTTCAAACTCAAGATACCGCATATTACATAGGGCGAGAATGAGAGGGGTTCTACCATGTTTGTCCTGGGTATGGACATTTGCCCCACTTTCTATCAGCAATTTTATCATTGGTAAATTTCCATGAGCTGCTGCTACGGCGAGAGGTGTTTCGCCAGATAGATTCACAACTTCAACGTCAGCACCATGTTTTAAGAGAACCTGAGCTGCAAGAATACCAGATGAACTTGCCGCTACATGCAAAGGCGTCATCTCGTCGTCTTTCACATTTGCATGAGCGCCATACTGCAATAAAATTTCTGCAAGTTTTCCATTGTTGTTTTCTGAAGCGTGGTGCAGGGGAGAAAAGGAATCACCGTAGATGCTACCGGTCTCACAGCCAAATTCAAGGAGAAGCTCGGCCACCTGATAAAAATTTCTTGAACAAGCTAACGAAAGAGGTGTTCGAGAACCGGTGTTCTTAGCGTTTATATCGGCGCCAAACGAAATAAGAAGTTTAACAACTTCTAACACACGTGGAAGGTCAGCAAATTGAATGACACTGGTAAGCGCTGTTTCTCCTCTAACGCTTTTCATATTCACGTCTGCGCCATTTTGTAGAAGATAACGAACCGACTTTATATCTCCACGTCCAGCAGCTGATGTCAGTAAAGTGTCACCATCTACGATTTTATCACAATGAAAGTCATCCTTACACCCGAGAAGCCCAAGGATGTCAGAGAAGCCATGCTTAGCTGCAAGTTCCGAAAGTGATGTATCCTCATCTTGCGAGTATGAAGTATCAGCGCCTCTTTCTATCAGAAGTTTAGCTACTTTCTCTTGACCCGTTTCCAGAGCACAATACAATGGAGGACGATGACGATGTTTGAACTCGTACCAACTGGCGTAGTCATCTTCCTCACTATAGTCTGAGCCACTGTCACCATGATCATCGCCTTCATCTGCTTTGGGTTTGTTGGTTTGACCGTTGATGTTAGCCCCTCGGTCTAATAGAAAGGCGACAGTCTCACATTGTCCAGATCTCACTGCTGACATCAAAGGTGTTTCATTATACAGTGTAAATTCATCTACAGGTAAACCGATTTGAAAAAGAATGTCTAAAACTTCTGTACGTCCACTTGATGTCGTGCCTATGAGCAAGTCTCCGTGTAGGTACTTACGGTGTTTTGGATCGGTTGAAAGTTTAAAGTCGCATCCACTATCGATCAAAACTTTGGCTGTAGCGGCATGACCACCCTGCAAAGCCTCATACAAAGCCGAACATCCAGAGTCATCACGTGAGTCAACATTTGCCCCCTGACCCAGAAGATACTTGACTGTATCGGTTTGGCCCTTTCCAGAGGCGGCATGTAGTGGAGTTCTACCGTAGCAGTCTCTTGCATGAACATCTGCGCCTTTTTCAAAAAGAAACTGGACCAAATCTCGACGGGTAGCCAAATGGAGAACTGTCCGACCAGAGCCAGTTTTTGATAGTACATTCCCACCACTTTCAAGGATAAATTTGACTACGTCAAAATGGTCTCCTTCAGCTGCACAGTGCAAACAATGTTGGCCGCTTTCATCGGCTTTATCCAAATCGCATCCATTTATTAGAAGAAGTTTGAGGGTTTCTAAGTGCCCATTCTCAGCAGCTAACATAATTGGAGTTCTTCCGCTATACGCAGCGCATTTCGTAGCATCTGCACCGTGCTCCAAGAGAAGACGAACAATATCGGTGTGGCCACATTCAGCAGCTAAATGAACCGGGGACGCATACTCCAGATTCTCCTTCGAAACTTTAGCTCCAAGCTCTATTAAGCGTAGAACATTACTTATTTTACCGCCTTTTACAGCATGGTGAATTGGTCTTAAATACTCTATATCCTGTGACTCTAAAGAGGCGCCTCTCTCTATTAAGAATTCTACAACGTCCACCTCATTGTACCTAGCTGCCAACATCAGTGGCGTTTCTCTCAGGCCTTCCATCAGGTCGGGCGACAAGGAGTCAACATGCTCACCACACTCAAGCAGCCTGCGAAGATGCTCCGTATTTCCCCTTTCTGCAGCCAAGTGCAAAAGAGACTGGGATTGAAAGTGTTTTGTAACTTTTTCAACAAGTTCGCTTATCTGCTTGTGCGTTTCTGAACCTTTCAGTCTCAAGACTGTCAAAAGAGATTTGCCAGGAAAAACCGACGAGTTGTAGCCAATCTTAATACCCATAGCTATGGCACTATCAAGCTTGTCTGGACTGTAGTTTAAGATTGCATTGACAGTCTCGATGTCGCCTTTAACACAAGCTGACTGTAGACAACTCAGGCCGCTTGTCGTCTCTGGTGTGATTAGTTTATTAAAGGCCAAAGTCTTAAGGGACAGCTGTAACCAAAAGAGCAAAGGAAAGTTTTACAATTGGAGCTACTATGAATAAATAACAAAAAACAACAGGTTTACACTACATGTAGAGTTAATAACACAGTGCCACAGTCGTCTCTTGCATCTTCTCTGCAAATTATTGTTTTTTTTTTTTTGAGGCAGAGCCCTCTTAAAGAATCTGTTAAACACGTTTAGGACAAAAGCTATCGGAAAAATCGAGAATCTCAAAACACGCTTAAACAATAGTTGTTTACTGTCGGTATGCTGAAATCCAAGGGGAACCAGGGGGAACTGTCCATTACCAGAACCGACAATATGTGGTAGTAGGGGTGATGGAGGTAACTGTAGAAATGTGGTGGTTGAGAATGGAAAATATAAATGCGAAAAGAAGGAAAACAAAAGAAAAGTGGGAGTTTTGATGAAGGATGAACAACACAGAAATGTCATGACACAGAAATGTGATGGAGGTGCTGAGAAAAGAATCAATAGAAATGTGGCGGTGGTGATAAAGGTAGAAAATCATATAAATGTGATAGATGTTCTGGAGAAGTGAATCAACAGAAGTAGGGTGATGGTGACAGACGAAAAGAACCATATGAATGTGACCGAGGTGCTGGAGAAGGGAATCAATAGAAAAGTGGTTGTGGTGATGGAGCAAGAAAACCAAACAAATGTTGTGGAGTTGCTGGAGAAGAGGAACAAAAGAAATGCAGTGGTGAAAAAGAGAACAATTAGGCCAGTTTGCACGGCCAGCGACACGAGCTGCTTTTTTCGGTGCGAGTTCAAATCGCTATCAAAAACTAGCAGCGACTTTAAAGCGATTTCAAGGCAGCTTTCATTTACAATGGCAATGGAGTTGTTTTCGTTCGATTGTAGGGAGATCGAAAAGCATTTTTGGTCGAAATTTTCAGTGAAATGTGCTCCCTGTGAAGTAAAGTACGTATTTCGGGACACCAGGACAACTGAAGTGGTTCGATGCACTCCACTGATATCGGCTTTGTGATCGTTTACTAGCACAAAGATACGCCAAAATGGTTAGTGGTTAACCCCAAAAAGAACTTAAACTGTCAAAACGACGTTTCTTTTGGTGCGATCTTATGTCAGAATTTAGCTCGCGAATATAAGAACATATCTTTTGATCTTTTCAGTGTTTTTCACCTCTACCGCTACACAACAGCTACCATCACAAAAAAAATTGAAAATGAGGGGGCTTTCATTTATTGTGACATGTAGTGCGGTGGCTTACTGCAAAATTTTAGCAAGATCTATACAGAGCGGAAAAAAGCACCAAAATTTGCATGGTTGTAGCTTAGGGCATGTTAGTCAATATTAGGATCGGTGCCCACTGCTACCTCTTCAGGATTTGCAGCAACTACTCGCTGAAGTTCTACAACAACCTTCCATGATGGGTGCCCTGTGCTGAAAATTGCAATCCCTTGTTTTTTGCCATTCTTTGATGAAAATCACATAAAAAGGCAAGTATATGGAAAAAGAAACTGTATTAATACTTTTATTATTGAAACCAATGACTAAAACAAGTCAACTTAATAATATAGCAATAATGATATACCATGGTGGGTACCCTGTGCTAAAAATATCAATTCCTTTTTTTTGCCATTATTTTGATGAAAAACACATGAAAGAGATGAGAATGAAAAAAAATTGTATTATTATTGAAACCAATGACAAAAACAAGTCAACTAAATGGAAAATCCAGGGAAGATGTTTTTAGATGCATACTCAGTCCCAAATGGCCTATCAAGATGGCAGCTTGAAGGTGTCTTTTCATGGAATGTAAGTACCTGCTAGAATAAATTGCCGTTTTTTAGGGGAAATTGTGTATAATTTGAACCACGACAGGTTTAGGTGAAGTTTTAAGCTCTTCTTGGTGATAAATGTGTTATCGAAAGCCACATTTTCTCTTCACATTTTGTGCCAATTATGAATGACTATACTGAGTTTATTTTGCGTACCGGTTAAAATTAATAATAGTAAAAATAGCTTCTTTCTATAGCGCTTATATCCTGAACTCATGGTGCTTTACAATGTTAAAGAGTGAAAAAAAAACAGCATGAAGTAACATATTGTTAAAATCTATTTGGAATTAACAAAGAACAAGAGAAGGAAACAAAAATTCATCTGTTTTAAAATTAATTTGCCATTAAAGTTTATATATAATGATAATAAGTCATGCAAAAAAACTGAATATACATTCTATAAGTATAGGTATATGATCAGCAGATATTAAAGACGTTTTACAAAAATATTGACTTACTCTCTAAAAATTGCGTAAAAAGATATGTTCTCAGTCCTTTCTTTAACTAGTTAAAGATGGTGTCTTGCGCAAATCTAACTAACGGTAGTGAGTTCCACAGTTCAGGGGCCGACACACTCAAAAAGTCTTGTCCCCGTGAGTGTTCGAGGTTGTTCTAATAGCTGCTGAGATGCGGACCACAAGTTCCGGGAATGCATTTGATAACTACCGGTAAGTTTGTCTGCTAGATAGCTGGGTGGAAGGTTATTAAGTGATTTGAAAACTGACAAAAGAAGTTTAAAAACAACATGGTAACTAAGAGGAAGCCAGTCAAGGTCAAATAAATAACGTGTTCACAAAGTTTACGAGTCCGAGTAACGATCCTGGGGGCAGTGAATTGCAATTAATAGTCTATTTTAGATGTAATAAAAGAATGCACAGCAATTTCGCTAGATGCCTGTGTGAGACACTTTCTTATCTTTGACAAGTTCCTGAGCTGGTAAAACAATAATCTGCGAATGTTGAGACGTTTGCGTCCAACAGCACGTTGTCATCAAATACTACTCCCAGGCTTTGTTGGCGGTGGTTCTTAGCCTTGCATTACCCATAATGAAGTCGCTAAAGGGTGGACGAGTACGTTTCATTGACAAGATAAGCACGATTTCAGTCTTATCGTGATTGAATTTTAGCTCGTTTCTACACACCAAGATGGAAATTAGTTGGGATTGTTGTCATATTTACCAAGGGTGCGAATCGAAGAGAGAGGATCTGAGAAAATGGTTTATCGGTACAATTATTTATAGAACGCTCCTTGACAATTTACTAGAATTCAAGAAAGAGGACTGTCTTCTTATTGCAATTAAGTTTGATATTGAAATCACTACAGTAGTAAACAAATGCAAAGTCACCTTTCGCTCAAATTAGAAGAAGCAAACTAGAAAAGAGAAACACGCATGCTGAAGCAGAACAGAAGCAGCAAGTTGTAGACTGTGGCACCAAACGAGCTTGGAAGACTGACACTAGGTGTGTGCCTTTGTATGTAACGAATACAGCTTATGAAGTTTGGCAAGTACAAAGAAATGTGTATCATGCTCCACTGCATTTGCTACGTACTCAGTCAGTTCAACAAATGCTCTTCATTTATTTAATTCCTTGTCTTCTACGGCCTTCCAGGCTGCTTCACTTTTCTTCTTGCGTTCCTCTAACACGCATGCCTATTTTGCAAGTCAGTTAAACAGCACATAGTATATTTTGAATCTATGGCAATCACACCACCACCATATATTCTTGGAGGACCATCCTAAGTCCTGTAAATCATTGGCAATACGTCTTAGGCTTCTGTCAGGTTTCAATGTACAGAAACTGTATAGATGGCTCCCATCATCTTCGTTTCATATCACAAAATTTGTGGTCTCACTAGTGTCAACCTTGCGAGCTTGTTTGGTGCCACAATCTACAACTTTCTGTCTTTCTGTTTCTGGTCTGCTTCAACATGCTTGCTTCTCCTTTCTCTTGCTTTTTCTAACTTGGGCTTGCTAAACTTAAGGTGACAGGATTGCTGCTTCTTTGCATTTTTACTACTGTAGTGATTTCATAACCAAACTTAATTGCAACCGGAAAACAGTTCTCTTTCCTGAATTCTAGTACATTTTCAAGGGGCGTTCTATAAATACTTGCACCGTTAAAGCAATGGGCTTCTCAGATCTTCTTTTGTTGATTCTTGGCAAATATGCAATATATGAATATAAACAACCACTATGAAAATAAACTCAGTATAGTCATTCATAATCGGCACAAAATATGAACCAAAAATATGGCTTTCAATAACACATTTATCACCAAAAAGAGCTTAAAACTTCACTTACACCTGTCGTGATTCAAATTGTACACAATTTTCCCTAAAAAAACGGCACTTTATTATAGCAGATACTTACAGTCCATGAAAAGACACCTTCAAGCCGCCATCTTGAAAGGCCATTTGGGACTGAAGACGCATCTGAAAACATCTTCCTTGGATTTTCCATTTAGTTGACTTGTATTTGTCGTTGGTTTCAATAATGATACAATTTCTTTTTTCACTTTCATTTCTTTCGTGTAATTTTAGTCAAAATAATGACAAAAAACAAGGAATTAATATTTTTAGCACAGGGTACCCACCATGGTATATCATTATTGTTATATTATTAAGTTAACTTGTTTTAGTCATTGGTTTCAATAATAATAGTATTTATATAGTTTCTTTTTCCATCTACTTGCCTCTTTATGTGATTTTCATCATAAATGGCGAAAAACAAGGGGTTGCAATTTTCAGCACAGGGCACCCATCATCGAGGGCTGTTGAAGAACTTCAGCGAGTAGTTGCTGCAAATCCTGAAGAGGTAGCTGTGGGCACCGATCCTAATATTGTCTAACATGCCCTAAGCTACAACCATGCAAAGTTTGGTGCTTTTGTCCGCTCTGTATAGATCTGAGCCTCTAGCCACCTGACTAATGAGGGTGTGTCAAAAACAAACATTTTTGGAAAGCCTTCTAGGAGACAGGTAGTTGGGGGATATAGTTTAGTTGGATGCCCTTTAAGGGGTGACAGGGATGGTTT